GTTATAGCACTCTATAGTTTAATTTCGGACTTTTATACCTTTTAAAAACCAAAACACCATCATGGAAGTACAACTGTTTGTTAAATAATGAACGGGTAGAGTTACATAGATATTTCTATCTCACTATTTAAGTCTCCCTTCGTTCCTTAATTTTTTCTATGCTTCTATCTAAAGACATAAGTAAGTCGTACGAAAAAAAAATTCTAGATATATTAAACCTGAAAAAAGGAGCAACTTTTTTTACAATCATATATGCACGTTAATTCATACCTTTGCCGTCACATAGAATAAAGGATTATTATTATTTTAGGTCAATCAAATCTTTGATAGATTAAAATAAGGTAGACCTTATTTTTTTATTACAAATTTGAGATTTTTCTACTCCTACTTTCATTTGTTTTAAGTAATCTCTACTAATATTATAGAGAGAAAAGATTTGAATGTTTATTTGTAATGAATAAACTCAATAACTACTCAACCGATTTTAAAAATTCTTTCTCTTATAGAAAGCTACATTATCTGCGAATAACATAGGATGTATACTATTATTAAAAATTCTAAATAGTTTTAAATATTTCGCAATTAATATGAGTATAGTAACAAATGTTTACAAACTCATGATTTACTTTCTTATTTAATCTATTACCATCAAACCTAGACATAGATGTCATTGACACTTGAGAAGTGATAACAATTTATTGATAGTAAAATGGATTTAGTTACATTCTTGAAGCTAGCATATTGATCTTGAAATTATTCTTGGCTTAAACGCAGACAATTTATGTGTTTAATTTTATTTACTAAAAGCTATTCAATGTTCCCAATAAATAAATAAGTAGCTAATAATGTGCTAATAAAACTAACGTTTTATGTTATGATTGTATTGTTTATCAAATATCAAGCTCAATAATACCTCTATCATAGTTTTATTAATATCGCACGTATAAAAAAATTTACTCAAACTTAGAATGCAGAGTTCAATATTCAATTTAAATGAATGTAACGTATTAATACTTATATTGCATCTCACAATACATAGTTATTACTAAATAATTTAAAAAATAAATAATATATAAAAATTAACAGAGAATAGCAATTATAGGTATTTACAAACTCGCGAAAACTAATAGAAAGAAGTTCATTCTTTTCTTTTTTCAGCAACATAGTTTTGGTTTCTCAGAATCAATTTACCCATTATCGGCAGATAAAGAACCACTGTGTTTGCTGGTCATATTTAAAAATATTTTGCGGGTGATTGGTGTAATCAGATACGAGGTCAAGGCTTCTCGCATTTATGTATAACATACAGTGAATACTGTATAATATTGTCACGAATTTATACGACAAATGTCAATAGTATATTTAGTTAGGTATACAGATATGTGTCTGTCCGTGGCTCTGTTTGATAGCCAAAAACCAGCTGTTGCTTCATTATCAACCAAATAATTGACGATTGACACCACAAAAAATGTTATCTACCTAATTTTTGAAATTCATTTTTGCGGTAGGATAGCTAGAAATATCCGAGCGCTAAATGTTTGTACGTTGTTATAAACATGTCTTGCTTCATTTTTTTAATCTCATCCTATATCATACATGTTTATTGGTTCTAAAAGACTCTTCACTTCACCCTTAATCTGTATTTATCATATTTGATCATATAAACTTTAGGACTACATATCAAAATTAGTTTGTGTATAATTAGGTACATTGTTTTATAATTTAAATTTAAATTACCAGAGGGAGACTTTGTACAAAAGTCGATTTCTTGGGTACTCTGTCCCATTCGTGTTTCAACCGTAAAGCAGTTATGTTTGCATGGCTGTGTTTCGGTTTGAAGGATGGAATATGGCGTAAATTTACTGGGTACAGAGGAATAACACCTGAGTCCTCAGGAATGGCAACGCATCAGGGGTTTCATGAGCGAGACAATATACTCTGTTATGTCCAAAGTACTACTCATGTCTATAGGCAACGGTTACTATTTTCAATCATGTGGGCCGTCAGCTAGTTTGCCATTCTAAATTGTATAAAAAAAAAATTGTTGCCTAAGTTTAAACCTTATTCCTACTGTTACCCCCTTTTCAATAGATGTTATTAACGTTAAATTAAGTTTGTTACTACCGCTTATCTAATTATTTTGAAAATATACTTGGAATATTGACAATGCCCATTTTTTATACCGGCCAATCAAAGTCGCGCGGACGATATCTAGCACAAATAGTTAAATATTTACTCTTTATTTTTAATGAAATACTCTTAAGAGATAGTTACAATTTAGTTATTTCACTTTTATGGAAAAATCAGGTTCGAATTCCGAACCTGCATCCCGCAATCCCGCACGGCCCACTGCAACTAAACAAAAACTTGCACGTCCAAGGCTGCATTTCTTCTTTCCTTATAAAATGAAACGCTGCCCAGTGTGGCGTGTTACGAAACACAATGACGGAACGTAGTGAAAGGTCGAGTTACCAGAATGAAATGGTGGACGGAGCAAACTGGTTCCAGTGCTTCAGAATGCAAGTAACTGGATAAAAACATAGCTCAAGACAAACCAGTCGCAAGATTTGCTGCGTACGCCTAGTGACGCTCGAATCTACAACCTCTCGCTGTTTCTGATGTCTCGAAAATCCCCAATCGCATCCTTACTAACGCGAATTGCCTTATAACAACACCGAACCGGTCTTAATGTCAGATCATAAGCGGAATAAGGCCGCGTACTTACAATGTACCTATAGCCCGAGGTTTTATTACTGAACAGCATTATAAATTAAACAAGTTTTCACTCCGCTACAAACATTATTACGTACAAACAATTTTATATCAGTTCGGAATCAGTCATCAAAACGAGCGAGGCAGTGAGCGCGACATCCACACTTCAATCCTATCGTCTATGCCATCGGTAACACAACTGGGTCGACCGGACACCAGATTTCTACTACCCACACTGTAAACGACCAAATTCAATGGTTGTAAATCACAAACCAGCTTCGTCCTATCCAACGACGTCTAAAATCGGTTGCTTGTGCGTGGGTGGTATACCAGCTATATTCCGTCCACCGCGTTTGACAGACAGTTGGACTGCGATGTTGCGCTATTCAAATCGGTCGGTTAATATCACATACGGATGGCAATTTTCGAAAGTTCCATGAACTTTGGTTTAGTTGTGTACTTGTTTAATTATTATCTTGGTCCAAAAATGTATATTGTAGACAATATAAAATTATTAGTATTAGTTGTGTACCAAAGCTGATCAGTTTTTCTTTAAGTAACTTATTTTACTTTGAATACTAAACCAATATGAACTTAAACTAATGACATTTCAAACATCATTTTCTGAACTACGAGTGGAAACATATCGTATGGCAGTAACACTATACTTCTATGTACATAACTGATAAAAACCAGTCTATTATTTATTTGGGCAGGTAAATTTTACCTCAGTTCTTAAATACCATACAACATTTCTATAGAGACAACTCACAAAAACTACGCTTTGTTGGACACACAGGGGATTAAGTTACAAAACAATTTGAATCATCAAACTTAAGATGTAGAGTTCAAATTTCAACTTCAATATAGCTGTCTACTTATCTAGCATCCCTAAATTTACTTATCTCTATAATACTTTAAAATCTAACACTTAAAATTTTTAAAGTAGTGGTAGATACATAAAATTAAGTAAAACGAAAACAAATAAGTACATATTGCAACGCAAGTAGATATAAAGCTGAAGCATCATATATATATATATATATATATGGTTACCAATTCACTTCGTGATATTATATATTCATTTCTTTTAATAATGATAGAATAGTTATCCCGCCTGCACTATCCGTAGACTCTGGGAGTTAGGATGATAAATGAGGATGAAAGCAGGTCACTTGGATCATCGTAACGAATTCATCTAGGATTAAACCACTATAGTTTCCAGGGGAACTATATCGATATATATATTAACCTGACATATGTTACTAGAAATAGAGTAGCTACACACAGTTACTAACAATACCCTCTGTTCTTTCTTATTATGCTGTTATCCCAAGAAATAAAACAAATAAAATAACTAATTAACTATTCTTGTCATTGAGTGCCTAGTTGACTTCTATGAACTTGCTCAGGTGCTGTTTTATTTATTTGTACCATTAACTTACATGCATTCGTTATTGTTTCGTAGGATTCAAAACATAGAATTTCATTGAAAGTTCTAAATCCATTTAACATCTTACAAGAAAACAATTGCATGCTTATAGGTATTTTTATTCTACATGTTATATAAAAATATATACATTAAAGTAATAACAAAACGGTATTATTGTACCTTGAAAACGAGCTGATCAACGGTACAATTGTTTTGGCAAAATTATAGCATGTTACTTACTTTAAAGTACATCACTGTTTCTATTCTGCATATAGTTCCACTCTGAGCTAGCAAATCGGCATTGTAAGTCAGTTTCCTAGTTTAATCACAAATAGCGGTGTTACGTGTGTCATAGTAGAGGGAACAGGCTTTTGTGCCCGCCCACACGGCACCGCCTCTTCGTTAAACGCGCTCTGTACCAACATGTCGATATGTCGATCGTTCGACCTACAAATACTTTGTTTTTACTAACAAGATGATTTGAATCAACTAACTACTTTTAATAGATGACATAACCAACGTATAACTTTGGTTCTATGTTCTATTAAATCATAGAAAAAAATACACCAATGTTATGTTACGTCAATTCGTAGTTAAATGTCAGTAAATAACAACGTTTAGATATCTCCTTCTATGACATACTTTATATTGTATCATGTATAGTACACACTAAAAATCATTCAAATATTTGTAATACGCAATAGTTATGTATTTTTTGTGACTTGCACTAATATGTCTGTATTTACCACTACTATAATATGTAAGATTAAAAGATTTCTGTCTGAAATAAAATACGAAAATCCTTATTGACTATTGAAAATAAATATTTATTTGTTTTTTTTTTCTTCTTTTTCAGTATGCATCGGCACGAATGGTCGGATGTCGGTGCCATCGAATCGCGAAACCCATTACCGGAATCTTCGCGATCGCTTCACGAATTGTACCTACGTCGACGGCAACCTCGAGCTGACATGGCTGCAAAACGACACTATGGACCTGTCATTCCTCAAGTATATAAGAGAAGTCACAGGATATGTTCTCATATCGCATGTACATGTCCGGCAGATTATTCTCCCTCAACTGCAAATCATTCGCGGCAGAACTCTATTCAAATTAAACGTGAGAGACGAAGAGTTCGCCCTCATAGTTACCATGTCCTCAGCTTTCACTCTCGAATTGCCGGTACTACGTGACGTCCTCCGCGGCAGCGTCGGCATCTACAACAATTACAATCTCTGCCACGTGAAGACTATAAACTGGGAGGAAATTATAACAGGCGTTAACGCAACATACGTGTATGTTTACAACTTCCAGACGCCGGAAAGGAAATGTCCGCGATGTGACCCCAGCTGTGTAGAGGGATGTTGGGGCGAAGGTCCCGAAAATTGTCAAAAATTCTCGAAAACAAATTGCAGTCCCCAATGTGCTCAAGGTCGATGTTTCGGCCCAAATCCCCGAGACTGCTGCAATACATTTTGTGCTGGTGGCTGCACAGGCCCGCTGCCAACTCAATGTCTCGCCTGTCGAAACTTTTATGATGAAGGCACTTGTTCCCAAGAATGTCCACCTATGCAAATATATAATCCTACCACTTATTCTTGGGAACCAAATCCCGATGGCAAGTATGCTTATGGTGCAACTTGTGTCCGCAATTGCCCTGAACATTTATTGAAAGATAATGGTGCCTGTGTAAGAAGCTGTCCGCCAAATAAAACTGCTGTGAACGGTGAATGCAAACCGTGTAATGTTACTTGTCCAAAAACTTGCCACGCAGAAAAACCAATTCACTCGGGAAATATCGATAGTTTTAAAGATTGTACCATAATTGACGGGTCCATAGAAATTTTGGAAATGACGTTCACTGGATTTCAGCATGTCAATCCTGACTTTTCTTTTGGTGAAAGATATCAAAAAATGCATCCTGATAAACTTGAAGTATTCAGCACTGTCCGCGAGGTCACAGGATACTTAAATGTTCAGGCCATTCATCCTAATTTCACAAGCCTCTCATACTTCCGTAATTTGGAAGTAATAGGAGGACGTCAAGTAGTCGAAAATCTATTCGCATCCTTATATATAGTAAAAACTTCACTGAAGTCTTTGGGCTTGAAATCTCTAAAGAAAGTAAATTCTGGTGCAATAGCCATTATGGAAAACAAAGATTTATGTTTTGCTGACAAAATAGCCTGGAACAGGCTAGTGAAATCCAAGGATCATAAACAAATTATACAGAATAATGGCGTCCCGAAGACTTGTGGTGAGTTTGCTAAGCGATATATTTTAATGAGGATCCTCATAGTTATAAGTAATTTAAGTTTTGCTAATGCGATCCTTAATTTTCGTGACATTTTCATATACTTTAAAAATATTGTTTTTTGCAAGCGAATGTATAATAAATTTATTATCACACATGTGTACTAACCTAACTAACAAACTACATAAGCTGAGCCCTGCATAAGTCTCAAAAATCTATATAGTATGTAAACATAGTGTCATTTTCACAATAAAGTTATTGTAATTTAGCAAAATATTTTCTTATGTATAAAAATATACACAAATGATACTATACAAACTCTTAGATTCTAGAGACTGCGAAATCCTGTAAAAATATATTTGTTCTTAACCAATGTCTATTCAACAGCCAACCTGGTGTGTGACCCACAATGTTCGAAGGATGGATGCTGGGGTCCTGGGGCGGATCAATGTCTTTCTTGCGAAAACTTCAAATATGGGGAGATGTGCATAAAAAATTGCAGTGTAATACCAGGGTAAGTAAATTGCAGTCAATATCCACTGTAATTGTGTCCGAACAAAAATATTTTTTGAGCATTAACATGTCTACTATACAATTGTAATCATCATCAGTCCTTAATTGTCCACTTCTGAACATAAGCCTTCTTTGGGAGTTTTACCAGTAGTTGCTATGCTTGGCAGGCGGATTGGTAACCGCAGTTAGGCTTTGAAGATGTTTAAAAAAGAACGCTGCTGCCCATCCCTCGCCCTCCATTAGTTGTCTCTTACGACACCCACGAGAAAGGAGGAGATGGCCTATTCTATTTCCTGACCATACAACGACATACAATTGTTATAATTAACACTAATATGTTAAGTTTGACATTTATAACAGCTGGATTAAATCATAAAAGTTAACTTCTCAGATTAAGGACTAAATTTATTACTTAAGGTGGTTGATCACTAAATAAAATTTAACACGCATTTTTAGCTGGAATTACAATCGAGACTCGTGATTTTTGTTAACTTATTTGTAATTAAAGATATTTTGAGATAAAATTTCAAAATTAATTCATTCAGGAAAAGATCGCGTATTATTCATCTAGTATTTCTTTTCTAATTTTGTGTAATGACCTTAATTTTAGATAGGCAACAATATAAATACATTACACGTCAAAGTCTGCTGGCAACCTCTGTCAAATCTGACAAACTTATCACTCTTTCTGGTTTGACAACTGATATATTGACCACGTTTGTCCTACATAAGTTCAAATCAAAATTTAACGTACACATTAACTGTGCTTAATATTTGACAATAAGTTCTATCTTTTATTAATTACAGATTGTATAAAGCTGGTCTGAATACTTGTGAAGAATGCGATCCAGAATGTCTCGATGGCTGTACTGGTCCAAGCCGAGCTAACTGCACTGTTTGTAAACATGTACGTGATGGTCCATACTGTGTCAGTGAATGCCCTGAATCAAGATACCCTTCTGAGAATGGCACCTGTCTTCCTTGTCATGCTAATTGCTACAATGGCTGCACAGGCCCAGCAAATACTGTTGGCGCAGGTGGTTGCAATTATTGCAAGAAAGCTATCATCAGTGTAGAAGCCACTGTAGAACGCTGTCTTAAAGAAAACGAACATTGTCCTGATGGATATTACAATGAATGGGTCGGCAACGTAAAGCCACTCGATGAACAAGTTAATATCGGCTGCCGGAAATGTCATCCTCTCTGCCTACACTGTACAGGTTTTGGAATTCATTCCCAAGTATGTGTAGTGTGTAAAGGCTACAAACGTGGAGATCAGTGCGAGGAGGAATGTCCTATTGACCATTTTACTGACGAAATTGGCCGTACGTGTACCCCATGTCATCCAGAATGTCGGGGCTGTACAGGACCATCCTCGACCGATTGTATAAAATGCCAAAATCTCAAAATATTCCTGAAGGATAATAATTCTGTCGATGCTACCATGCCTACATTTAACTGCACCGATGTCTGTCCGGATAACATTCCACATAAAATATACTTCGATGAGCTATTACAAAATCCAATTGACGAACCATATTGCTCAGAATTTGCTAATGATCTTCCGTCGATGGCAACAGCAAAGACCCCAACCGTTCAAGTAATTTCTTTAGTGATGATCTTCTTACTATTGATAATTGTAGGAATCATTGGGTATATTTGCAGACAAAAAGCAAATGCCAAAAAAGAAGCAGTTAAAATGACTATGGTACTAACAGGTTGTGAAGATAACGAACCACTTCGGCCAACTAATGTTAAACCAAATTTAGCTAAGTTACGCATTGTTAAAGAAGGCGAACTCCGGAGAGGAGGAATGTTGGGATTCGGTGCGTTCGGAAAAGTATACAAGGGTGTATGGGTTCCTGAAGGTGAAAATGTTAAAATTCCAGTTGCTATTAAAGTACTCAAAGAAGGCACAGGCGCCAATACGAGTAAAGAATTTCTAGAAGAAGCATACATAATGGCTAGTGTGGAGCATCCAAATTTACTTCAATTGTTGGCTGTTTGCATGACTAATCAAATGATGCTGATCACTCAACTAATGCCATTAGGCTGCTTGCTTGATTATGTTAGAACGCATAAAGAGAAAATTGGATCTAAAGCGTTCTTGAATTGGTGCACGCAAATAGCACGCGGCATGGCGTACTTGGAAGAAAAAAGATTAGTGCATAGAGACCTAGCTGCACGAAATGTCTTAGTACAAACACCGAACTGTGTTAAAATAACAGATTTCGGATTAGCCAAACTCTTAGATATAAATGAAGATGAGTACAAAGCAGCTGGAGGCAAAATGCCTATTAAATGGTTAGCATTAGAGTGTATACAACATAGAATATTCACACACAAGAGTGACGTGTGGGCATTTGGAGTGACTATTTGGGAAATTTTGAGCTATGGTGCTCGACCATACGAAAATATTTCTGCCAGAAATGTTCCAGAGCTTATTGAGAACGGATTAAAACTCCCTCAACCTAGTATATGCACTTTGGATATTTACTGCATTATGGTTTCATGTTGGATGTTGGATGCAGACAGTAGACCAACATTCAAAGAACTGGCAGATACTTTTGCTGATATGGCGAGAGATCCTGGGAGATATCTTGTGATACCTGGGGATAAGTTCATGCGTCTACCATCCTATTCAACTCAGGTAATAAATATCTTTATTAATATATAAAGGTACGGTTTCGAATATCACCCGTTTCAAAATTCTTTCTAGCTCTCTATATAAGTATCGTATTTTATAACATTTCTATATTTTTAAAAGGTTTTTGTGTGCACTAATTCTTGGATTTAAGAAAAGCAATTATATACACAACTTCTAGATCAAGATGAAATAAACACCAGGATTTAATTTTGACCTTAAGAAAAACTGTGAAACTCGAATCATATTAATTGCAGTAGTTTTTACGTAATTCCGAAACAAATAGAACAGAGAAACTGGCAGACAAAATAAAAAAAATATTTTTTTTCTCATTTTTCTTAAATATCTTCTAAGTACAGATATCGTCTAATTAATATAATCTAATTACTAAGATTAATAGTTTCTAATACCATCTTTACATTTCAGGATGAAAAGGAACTGATAAGAAACCTTTCATCAGCTATGGAAGGGACAGAATCACTGGTTGAAGCTGACGAGTATCTACAACCTAAATTCAAGACTGTAACCGGTACAGCAACATCCAATTCAGCAATGAGCGCAGGAGCGGAAACCCAAACCACTTCATTGAAGCCCTGTACATCATCATCTTGGGCTAATAATGTCACAAACCCTGAATGCGTTACTTCCGATGGTGGTACCATAATACAGGGCTTCAGTAAACCCGAAATTTGGGATCAAGAACTCCTAAGGTATAATCATCAAATAAATCCAGATGGTAGTGAGCTTCGACACTACTACAACAATGGAGTATGTGCTTCTGAAAGCTCCAGTTCAAGATATTGTAGCGATCCTATGAAAGCGAGAACAGAAGGCTCTGAAAATAATTTCGACAGCATGTCGAAAACTAAAGAAGCACAAGTCGGAAATCTTAAGCTAAACTTGCCACTGGACGAGGACGACTATCTAATGCCATCACCACAGCAAAATGAAAATGCGTCGGCTTACATGGATTTAATAGGAGAAGGCGGTGAGGGTCAGGAGGTGAAAGATGTACATTACACTAGTTTCGTGGGACCAAAACGGTGTGTGGATAACCCAGAGTACTTGATGTCAGACGAAAGTGTGCCGCCACAAACACTAGGTATTCCGACCGAACCGTTGCCGCTTGAATCGCTGTGCGTGAGCGAGGGCAGCGGGAGTGAAAGCACACCGCAACCTGGCACCAGCAAGTACCTGCCTCAGAAGTCTGTGGAAGAGGAGTCAATGTCCGATCACGAGTACTATAATGATTTGCAGCGCGAGCTACAGCCGCTACGTAGGAACGAAACCACAGTGTGAGTGTTAACTTGTCACCATGTGATAAATTACAACGTATAGACTGATCTCTCACTAAATGACTGTTATATACTTAAGAGTGCGCACGCGCGCCTTTCGTGCCATTGAAGTGATGGCTAGTGTTAGCTTGTTGATTAAACTTCAACTAAAAATTTTATATTAGTTATAAAAAACGATTTTGTTATTTTTTTCTACTTAAAATTTTGTAAAAGAATGTTACGACCTGGTAATTTGTAAAAATATTTTAATTTTTATTAGTTGCTCGGAGGTTGCACATAACAAATTATAAGTTATTTATTAATTTAGTTTAAGGATGGCTATGTTTACGTTTTTCGTATGCTGTGGCATTAAGTGGCTAAGCAAGTGTTATTTTAACTTTAAAACTGTGATAATTAGATTAATTACAATACAATGGGACAGTGATATAAAAAAAGGCCAAGTCGTGCCCTCATTGTTGAAAATTTATGGGAATACGTACATTTTTCGTTCGTGTTGTCAAATTCCATTTTTGACTGATATTCCATCATCAATATGTAATATCTTGAAAACTGCACATGTATACTTTTTACAAACGAACAGTATATTTTTACATTATTTATTATTGTGTTTAATATAAATCATGTACCTACGTTTACATCACTAAACTATTATTTCTGTAAAGCTTTGATTAATTCCGAATTTGTGTAATCTTGCCAATCTAGTGACCAGGTCGGCGCATGGCGGGCTACGCACTTGTTCCGATGACTTGCCTATAACATACTGACATCTAATCAGCAGTCCTATGTATCATAGTTATTGTACATATTTGTTTATAGAAGAATTTATGTAAAACATTATGTGAAAGCAAACGATAAAAGACATTAGTATTTTGTAATATTCTTTGGAGCTGTCAGTCCGCACAAAGCAAGCTCAACGGTTCCCAACTTAATGCAACATTTATATTATATAAAAGTGTATGTACTTTAGTTAGATAAGTGTTAATTTTATTAGACCAAACCCATTTGCCATGTAACATGTAAATATCTTTTATTTTTATTAATATGCATTTGTAAATAAAACATTATTGTAATACAATAAAATGTAGTAATAACTATTGACAAATGAAATACCATAGTATATTTGTTTTATATATATAGTTATTTGAATTACTGTGTCGTCCGTGCTGATAATATATAAAATCTATTGTGCCATTAATTACGAGATAGGATAACATTTAAAATGAAACAAAGTAGATATACATGAATATTATAATGTAATAAGTGCTTACATACCTATTGGTATATTTATATATATCACAATTCAAAAATTTTGTAAACACTATAAAATGCAATATTTTTGACGCTGTCCTTGATTATACAGTTGTATTTATATGTAGGATTATATATTCGTTTATTGTGACTACGTAAACATATTGAACATCACATTTTATAAATTTCAATATAAATGTATATGAATTGTATGGTTGAAATCATTTGTCTGTAAATAGATATCGCATCAATTGCAGCGATGCGTATGTAGGTACTTGTACCTTGATAAATGAATATTAAATAAAAGAGACGTTTTTAATTTATGATCCTTGTCCTTTAAATCCCATCCGAGATAATCACAATTGTATGTATTTAGTAAATTTACCAAATAGCTTTGATGTTTCGAGCAACTTTAAAAAAGGAAGATGTTTCCAAATCGGTTGAATCTATAATCAGAAGTGAGGGATGATAGGGGAGGATGAAACTAACTCAGTTAACCCATCGTGTCGAATTAACCAACATAGTTTCTAAAAGAAACCGCATAAAGGTTAACCTGACAGGAGGTATACTGCTAGCAATGGATTCCTATTCCTAAAATCCATTTCTGCCTAAAGGGAAAATACGTCATGGTATCTCAATTATTCCTCATTACTCATACTACATACTATTTCTCAATTATCCTGTGTAACCTCATTTGATTTTAGGTTTTACTTTTAACAACTAATATTTTATAACAATTAGGTATATATGTCCCTAAAAATAATTATAAAATGTTTGTTACATTTTTGTCGATACAGTAATAGCGACATTTGTTACACAGTTTCTTTCTGTATTTATATTTTCTTACCATGTTATAATAGTAATACAGCGCCATCTAGTTACTTATAGCAAAACTTTAACATATATACATGCTTAAAACTGAACTAAACAATCGATGTCAAATCTTTGTCTCTAATAGAGATGGCAGTACATACAGCTTAATTTTTTAAGCAACTTAAAAAAAGCGGAGGTTTTTAAGTCGGTTGTATTTTTTTTACTTGTTACCTCGCAACTCCGTCATGGAGAAAATTATATTATTATCCAAATGGATAAAGAATCTTTCAGACTGGCCACTTAAATTTTTTGTCTAAGTAGTTTTAGTAGTTTAGTTTATAAAACTAAATGGTTTTGATGCGATTGAAGTCGATTTTTGTGCTCTTTTCTTGAAGGTTATGATGTCCTATCGGTACTGCTGCTGGAAGTTGATTTCAAAGAGTGGCTGTGCGTGGAATAAAGTGCTATGATCGTAATTAATTCTTACTAAAATTGTCACTGTGAGCAAACTGACCAATAGGCCTGCTTTTATTCTCACTTATCGTCTCTCACTGGTGTCCCTCCAGCGATACCGATAGTGCAGGTGGGGCAACCATTCCATTTTCAGTGAATGATAATGCACGGTAACCCCGATATACAATATAACTTTTATACTTTAGTAATAATAAATATATACAAAACATATAGTGAATGTCGTAATAGGCGACTAAGAGAAAGCGAGGAACGAGCAGCAGCGTCCTTCTTAAAATATGTCTAAAGCCTAACTACGGTTACCAATCCGCCTGCCGAACGGAGCAACTACTGACGAAACCTTCCAAAATGGAGGCTTATATTCATAAGTAAGCAGTTAAAGGCTGATATGATGATTAGCCATACTATGACAACGCCCTTCGTTCCCTATCAATATCATAGTCATCGTTCTAACAGTCACAATGTGTCCGAGATATTTGAACCGTGACACCCTACTTAATGGTTCACTGTAGAGGTTAATTAAAGATACTATTAACTTTAACGACTGTCATTTATTTATGAAGCACAGACAATACTATACTCAGAACTGTTACATCTAGTAACTTATAAAATAAATAAATAATATATTTATAAATAATTATATGTATTTAATTTCATTGCCGTATGGTCCCGGAAATAATGGGCCACCTCTTTTCCAGTGGGTATCGCCAAAAACGACTATGGAAACTTAATTTGCGAGGGATGGGCAGCAACGTCCCTCTTAAAACATCACCAAAGCCTAACTGCGGTTGTCAACCGGCCTGCCAGCAAAATCCCTTTTACGGGGAAAGCCTATATTCAGCTGTGGACAATTAGCGATTGGCATGATGATGATGAAATTAAAAAGAAATGAAAAAAAGTTATTTTAGAACTTGTGGGACAGCGAATTAAATTATGATTTTTTTATTGAAGATTTACAATACTATGTCCATGGTACTGCTCATGACTATAGGCGACGGTTACCACTTTCCATCAGGTGGGCCGTCAGCTTGTTTGCCATTCTAAGTTGTATAAAAAAAAAAAACAATAATTTTATTCATATAATAGAAAGTTGGCTAAATAAAGAATTTTATGATCGAGAATATTTTTTTAGTAGATACAGAGTGTATCTACCACCCCAATAATCATGCTATGATCACTCCATACGTACGAGATTCACAAGCGCGACCGCGGCGTCATTTTGACTTTTCAAAACGAGTTTTTAACATTGCGCAGACTGGCCGATCTCGCCCCCGCCGCGCCGTACTCCACTGAGCGTGTATGGGTTTTTTTTAATGGGTAAAAATGTAATGATTACCCTGCCTGCGCTAATGGTATACGATGAGCGTGTATGGGTGTCACTACTAATTCAACGAAAAATATCTAAATGTTGCATGTGCCTATCGCACGACCCCCATTGTCGCGATGCATTCCATTCATTTTTTAATATGAGTAGCCGCATTTAACAAAAAAACATCAATGGATTGTTTTTAATAAATGGTGATTTCAATATTTCTAAAGCGCAACGGTATGACAAATATCCGACAGATATGATGTTACTAGCATATGACAACTATTACAATCATGCCATTCGTCTCATTCCCTCTATCCCATTCGTGTTTCAACCGTGAAGCAGTTGTGTTTGCATGACTGTGTTTCGGTTTGATGGGTGGGATATGGCGTTTCAGTGGTAATTATACAATTACCACTGAAACTAATCGCTCACGTACTGCACAGCACTCTTATCGCACATATCATCATTATCACAATCAATAAACGTCGCATTGGGAAATATATTGCGATGTCACAGTATCGCAACATCACTGTGCGGAAATCCACGTAGCATTCCCAGCGACGTACCAACCGCAGACCTATTAGTACAGCCAAATTTGCGGTCAATGTTGTGCAAAGATAGATCGGTTAAAAAATGTATTACGCCATACTATGCCAATTCGGGAAGATTTTATCAAAAATTGCTACTGTCCAACTTTCATGTGCTCTTCGAAAAAAAAATACAAATTTTTCAATTAATTGTGAATCCATATGTGGCATTTCTTGAGGCTCAAATTTAAGGTCTCTCTTAATTATTATATTAATTAATGATATAGTAGAATCAATTTCATACAAATGTATTGCCTATGCTGATGACATTAAAATGTAAATAAATAATAATAAGTTTATTTCAAAGTAAAAGTTAAAACATTTTTAAATATAAGTGAAACCCTGCTCCCTAAATAGGTAAATCCTGTACTTTAAGATAAGCAGTGCTCTTCCCTATACGGCATAATGACACAATATATATATATATATATATATATATATATATATATATATATATATATATATATATATATATATATATATATATATAAAAGAAACAGTAAAACTTAAGGTACTATAATAATGATGGATGGAATGGATGAAATGATGATGATGTTGTTATAAAATGGCAGTCATAACCTAAGACACTACAAATAATAAATCTTCAGTTTCATCATTTGTCTTACTTAATAAGCAATCTCTAATAACATCTTACATAATAAGCAAACTCATATATAGAATGTTGTTTACTTATAATATTAAGAATATATAATTTACGGACAGAAAGAACATTACATTTTTTGTATAGCAAGTTTGTGGGATATTGAAAATCATAGAAATTAATAACCTTTAAAACAGCTCTCTGTGCAATCTCGAGATTTATTAGAACTGTCTTAGGAACACCACCCCAAGCAACTATATAGTAGGTCAAAAGTGACTGGCACAATGCAGTATAAGTTAGTTTTAGAATTTTTATATCTGCAACTTGCCTCGAGACGTTTGAAAATATAAGTTTCCTAATTCTACAAATTAATTTATTTATATGATGTTTAAATGTTAAATTATTATTAATACATACACCTAAATATTTTATTAGCTGTGTTCTTGCTAAAGATTTACATGAGCATGTTTATAGATGTGATGGTAAAGTATGGGCAGTAATAGATAAATTGACAGGCGGTTGAGTAGAGTCCCTGAATGGAAAATATATTATTATATTTATTATTATTATATTATATTATTATTAATATTTAGTTTTTTCTGTATTTAGAGAACGTAGTACTAGCGAAGGAGGGATGGGGATAAAGTTAGATCAAATAGTCTATTGTAACGAATTTATCATGAAATGACCGTGGTCTCCAGAGGAAAGGATGTTTAAAATGAGACCCAACCACATTGCTAGTAGTATATCTTGTCAGGTCGATCTCCACATAGTCTTGAAACATCGTAGTTTTATTTCTGGTGGATTCATCATAATGACCCAAATGACCTAACTTAATCTTCACCTGTTCTCCTTCATATATCCACCTTCCCCACTAATGTCCCGCCAGTGCATATCAAAAGTGTAAATAGCATCCATTAAAAAAATTATAGTTTCTCAGAGGCGACCGCGTAAAGGTCGACCTTACAGAACACATTTCTAGCATTGGCGCTACTAGTCTTCATTGCTAACAATCTCCTCCACTGCCTGTATACGTAGGTATTATTGGTGTGATGAAACAATTATATTTCGTTTAGATGTCTATGTCTCTCACTACCCCATTGGAATTTCATTCGTGTTTATATAGATTTTTTATATATTAATATCATAGATATATTTACGGAGAGGACGGCTGGGACGTACCTCCCCCCCCCCCCTCCAGTATTGTCTGGTTCCCTCTATAGGATCCGTGCGAAGCTTCACAAAGACATGTCTGAGAGTGCATCTAGGTCCACATTGAAAATAAGTACTTCGAACACCAAATAATCATTATACTTTCAAAAACTTGCTTTATCATATGGATTACTAAATGAAAAACTAGGTACCTACTTTTGTTACCAAGAGAAAAAGTGACCCATTACCAATGAAAGTCATTTTGGATACTAAAGTCGAAAGTGGGGGTTTTAAATCACAAGTTATGAATCGTACTTTCTTTCTGTAAAATAGATAACGAAAATCCCTTTAAACAGTAAAAAACATTTGTATATAATAAAAGTGTTTATATACCTAACGCTATAGCTACATACTGGATCCATTTCTTATTAAAACTGTTCTCTCTCAAGTTGTGTCTAACGATACACATTTATAAAATTTTATTAGCTATTTCATTAACTTTATGATAAGGGATTTTTATAATTTATTTATTTCTTATTGCATTCCATAATATAATTTGTGGATAACATTTCAATTATGGACCCTGTTGTGCACAGCAAGTAGGAGAGAGGAGGACAACACTTTTTTCACTTTAGAAATAGTTTAAGGATCTCTTAATAAGATATTTAAAGCCATAATAAATAAGCTACAATAAATAAAAAAAAATCCTATATTGATGTAACTAATAACATCGTTATAGAGTTAAATAATAAACAACAATTTATATTAATAAAATACTTTAATGTGATTATAGAATAAAATTATGATTATACAATATTACCAACCCGTAGATACAAAATTTAATATAATCCAAGAACAAGGATCATCTTTCTCTTCGTTCGTAGGATATAACATTATCAATACCAATTAGACCGGACCGTAATACTTGGAAAATCATTGAAAATAATACAAAATTCATAAGTGCATTTCATACATCAAAAATTTAAAAACTGTTTTAAAATAGGCTAACTTGTATGTAAGGATATAAAAAAAAAGATTAGACAGCTATGAGAGGACATTTGACATTTAGTATTACTGCTTACCCTTATAATCGTTTTTTATAACATACCGTAACATGACAATACTGAATGATTTTAGCGACACGATATAATACGCCAGCTAAATATATATAAACATATGGACGCTTATAAATTTCCTATACGATATTTATTTATTTATTTAAACTTTAATGCATAGTAAAATTCTATGTACATTTGGCGGACTTAACACCGGACGGTCTTCTCTACCAGTCAACCATTGGGCAAACCATATTGTCGCTGAGAATTAAAAACATTTTCATGTGACAAATTTTTATTCTCCAATTATAACGCGACGATATAACTACATAAGAACGTACCGTGTTACGGTAGATTATAGAAAATGTTCAGTGGGAGACAGACATAATGTTTATTTATTATAATAATGAATCCATAGTTCGCTGCAGCACAGCTGGTACCGGTCCAATGAGTATGTACTATAATATAATAAAAAACATACAAAGTTATGGCTAGAGTCTATTGAGCTCTCATTGCCTTATTCGTCTACAAAATTAGTGGACGGGAAATTCAGCCTCAAAAATAGTATATGCATAGTATAAAATGTCAAATACAAAATCAAATACTTCCACAACTTAATTTAGTAATGATTATTATAACTACATTTTGATTACTTAAGTCCAGGTTTTAGACAGTCCAAAATATATAGACACAACATTATTCATGCACTAAATCCAAAATTTTAAGGGTTAAGAGGTATTGCCATATTTTACATTTTCATTAATAGAGTAAATGAATCATTATATCAAAATATTATATGTCAACATTGAATACACACTCGGTATGTACTAAATTTATATTAATGAATAAAAAGAATGGTTTAAGTGTCTCAGTAAGATGAGGTACTTTCAAAACTTACATGTGGCAATACTTTTTTCTGTACAAAAGTGACAGATATGTACGGGCAACCGACGTGCCAAGTTCAGATGAAAATGTGTGTCTACAGTGTAATGTTACGTCTTCATTTTTAGTTGGTCTGTGACTCAAATTTACAGATATGGGTGAATATTTCGCTTGTCAATATCGACAATAGCCAATTGAATTTCTGAAATTTTACACATCCAATTTTTTTTAATAAAATGATTTTTTAATTAGGTTTTTTAATAAGGATTAAACACGAGACTTATACCATATCTGTAATTTGGGTTAGGACTACATTAAATTTACTTCTTAATGGTGTCACTATTGAATAAAATTTTAATTTTAATTATATTTAAAGAATAGCTCTCAGATCTTAAAATTGTCAAATATAACAAATAGATTAGCAAGGAGGAGGTTCTGCTTAGGGTTAAAGAAAAAAGACAAATTATTAGAACTATTGAGGAGAGAAGGGGAAAAATGTTGGGACACTTGATACGACACGACGAATTTATGAACATTACATATGAGGTAAGATAGAAAGAAAGAGGGGAAAAGTGAGACCGAGACATAGTTACATCAGGCAGATCAAAGAAGGAGTTGGTGTCGTGTCATATAAAGAGGTGAAGAGACTCGCTGAAAATCGTAGTGAGTGGCAAGAGCTCCACCAACAAGAGCGCAGCTCTTAAATAGGATAGATAGATAGAACAACTAGAAGTAAGATGAGATAAAATTTCTTAAATGAGAAGAGTTAGTTAGTGTTCAAGTATATAAGTTGTAAAGAAGATAATAAGAAATGTAAGTCAGTTTAGTTCAAATAAGCACATTAATTTTAAGGTCAACCACGATGCGACAAATAACTACGATAAGCTATACAATTTGACTGCAACTAGACATCGTGTCTACGATAATGTGTTTATATATAAAACTGTAGTTTTCTGATACGCACGTTGTGATTAATTATCGTAATTCAGTCTATTCAGTGAAACCGTGGCATAGCATATGTGTCGCCCGTAATATCATTCACCGCAATAATTAAAAATAATATCTAATAATAATTATTAAGTGCCAGTTATAAATACGAAATACTATGGCTAGTGGCGCAATATATTCTTTAGTTATAGAGCTCATGAGATTAAAAAAATATATAAAAAAATAGATCAGTATCATAACCTATTTACTTCTAATATAAATAATACATTTGGCATGATAAATGCATTTTGAGCTAGAATATTCAGACATTCGGGGCGCCGACAAGCATGGAGAAATTTAAATTTGACAAATAGTGAAGTATACCTATGTATTTAAAATATTTAGGTCTGCAATTGTATATTTATTTAGATTTTTTTTTTTGATGTTTTAATTAATATACAATAAATATTTTACAATATTTTTTATTAGTCATTTCATGACATTAAGTGAAATAAAGGAATAAAACTATATTGAGTTCCAAACTAGTCGGCCAACCCAAAATTTAAAACATTAGTAAAGTCAAAATAAACAATTACAATGTAGAAGTACAAAACTAATGTCAAACTATAGAACTACCACTTTATATGTAAATTGAAAAAGAGCACTAATGTAAATGTTGTATTGAATAATGGAATTTATTTATATTAAAGCGAAAGTGAAGCATAAACAGAGTAAAAAATTATAAAAAAAAAAACCAAAGTTCGAGTTTCTTGAATGCACTCCCCACCAGATATAAAAAAAAGTACTGTAATACTGTTTCTTGTCAAAATAGCCACTTTTAAAACATTCATTTCATTCGTCTATATTATTTTAGGTAAAATGTATGCAATATAACAGCAAATCCAAGGAAAGGCTTCAACTATTCAATAAGTATTAAGTAAATATTTAAAAATAGCGGCCTTAGTTCCAATTTTTGTCGACTCACGTATAAATTAATGGCTCTGTAATTGACAATTATTATAATACTTTATCATTATACATTAGGCACATTATGTTATGCAATCTTGTGGTCCAATGACTTCAAAAAAAAATAAATAAATAATGCCGGGTTATCGCTTCCATTACTTTGTTAAAATAATTTCCCATTATAAAATCATATTATATTAATGTTGGCATCTTTGGCTCTACGGTTAAACACATCATAGGTGGCATAAACAAAAATTATATAACTAATTGAATAATATATTTTTAAAATATAAAATTATAGATTATATTTAAACTTAATAATAAATAATAAAGAGAACAATTTGACGAGGCTGGAATGATATTTCCTTCATACTAACGTAACCGGAAGTCGTTAAAATCAATGTATCAATCAAAGTAACAGAATTGTATTTTTATTGGCACTATATTTAAATTTATACCCTATATCAGCAATATGGCGTATTGCCTCTCAAAATTCAAATAAATTAATAACTATATAAAAATATTAAATAAATATTATAATATATATGTAAATTTAAAACTATAACAACAAATACTTAACGAGTAAATAAATGATCTCTCATTTGGAAGGTAAAATGACTTATCTTCAAGTACATATATTAAATAGATACCATGTATCAATTTTTTTTTAACAAATACATGTGTTACCTTTTTTTTTCATTCCTAAAACGTCATAAGGAGCGATTAGGGTTGCCACTATATACCAGTGCATGATAAGGTAATTTCGAAGTAAAATCTCATACTTGGGGATGGTAGTAATGATACACACTGGCTGTTTCATCGTGAGGAAAGAGCTTTGTCCGGGAATGGTACTTTTACAGGTGATTGTGATAGTAACGATCTCCTTTGGTGACGTCTAAACTAAAAATCATTCCAGAATGCAGTAATATCATTGGTGCAAATAGTTCTCTTGTTATATAAACATTTTAATTATAATATTCATATTTATACGTAAAGCCTCCAATAAACCTATTCAGTATAACAATAGGTTCGTTAGCAATGTCGTTATGAAGGGGTTTAAAGTTCATCCCCCTTGGTACGCTCAGTGTTATCCTTTTTATTGCGCCTACTTCTCCTATGTTTGCTATTGGAGAGGATCTCGTAAGCTTGTTGTATTTCCATGAAACGTTCCTGGGCCGCCCTGCGTTGGCTCTCGTCCTTTATCTTGTCGGGATGGTTTTCTCGCGATAGGCGTCTCCAAGTCGACGTGATCTCCTGTTGGGTGGAATCCGGTCCGACGCCTAGCACCTGTATTATATTAGGATTTTATTTAAAACCTCCCTAGAAAGCATCTTCCTCTTATCAGTAGGTAAGATGTTTCTGTTGTGAAGACACAGTATAATATTACTGTCCCATATGTCCACCCCTAAAGCCAACTTCAATCTGTCTCTGTCATCCAACAGCATCCTGAGTATGATAGCAAGCAGGCTGGACTGTGTGCACGTTAATCGCTGCTGCGCAATTTCCAATGGAATTGTGCAGCGGTGATTATCTGTATACTGCTTAATATATTGTATGTGTGTATGTGTATTGTGTATGTAAATTTACTAACATTAGTTTTTAAGAATATTGTTACTAATAAATATTTAATGGACCAAAAAGTCTGAAATAACAATTATTATTATTATTATTATTATCTAGTACAAACATCATTTATTAATGGCAGCCAAAAATCACGTATTTTATGCCTGAAGTATTCGGGTTATAGTGCTTAGATTAGCTAGTGTATTTCTTAACATAAGTGGGTTATAACATTTCTGTCGTTCCTGTTTCCTAATAATTTCGTTAATGTTCTATATATCTAGACTCACCTTGTAAGCATTCTGTTCTCCATGCGGATCAGAGAGTTCAATGATCTGCTTCCAAACCTCGTACCAGCCGTGATGTTGTGCGTACTGATATGTATCGTGCAAACATTGCTGCACATCGAGCCACCTGTAGAAAACCAATTACGTATAAACTAACGAATCAATTAAGAACTTTGTAAGTTTATCAATGACAAACAAATAATAAAATCTTTCGTCAATATATTATTAAAATTATAATTATTCAAGTTTCGTGTTATAGGGCTCATGGCGATTTTCTATGGGTTACCCGTTGTTTACCTTTTCCGCGGAAATTTCGAATATTTCCATAATATTATACAAATTTTGACGATCTTCATAGCGTGGCGGTTTAGCATACTGCCATAGCTTCCAATGATCTCGAGTCAGGTTCCCACCCAATACATTTATATTCATGAGTGTGTCTCTGTATAGGGCGGAATAACCTTAAAATTGACTATTCAAAAATGCTTCCAATTAAGTTTACTAAAATAAAAAATATTCATATTTCACAAAAATACAAAAAAAAAACACCGAGTTCATTAAATTCCCATTATATGTATATAATAATAATAATGTTTATTTATCTGACAACTTTTTTGAGTACAATGAACCATTTATAATAATACCAAAGATACATTAAAGTTGCAGAGAACTAAATATGTAAACAGATATTATTTATATATTGTATTCTTATTCTTATTATTGGATTCTTATTGGTCTGAGTATTTTCTATATATTATAACATGTCTGTATTGAAGTATATCTATCAACTGTCTCATTTTATTAATTAAATAATGAAATATAAATACGTCAAGATACGTTGTGTTCATAAGTACATAGAACACTAATAAAAAAAAAAGAAATTTGTCTATTACCTGACAAAAAGTTGGCCCGTTTTTTGAGACTCTATGTTCTATCAATACAATCTAAGCTCGCCGAATTCCTAGCACTGCAGTTTGGCACGGGTAGCATTCCTAACACTGCAGAACTGCAGTGTCAGGTCTAGCCAGACCTTATCTTACGGTACGCAAACATATCACCTTACATTAATTAATGTTTACATAGACAGGAATGTTTCCTGTCTATGTAAGTTGAATGACAAATTCATATCTATATAGGTAAGTTTATATTTCGCCCTTCAAAAAACAAATATGAGTTTCATTAGTTAACAACTAGAAAACAAAACTGCCTGTTCTCCGGGTTCTTTCTTAAAATCTGACACAAGCTGAAAAGTATATTATCTCAATCCTCCTTACACGGACAGCAATATTATGAATTCATTAATTAAAATTTAAAAATAGATGCATTCGCCATTTTTTAGGTCTACACATATAAATAAAAAAAAAATGCTTACCAAGGACTTGTAGTGAAATGATGCAGAGCTTCGTAAATGGGTATTTCTTCACCATCACTGTCGGTGATCGTGCCGCGGAAGTAAATGTAACTGCACCACATTGATAAGTAGAGGCACGCACACGCGCCAAAAACTAACGTCCGTCTGTAGAGCAAATTTTTTTTTACTGATGGTGTTTCGTTTGCAGTATACCAATTCATAAAATAATTTCCTTAAACTAGTAACAATATTAATTAAAATAGAGTCTCAGAAATGGTTTTTCTATATATTTTTTCTTTATACTACCAGAAACTAAAATATATTTTAACAAATACCTATTAATAAACATTAACACTAGTTTAAAAAAAAAGATTTCGTTAATGAATATACTGTATAATAAAATATCCAATTTAGATATATTCATCATAAAAATAATTAGACAAATGTATTAAATTTCCTAATTATATTTTTACATATAATTTTATTTTAATGGTACTTTGTACTTTGTAATGTACTTCACTTGTACTTTTTGTTTTTATGTTTTATATTACACTTCTGTGGCTATGGCATTTAGCTAACAATAGCATACTTACTTCAACATACGATGCCTGCTTGGAATCCTCCGCCATTTCTTGGACCAGGAGTCGAAGGCCCAAGATGCTGCTACCACCATTATCGTTAACCAGACCGTCTCGTCGTGTATGTAGTAACGCACGGGGTAAGTTATGTAGGCAGCAAATAGAGGCCATGCAAGGGTGCCTTTTTCATGGCCTATGTTGCCGACTGTCCACACGCCTACAATTGTAATACAAAGCATCCAGAAAGAATATCAATATAAAAAGAGAAAGTTGTTTTATAAATGTGGATGTAAAAAAGGAAAATGGATCGATATAGGAATCAGAGGACTTTCTTTAATGGATGATATTGGAATGGTAACTAACCAGCGCATACTGTTAGCGCAGGCGGGGCACCAGTGAGGAATGATAGGTGAGAATGAATAGGCAATTCAGTTAGCCCATCGTGATGAATACACCTGGAATTCAGCACAATGGTTTCCATGGGGGACCACGCTATAGGCGGCACATGCTAGACAGTCACCAAGGTATTTTCTGTCATGTTTAACAGTATAGAATAATAGCTTAGTCTTCACTAATTGTACAATCCTTATCATAATATAAATAAACACTTACCTGTGAGAGGTGTATACGCCTCCAACAGATATGTTTATCTAGTTTACTTATACCTATTCTGTTTAATTATTGTCAACATATATAAATCTATAAATGACGATATGTGACGATTACTACTTCCCATTTGTTGGATCGTCAACACTCTGCCATTGTAAATCGTGATGAACGAAAATTCATCCATGATCATGTCCTCTAATAAGGTGGATTGAGCAAAAAAAATGCGCAAATAAATACAGTACAAGTGTACTCACCCAGAGCGGTAACCAAGGGTATCAGGAAGTTGAGAAATCTCAGATTAACACCCAAGACCGCATCAGGTGGAACGGCAAGCATCATCATCTGCCCCCAGGAGTAACCCACCATCAGCATACCGGTGAAGCGATTCATCGAGAATGGTGGCTGTGATAATTATCAAGAGGGTAATTAAACTTAATAAACATAATACAACAAATTAATATCAAGGGTTTTAATGAGATTAATAGAAGCCAAAAAAATACGTTTTAAAAATTTTGTCTGCCTGTATGTTTGTTCGGCCATCACGCAAAACTGCTGCACCAAATTAAATGCGGTTTTCACAGTCCTACTCTTAAAGTGTAACTTAACAACTGGTGCATATTTTATCTTGAAACGCAGATAAAAAACTAATAAATAATAACATTAACAAATTGCTAGGATATAAGGTTTCTTGAATTAATATTTAATATTATATATTCTATTAGTAATTATTTGTAAATAACTAATTTGGTTGGAATAATAAACCAACATTGTCTACAAAATAATACAGTTAAAAAAAAAAGTTTATATAAATATTCTTGAAAGAGTTAGAACTTTAGTGCAGCAGTTTTTTTTTTTTTTACACGAAAAACACGCAATAAATTGTTTTTAATTTTTAACATCACACCAAATGATAATACATAAAATGCCGCAGTTTGAACGCAACATTTGCAACGCAAAACAACATACAAAAATGTCCACAGGACTAACCCATCAACAGTATACTGGTGATGCGATTTATAGAGAATTGAGAACGGTGTTTTTGATGAAAAGAATATGAATTGAGCAGTGGCATTCTTGGACATTTTCATGAAAAATGTAGTAAGCAAAGTGTGGAAAGAAATAGATGCCATAACGACGTGTAATTTGCGTGTAAATTTTTGGCTCTAAAATAGGATCTAGGCTATGATAATTTAACAGACAACATGACAATATGGCTACTTTGCATGACCAGGAAGAAAAGGTGTGAATTTATAATTAACAGGTGTAACACATTGTAAACAATTTCAAAACTAAACCTTTATATAATACATAATGATAGCATTTATTTGGTAGCTCATGCATTTTTATAATATACTATGTACTTTATTGCCCAGTAATATGTTGACAGTAAATAAGACATCTGAGTAACATTCAATTGTTACTTAGAGTATTCGATTTTTGATATCTTGATTATAACCAATTTGTCATTTCACAACGAATACACTGAATAGGTCAAAATATAAAAATAGTTGTGAAATATTTTATGAAATCGATCATGTGACTGTATAGTTTACTCATCATCACCATTTCAGACATTGGCCATTTTTCAGCATGGTTTATTATAAAGAATTAATTCCTGGTCACTCTTAAAGCTCCATTGAGAAAATTTGTTACCCAATTTTTTAAGTCTCCTATGCAATCACCTGTATGAACACAGATCAAAATATAATTAACATCTATTATACTTTAACTGACAAAATTTTCTATCTCTGAAAATCGTAATCTATTACAAATATTTAAAAAAATGAATGACCAAATCATTCCAGCCCATATCAGGTGATGCAATAGTCAATATGAAATCAAATTGAATGGATGATTACTGTTAGCTTAAAGGAATATAAGCAAGCATGTAATATGTTCAGAAGCAATTGTTTCAAACCACTCTCAACTGATTTGATAATACCAATGCAAAAAATGTGAATGTATAAATACATAAATAGTATATATTAAAACCAATAATTGAGATTTAGTAGTTAGAATACAAACAATACATGAATGAATGTGTCAAAAAATTAAACAAAAATCATAAACACAAGCAATATGCCAACTAAATATACTTACAGAATATTAACCATAGTCACCCCATTTCCAGTTGTTATTCTTAAATAAGGAAACATAAAGAATTAAATATTCTGTAACAAATAAATATATGTACATAAAAATAAAATACAGAGGAGAAAAAAATGTGTTTTTATTTTATAATACCTTTATCATCCAATGGTTGCAGATTCGATATCCAAATAATACAAACATTGGTATTCATGAGTATGTCTGTTTGTATTGGTCTGTGTTTCTATGTATAAAATGTATATATTTACAAAAAAAAATTAATCATGTCTATTACTTGTCAAGTAGCCACAGTACAAGCTCGGCTTAGTTTGAGACTACATGGTGTTGTGTATATGTCCACTGATATTTATTATTAATAATAATTTATCAGATAATAAACTTATTTTTATTAGTCACTAGCCATAAACATAGCTTTCAACTAATTATTACATATTTTCTATGGGTCAAATTTATAATCTGTGAGAGAGTGAGTAAAGGAATAATTATTAATATTTGTATTGTGCAAACACTAAATTTATTAAGTAGGCACTATTCTAAATCTAAAAACAAGGTTACAATATATTTATATAATAATTGACATAAAAATATGTAATAAAAAGCTGTTGTGGATATGTTAGTAAAATTGTTAATTAATTAATAAAGTCACTTTATATATAACTGCAGATATAGTGGCGTCTGGTATATATATTGTCAGCTTATAAATATAAATATTATAGTCAAATTAGAAACCATAATTGAGATTGTGACTAATACTATTTTCCGAGTTCAACAAATACCATACACAGTCAAAACGTATTAAGGATGTGATATGCAGAGAATGTGCAGGAGTTTTTATACATATATCTAATTTAATAATATTGTAAATAGACATTGCCTGTACATGAGAGATATATAAAACACAGTAATATTAGCAGTTTAATAAAATCAATAGAGTACAATTTCGATATCCGAAATCCATTAATCAAATATTCGATTATCCAGACTTATTCTTTACAGCTCTAATTATATCTAAATATTAAAATTTAATTATTGTTTAATTTAACTTTGAAATTGATTATCTGGATTTTCAATTCTATAGAATACTCCTGGTTTTATTTGATTCAAATAATCAAGATTCTACTGTATATGCTAAAATGATAATTTTTAGAAACTTTGTATGTATGTGTTCTGGCAGCACACAAGAATTACTGCACCAAATTGAATATTTTTCATATTTTTCTACTTCTGAAATCCATTTCATGAAGTAGCAGGCAAAAAAACTAGTTATAAATAAAAAAAACTACTATAGTAAATTGAACTATAATATATCTCATTGTGACCCAATAAGACAATGTGAGCAGCATACTAGTTACCATACCCGTGAATGTTATTCTTTTTAACTTTAAGAATGGTTAGATGCAAATAAATAGATAACCTGTGGTACAAAAAAAAAACAGATATTAAAATTGTCCAAATACATCATACCCAAAAATTAATGTCATTTTGTAGATTGTTATTAAAAGAACTTAACCTAGATAACATTACATTACATTTATAAATATATGATCTATGAATAAATGTGATCCATATTTCACAGATTAATCTTACCTTTCTATTAAGCAGCATTTTATTAATCAATACTTTCATGAGGTCAGGGTCTTCATTCGCATCTTTCACATATCGTGATACTTGAAATATTTCACTCAACCATCCAATACCAAAGCCTCCAAGGGTGCTCCACCAAACAAAGGCATGTCTATCTCTTCCCAAATAAAAATGATGAGCGCCAAAAATTCCACCGAAGAGCCAGAAAAAGTACGCCCATTTGGCGGACTTTGTAGGTGCATATATTTCTTCCATAAACATTTTAGCAAGTTAACCTGAACACGTAAAATTTATGACGTGTGCATTACTTTGTAACCTACTTGAAAGAAGTATCAAGAAGTAATATATGGAATTAGATTATAAGTCCATATTTATGGATAATTAAGAATAAACTATAAATTTTACAGTTATGTTTTATACGTACTGCCTTTGACGAAACTAGGTTACGAAATACAATATAACAAAACTTGTAAAAGTCACTAATCGCAAACGAAACTTAAGACTTAAGGATAGTAAGCAAACACGAGCAAGCCACACACGCATTACAGACACTATGCTGAGGTGAATATTCAAAAACAGTGTTGCCAGATAAAATAGACCGAAATGTGCCAAAAATTGAACCTCAGCCTAAAATTGCCCAAAATCGTTTATTAATTTTTTTATTGTAATTTATAGACCTTTTTTAGACTATCTTAAATAGGTCTATGACTAACCTCTCAACTCAGTCTGTAACGATTCTGTGAATAATAATAAAAGCGACCAAGTATGTATTACACTCAAACGGCGAGAGTTCCGTACATAAAATTGAAATAAATCATTATTGTGTCTCTTATACGATTTATGTGATAAGGTATAACATATGTGATTAATGATTAACGGTTGTTAATTTTGTAAAAAAAGTGCTAATGCACTTTTTGTAAAAGTGCAATGGGATGAATATTTTAGCTATAGATTTTATTCTTTATTAAGAAACCATTCACGTAGAACACAACATGTTATAGATTTTTTGGCGACTTCAATTACATTTATTATAACTGATTGTTATAAATACATATTTACTCAAACAAAAAATAGTCTATAGCATTCAGAGAAAAGAATAGGCATTATCGATAATATATACCTTTCTAAAAATGAAGAATTTTCAATAAATTATCAGTAGTGCCGGATATTACCCCTAATTAACTCGCGAACTTTACCTCTTTATAATATTAGTATAAATAGAGATGTTATACAAATATTCGCTACATGATAATACGTGTTCTTTTTTAGATGCTGTATATTACAAAAGAAAGTTTGCTTACTCTCCTATCAAAAAATAAAATTTATAAAAATGTATGTGCAGTAAATAAAAAGTGCAAAATCATTTGAAGAAGAAGGATAAGCAAAATAAAGTGGCAATAGCTCACGTAGCTAGAAAAATTGACAACTGATGGAGAAGAAAGGTTCTTGAGTAGCGACCCCGTATAAACAAACGCAGTCTAGGACGCTCTCCGCTAAATATGGTTACTGGTGATGCCCTCAAATTTAATGCAGAGAATCAGTGAATGCAGGTGGCTTAGGACCGTTCTTTATGGCAATCTATGGGAGAGGCCTATGTTAAGCAGTGGATGAATAATGCCTGATATGATGATGATATCATGATTGGCAGACAGATTGGCATCACAATTAGGCTTTATTTTATTAGAAACGCTGCCCATCCCTCGACCTTTAAATTCCCTTAGTCATCTCTTAAATCCGCAAGAAAATAAGGGGTGGCCCATTCTATGCCGAAACCATACGACGACTATGTGAATTAAATAAATTTGATGTGTTGTTAAAAAAAATTCAGCTTGTGAAATGTGCCTATGATTTGCTACACAGTTTGAGAATCTATAATTAAATAAATTTATATTTAAATGAATAAATGTTTTTTTCTGTTAATTTATATATGTAGAACCCTAAAAAAGGTTAAGATAGATAAGAATGGATTCATTTTTGTAGTTTTCAACTTCAATTTTAACAAATTTGAAACCATGCCACAATGACAATACGTCATATACTTGGACCCGATACTAATTTAATAATTTTTAATATTAAATGAGAGAAAAGAATAACGACTATTTGTATGTTACTAAATGTGTAGACACTTCGACAAATAGATACATTTCATACCTCCTACCTTTTCTGCTTAAGTTCAATTAAAATTACATAATTGTCAAAACTAACTATATAAACTATACAAGCCTTGGCCACAACTAGCCATTGATGGTTTCACGTATATGTGCCTCGGCTACGCCTCAGCCCACATTTGCACGTTCGTCCATCAATACTTCCGTTGCTGGCCGCTGCAGTAATGTACTGTTAAAGCTTAAAATCGCCGATTTTTTTTTTTGAGATAAATTACGTTTAAACGTAATAAAATCACAAATTGCAATTTTCGGTCGTCTGCCACTGTTGTTCAAGATAACTTAAACAATGATAAATACTAAGAACAAGGAATTGCATAGAAGAAATGATAAAATAAAAAATGTAAATTATATGGTTGCCTCCTTTCTTTTTATACAAATGTAATTAGTAAAAAGAGGACAAAAGATACATATCAGTTGCTATTTTTCTCAATTCATAGCAGGTGTATAGAAAATGTTTGATATATCAATTATTTGTCAGTAACAAATATTACATTACTAGATTATATATTTGGCACAGTTTATGTAGAAAATATGCTTATACATATTTTCTATACACTATCATGTTATAAATTGACAATTTTATTACTCTTTCTATGTAACCATCGCAATTACATAATAATAATATGTAATTTTTTTAGGAAATTTATTTATAAATGAAGCACTATTTTTGAGTCATTTTGTCAAAGTCTATACAAAATACTTATGATCTATCATAATTATATCTTCGTATAATTTCTTAATTTCAGTCGTAGTTGGGATGGTAACATAAGAACATACAAAAAAAATTCAAGTGACATATGTCTGGGTAAGTGAAAATGTGATTGACGACAGCGACGTGCACAACGTGACGAAATATGACAAATGACAGTCCCATTGAAATCTGAATTGATATATATGCAGTTATACTCCATAAATAATAAAAGTTTTGAGGCGACTCAAACTCTTCTCTATTCATAGTATTTGTTAAATAAAACCTGCAGGACAACAATAAAGATGATTCATTTGATGATGATTCATGACACAAAATTTATACACCATATATGTGAAATGTCCAAATTAAATTTAAATTTAATTTAATTTTTAATTTAATTTAATTTGAATTAAATTAAACTTACAAATTGTATATCAAAAGAGACAAACTTTTAGTCTTCGTTTTCTTTCATAGATGGTGGCCATAACTTTCGAGTAATATTTTTTAAATATAAGATTCTTTTATTTCGTCTTCATTTTATACAACAATAATTGTTAAATCATTAACTTGCAATTAGAACAATATCCATATTAATGAAAAAATCCTCTAATATGACTTGTTGTCGTAGACGTAGTAAAATATATTCATTTATATATTAACTTCAAAATGATATAAGAGTTATTTATGTACGTGTTACAATATAGTAGATGTATTTCAAAATATTTTATTTCTTTTGTAATACATAAAGAAAAATCTTGGAATCCAAAGGCAAAATTCCGTTTTCCGGAAACGGAACTGCTAGCGCTTTATGTACCAACGTCAATCAATTGTTAGCAAATTTTTTGAGAAAAAAATACGTCAATCAAACAAATGGTGTAATGCTAGTGTCTTCTTCTTTTCTTTCACTGCGTATAATAGAATCATTATTTTATGTCTCCTATTAGTGGTATGCGAAATGTCAAAATTATTTATATAGAACGACCAAAATCGATCGCGTCATCGTTCATCGCGTACACAAAACAACTAATTATGTTTTCGCGTAAAATTCATTAGACGTCCTTGTAAACGTAATTTCCTTGTGCGTACTACCTATTTACCTGATTTGTTTCAATTATGAATTTCGACGATACATCTAGTGGCGGCTACGTCACCACGGAGACTATATACGGTACTCACGAAGATTCTCATGTAGTGATGTCTGAAAAAGTCCAGTCATTAGCTGGAAGTATCTATCAGGAGTTCGAGCGGATGATAGCTAGATATGATGAAGACGTGGTGAAAACGCTGATGCCGCTGCTTGTGAATGTATTAGAGTGCTTAGATTCCGCCTACCAGACAAACCAGGAGCATGAAGTGGAGCTTGAGCTACTGAGAGAGGATAACGAACAGCTAGTCACGCAATATGAACGCGAGAAGGCGGCAAGAAAACACTCTGAGCAGAAGGTGAGTCTGTTTAATATTCTAACAATTAGACCTTGGTTCAGTTTTCTTTGTTTTACTACACAAGGCTGAAAACTTGGAATTGTTTTCAGTCTTTTTATTAACTTGTTGAGAGACAGACATTGTAAATTTAGGCTGATATTATTTTTGAGTGTCATTATTATTAAATTGTGTGTATGGGCAATGTGTTATCCCTTCTGCTATATTGGCTGTAAGGTATACTAATATATATATATATATATATATATATATATATATATATATATATATATATATATATATATATATATATATATATATATATATATATAATAATAACAGAAATAAGTATTACTAGTTGTTTCCTGTGGTGTTGCTCACTTCTAACTGTGTAGTCCCATATATTGTTCCCATTGGAACTCTTCATGAATCCAGTTTTATATTGTATATACTTAAATAATAATTACATATCTAATCTATACATATAATTAAACTGTAAAGGTTGAACGTCTATATATAGAAAAAAAAACTAAAAATCAAGACAGGCATGTTAGAAGTGAAATAGAACACATCCAGATTTTTTAAAATTTTTCGTTCCTCTGTCTGTTTGTCTATTTGTAAGGGCTAATTACCGTAACTATTGGACCAATTTGAATGAAATTTTGCATAGTGGTATCTTAAAACCCCAGTTAATATTTTAGATATGTTTAATTACAGAAAATTAATGAATTTCCATGAGATTGTTAAAAAACTATTAATTTATACAGCTTAGTACACAACCTACTTAAGTCATTTTGACCTAAGGCAAAAAGTGAGAATGACATGTCATTTGTTAATTTTGGTCCAATATTCCCAAACATAATAAATGGGTAGAAATATACATCTATACATACTAAACAATAATAACAAGTACCATGTGGATAAAGTTGCGGGCAACAGCTAGTACTTTTAGTTTTAGCTAATTCAACTGCTCAGTTATTTTATAGCATTTTATATGTATTTCTTTAGATCATATATTTTTTTTATTTATGAACCAATTGCAATAAAACAAACAATAAATGTGAAGTGGAGCAAACCACATTAGTGAAAACCACATTTAAATTGGTTAAGCTGTTTCTGAGATTAGCATGCACAAACATACAGACAAATGGACAAAATTCTAACAAAACTTTATAATAATAGTTGCTGGCAATAAAGGACTTTAATTATTTTTAATTAATTTTTTGATAGACAAAAATCCTACTGTCCTTCCATTAGCATGTAATGTTTTGTTTAAGCATGTCTCTCTATGTATTTAAGATTTTTAGAAGTCCTCACTTATACCTAATTATTTATAATACTGAGGAAGATGATGTTCCAAAACTGATAGCATGTAAAAAGTAATAAAAAACAAAGTGCAAGTATTTTGAATAATATTATATAGTAAATTTTTTTTTTCAGTTTATTTGCAACCAGTCCATATTTTTCCAGATTTTTTGTTTATATATGTATGATACATTAGTATGATATTAGTATCACTTCCTATATAATATCGCTTCTTTTTAGGCACTTTGGATAATTCTTTACCAATTACAAACAAATTAATTTAAGCATCCTGTGTATTTTGTTTTACAGAATGTATCTCCTCACTTATTGTGCACATTTCCAATTTTTTATAATTTTTTTATTTATAATAATCCAAGGGTCACCCGATATTCATTCAAAATAATATTTTGGATCTTTTGGATAATATAAAAGTTGGATTTTGATTCTCTTCTTCAAAGCTGTAATTCATATGTCTGTATAGGTTTTAAAATATATATAAAGAAGTTCCGTTAGGATATTCTAACAAAAATTGTGGATTATAAAATTAGAAATATTACTAAATATATAAGTATATTATAAAATTAAAGAACTTATTCTGTGTGATACTGTTCCCTTTATGGTGATGATGTTTATGATATCATCTCTCTTTGGCATTATCCATGCTTGTTTCCAAATTGTAGGAAAAAAGGCTTTCATTTATTGATTTTTTAAATATAATAATTGGCAATGCTAGGCCAAAAGGAAACCTACAAATTTATTAAGGATGAATACCATCCAGTCTAGCTCCTTGATTCACATTTACTGATGTTAAGTATTTTTATACAAAATCTTGTTTAATTTAAACTCTACTAATATTTAGTATGTGTGGTTCTGGCGAAGAATGGACTGTCCATTTCTTTGTCAAGGGTGTCTTAAGAAATGACTTAAAGAATTTAATGATTGGCATTGAAGGCAAATTGAAGGGATTGGCAGCAGCATCCCTTTTTAAAGATCAACATGTGGTAACTACTCACAAAACTCCTCTTATGGAACATGCCTTTGTTCTATAATGGACAGTATAATGCTAATATAATATAATATTTAAAAAAATATACTGTTCACCTTTATATCAAGTAGCCCATCAGCAAAAATATACAAAATAATAGTGTCCGTGTCTATTATTATATTTACTTTACATCTTGTGAAATAAATGTTTGTTATCGGGAAATATAATTGCATCAGTACATTTTTAGGGCAAACAAATTGTACAAGGTCTTATCAGCATGCATTCAAGTTAAATGAATTATGTACATTCAAATTTTGTTATTCTTTGTAATGCATAATCTCAATGAATAATACCTAATAAATAAACAATATCTTTGTTTGTCTGTATATGTATTTTTGTAATTTCAAGTGAATGAATGTCAACAAGACTGATATGACATATCTCATTATATTGAAAATTATTATAGTAACATATTTCTTTTGATAACAGTAATGAATATTCTAAACAATTCTTATTGAGATTAGACTAAAATGTAAAATGGGTGTTCAATAGATTACATATTTTTAAGTAAAACTTATTGTTGAAACTGATTAACCCTATAAAGTTCTCCTTTTTTGTGCATTTTATAGTTTACTGCATCCTAACTTTTCTTTTATTGTGTTACTGCACAAGTAGTAATTACATCAGAGTCTAATTCATAGTTTCCCTTATGTAGAATTATATTTTTATATATTACTTGGAATGTTACAGAATAACATACACAAATGTCTTTGAGAGAGAGAATTGCCTTTATGTATCGACAAGATTAACAAATTGTATTAGACTTAATATATGAATGTTGTATTAAGTCTAATACAATGTGTTATTAAACCATTTACTAAAGACAAAAATAATGTCAGAATCTTGTATGCCTTTAAGAGTTCTTTACAAAATATGACTTTTAGTGCTATAGTTGTCCAAATACTGATATTAAAAGAATGTTAATTTAGTTCTTAAAAATGTAAATTCTCCAAAAACCAAATGTGGAATTTTTGCTATCTTATCCTATTTTCTTTGACTATAACTGAGCACAATAAATCTTTATTGTTGTTTCATACAGCTATTAAATCTATTTTTTTTTAACTAGATTCATGACATAATTATCTTAATCTCGTACATTAGTTTCTAAGACTTTCTTTCCAGACAATAATAAACAATCTATCTGATCATGATAACCCAACATTAAAATATAACAAAATAAAATAAATTGTCTAGTAACGAAAAGATTACTCTCAAGATTAATTATTTCACATATTTAGTACATAGTCTAGGTATTTCCTAATTAAAATAACAGTGTATATATAAAACAAAATGTTGGAAATAAAGTTTTAGTTTTAATCTATCACCTATTTTATTGAATACCGGCTGCATCTCGCAGCTCCACCCATGTGAATCAGTACATAAACTATCATATGTGTTAAGTTACAATATAATTTACCTGTGTACCAAGTTTTATTAAAATCCATAGTTGACATATAAAAGTAACAAATATCCATGCATCCTGATAAAACTTGTCATTTATTATATTGTCATTTATTGTATATTATTATTAGATATTGAACTTAATAAAAAAAAAATAACTATTCACCATATTTAGTACATAATTACTAAATTATTAATAAGCAAGTGTTGAAGAATATTTATCATTATTACACGAACTTATATGTTGATTTGTTTGTGGTTATTGGTAATCATATAATTTGCTTTGCTCTTTTTATTGCAAAATGTCTATGTGTTTAAATATTTCTGAGGTAACTATGATCTCTTAAAAATTGTTATATTTTAAATGAAACATATTTTTTCAGTTACTAGAAGCAGAAGATCACTACGAAGGTGACAGGAAAGATTTGACAGGCAGACTGGAAGCTCTTGATAGCATAGTCCGGATGTTGGAGCTGAAACACAAGAACTCTCTCGACCATGCCAGCAGACTCGAAGAACGGGAGAATGAACTTAAGAAGGTATTTATGCAACAAACTATTAATATTTTCAATACTTTTGAGAATTTAGTGTTTTCCAATATATGATTGATATAATCATGAAACCCCAAATAAGTATAATAATTGTTACATGTATTTGATAGGAATATGCCAAGCTTCATGACAGATACACCGAATTGTTTAAAACCCATATGGACTATATGGAACGTACAAAGTTATTGCTCAGCACGGCCAGTGAACGCAGCGAGGTCAGGGGTCGTCTTGGTCTCAACCCTATCGGCAGATCGAGTGGTATGTTTTACAACTTTTGCTACGAGTAATTCAATTTCATCTAACATGTTTTTCACATTGAATGTGTTTTTTATTGAATGACAACTGATTGTTGATTTTATGCTAACTAAACCCAGAGTCAACTTAAAGTAGATGTGAAATTTTATACATGTGTGATAGTTGTATTAAAAAACACAGGTAAATAAATTTATATTAATAAAAATCAACAGATATATGTAAGCCCATTACTTCAAAATGGTTGGGTGATGGGCAATAATTCTTAAATTTTTATGAATGTTCCGCCCAGTTCGAAATGCAATTTCAGTTGAGAAGAATGGACACGAAACTGGGCTGTTACTTAAGTATTAGGTACTTGAATTTTCATCGTATATCCCATCAGATTGTTAATAATTACTCCTCTCTATTCAAAGATTGTTTGGAAGAGATCACTTTTACTTGATAAAGCCGCTTATTGTTTTCTCAATGTTATCATTTCTTGTAATTGTTTGTATCTATAATAAGTTTACTATTATAATCTTTTATATATAAGAAGTACCAATAAGGATTATTTATAACTATTTGTATTAAAAAGATATGGGAAGTGGAAGTAAATGGTCACAAGTACTGTACTTTGCAGTCGAGGAGCCTGCAAGTAATCAGTTACTGATGTATAACTCTATTCACGTACCCATATTTTTTTGGTTATTTTAACAATATATTGATGTGCGGTTGCATTGATAATTTTCTCTATTTAGAGCTGCCTATAATGCCTTCGTACCAGTAACTGGTAGTCATGGCCATCTCTATTCCACCCAGAGATATGCGTTTGGTGTGGTAATATATATCCTTGGCCAAAAGTATTTGTCACTCTAAAAATCCTTAGATATTTCTTATTTATTGATATGTACTCTATTTATTGTCACATAGTACAAGTCTAAATGTTAATGTGAACCAATCAAAACAATGCATCATGTCATAAAACTATAAACACAATAGAGGTGACTCATATCCAGGGAAGTCGAATTTTAGGGAAATTTTTAATTTACTACGATTCATTATAGTATGAAGAACTGTTGACAAATTATTGTAAATTGGTTATTGTTTTACGTGAGACAGTTTATAAAAAAAAAAAAAATTAAACTAAATAAATGCCTAAACGCCGAATTAAGTAACAAGGAACGATTAGATTAGTTGTCTGAAAAAAGCAAAAATAAAAAAGAAATTGCCAAAATTATGGAATATCCTCATATACCTTAAATCGCTACAAGATGATCATAAGACATGAAAATTCGAAACGAAGGAAAAGAATTACATCTGCAAGAGAAGACAGACAGTTAATACGTACTTCTTTGAAAAATCGTAACAAACAACTTCTGAATTAGCTGCTGTAAAACGAGACGCTGGGGAAAAAGATTAGCTAGAAGAAGGCTTCAAGATGCTAGGTTCAAAGGTTGCAAGGCAAGGAAACCGCCGTGGTTATTTGAGAACAAGATCTTACGTTTGCAGTAGTGTTTAGAACATCAATATTACACCGAGGAAGATTGGGTGAATATAGTTTAGTTGAATGAATCAAATTTTGAGGTATGTCATTTAAACGATTAAACATTAAAGAGATGAGTATATTGAAGTTAATGGTTCAATAACAGACGTATTTTTAAAAATCTTATTATTGTATTAAATTTCAGGTATTTGGTATTGCAGGTGTCATCTACGTGAGACGCAGAGTTAGTGAAGAATTCATACCGGAATGTGTGGTGCCGACTGTAAAATCTGGCGGAGGCACTGTTATGATCTGAGACTGCATGTCTGCCTCAGGAATTGAAAAAATAGTCGTATGTGAAGGCCGAATGGATTAAAAAAAAAATATCGAGGTGCTGGAAACAGCGCTAAAACCTTCATTGGATATGATATTCGATGTTATGATGATACAAACCTAGATGGTGTCCGATTCCAACAGGACAATGCCCTATGCCATAAGTCCAGAAACACTATGAGTAGGTTTGCGAAAAATAGTATAGAGCTTTTAAGTTAGCTCTCACAGTTACCGGATTAACTCTATCGGACATTTATGGTTGTTTTTAAAGCGCAAGATTAAGGAATATTCGATTACTTCCAAAGAAACTTTAAAGAATTGTTTTGATACGGGAATGGAATGCCATAACTCCAGAAGAATGTAAAAAAATAATTTTCTTTTAACCCAAAATAATAAATGCTGTAGTTAATGCTAAAGATTTCAATACGTAATATTAATGTAATTTTAGCATTAAAGGTGTTTTAACTACATGTTTTTTTCTCCCGTCCAAACCTTAAGTATTTTTTAAGTTAATTGTAATTTTTTAAAGTGGCAAATACTTTTGGCCAAGGTTGTAGATACATAATAGTTCCAATTTAACATTTTGGTGACACATTCATACTGGTATATATTCATTTGGATTAGTTACGTATATATTTCTGTTGTATTTGCATGACTATGATCTCAATGTTTACAATACAGCAGGTGTGTCGAAGAGTAGTAATAATTCTGTTTAAATGATAAAAAATAATAATCTTTGAAAATAGATAAAAGCTTCTGGCGTACAGATTTCGATTATGTCATACACTCTTATACTATTTGTGGGCGTAGCTGTATTATGTAAAATTTGGTAAATTAACTAACTAGCTAACTTTACCAAATTTGATTGAAATTGGTCTAGCATTTTACTAAACAATAGCGTCATAGCCAGCTAACATAGCCACTTAACGTCGTTATTCTGTGAGGGTGTGGTACTTTCCCGGTCGAGGCCTATTCGTGCTGTACACTTTTTTACTGTTTTACTTGTACACTTTGCTTCGGTCATAGGTATTTTTCTGCCTTAATTTCTTTTATCTGCTGTTCTAATTTATCATGATTAGAATTATAGAATATATATATATATATATATATATATATATATATATATATATATATATATATATATATATATATATATATATATATATAAGAAATTAAGGCAGAAAAATACCTATGACTGAAGCAAAGTGTACAAGTAAAAAACAAATGAAAGGAATAAAGAGAAAAAAGAAAGTTATAAAAAAAAATTATACAGGTTTTTAGGAAGTGAACCCGTAATTTATATTTAAAGGTAGATTTGTTTATAATAAATTTAATTTTAAGAGGTAGTGCATTCCAATGTTTGACCAGAGTGGCAAAGAAATAAGAAATTAAACTTAGTGCGATGAGCTGGTATGTGGAAAAGTAGCTTACATGGACGAAGACAACGAGAAGTATTGTCCCCGTGGAATATAAATTTGCATTTCAGATACTCTGAAGAATTTAGAGCGTATAAAATAGAGTGAATAGTACACAGGATACGTATAATTCTACGTTGTTGGATAGGAAGCCATTTAAGTTAGAGCGGTATGATGAGGTGTGGTCGTATTTACGTCGGCCAAAAATAAATCGTATAGCATTATTGAGGAGACTATTCAATTTATTCATAAGGTTTTTCATTAATGTTTGTGCAGCAAACATCAACATAATTAAGTACAGGCAGCATCAGAGATTGTATACAAATTTCTCAATGTGATCTCAGGTTCCATAGAAAATAATTGGTGGTGAGCGCGAAGCAAATTATGTATCTGAGGAAGAAATAATTCAATGGTAAAAGTGAATAATTAAAGGACCTGGCTGGAAGATAGGTAGATCTTATTTGAAATATGAGCAACACGATGGATTGACCTCATCAAAACGGCCACACAGCAGTCTATTGTGGAATGCTCTCGCTCAGCTGAGAACAGAAGTAGTGGAGGCGCATTGCAAGGACCTCAATCGCGAAGGAGAGCCTCATCAACAAACCACTATCATTATAAAAAAAACCACAACCACTCTGTCGACTGAAGATTTGAAATATAGAATATTACCGACCCGCCCAGGCTTCGAACTTAAACAACTTAACTTTTTAAATAAAATGCAGCCTCTGTACTCACTGATAATGCAGACAGATATAAGTGAAAGAATTTTTTGAACCTCTTACGTATTTTTTAATTATCCCTTACAAACAACAAATAAAATCTTTCCTCTTTATAATGTTTACGGAATAAATCCGTAATTCCTGTAGTATCTTTATTATATTATTTATTGTCTTGCTATTCCTTAACAAAAGGTGTCAAATCAAGACATCGCTATGCAAACACATGTACTTGTTGGAATAATTTTGAATAAGATAAAGGCACTCATGTTTCTCTTCCTGTTAAGTATTTCTTTTTATCAGGTCCAATATCGTTCGGGTTCTCGTCGCTCGAGGGATCTGTGAATGTGCTCGAGCAGTCATCAAGTATTCCTGGCAGTCCTGTAAGCCTTTCGTCGTCACCGCCATCCCCACCAATAGGTTCTGAATTGGCGGCTGTACAGACCATGGAACGTGCGCATCAGACCGATCCAATCACTCAACAAAGTCAGGTGAGACATGAAACTTTGAAGCGAAAAACAATTTCTGCTAATGAAAAGTAACTGCAGACAAGTAGTAAATGAAGTTTATAATAATGCTTATATTCTTGCAAAGGAAACTTTTTTTACAGATACTAAATTAATTGTGTCCATTAGAAAAGGTTTTGGGAACTAATTCTCATATTGTTAAACTGATAAAAGCAACATGTAAAATTACAACTGTAAATTAGAAAAAAATATAGCTTTAGGTGTTTGTTATGACTCGCCAAGCGTTAGATATATGAACTATAAAAGAAAAATGTGTACATTCATGCATTATCAGGTTGTGAGGTATCTATAAAAAGTTCTCAACAAATCACATTGATATAGTAGTGAAGTGTAGGAAGAGTAAATTTTGCATTAACCTCCGAAAACGATTTGAAAAAAGTATATTTTCATGGTATTGATTCTATTACTGTGCCATTATCAGTGTTATATATTTTAAGTTATTTATTTTAAAAAGAGATAGCAGACGTGTTATCTCACTCGTTCTGGTGCGTGTAAACAATTATAGTTCAAAAACGCCTCTACTACTGGTAAGCGTTTTAGAATTATAATTGCCGCTTATAGGCACATCAAACAACATGATTACTTCATGTTTGTCAAGTAATTTTTTGGTTTGATTTATAGTTCTAATAACTGATATTTTAATAGATAACCTATTAAAATATCAGTAATTACAACACATCCTAAGAGATAAGGTTTATCACTTCCCCTCGTTTCTTAACAGAGCATAACTCGAGTCGAAAGTGAAACTGTTGTGGTATGGTGCTTTAAATATTCATGTATGCATTATACACACTGTCTTATTCATAAAAATTCTTATTGTAACTTTAAAGAGTTCAAACGTCAAATAACACCATAAACGTTTAAATTTAAATAGTGCTATTCATAAACGCTTAAAAACTAAAATAGGTTTATTGGAGTATTTACGTTATTGTGTTGTAAACTTGTCATGTTCTACAGACCATATACAGTTAGCTGTAAATGACTGTCAAAAATATTATGTGATTTTATCTTGATACTACTACTATTATATTTTTGTAATAACAATTAGAAAAAATATAATAATTGCTCTTTTAATTAAAAAAATAATATATACATATATTAAAATAGGAATAGAAATGGGCGAGGTTAAGCAAACACAATGTTGATTGAATACGTCTTTAGGATGAGTATGCATATAATAATAATGTGATTCGTCATAAATAATCGCAGATTTTCAATCGATTTCAATTTTAGATTATAGAAAATGAAGAATTTGCATTTATATGCTTAAAATAATACATTATTTTAATATAATTTGTTTTTGAGATTAAATGTACCCCTAAACATTATTATTATTATAGTTTTTATCCACTTCAGTGGTCCCCAAGGGTAAAAGCCTCCTCTATCTTTATCCACTTCTCCTTATCTGTAGCAATGTTTGTCCAGTTTTTTCCTGCTGTCTTTATTACGTCATCAGCTAATCTCTTTCTTTGCTAATAATAAACATTAGTCTATTATAACTTTATGGGGCCACTATTTGATTTTATGAGCACCTTTTTTTTATACGACTTAGAATGGCAAACAAGCTGACGGCCCACCTGATGGTAAGTGGTAACCGTCGCCTATAGACATGAGCAGTACCATGGACATTACAGAGTATACTGTTTCGCCCATGATACCCCCCATGCGTTGCCATTCCTGAGGACTCAGGTGTTATTCCTCTGTACCCAGTAAATTCACGCCATATCCCACCGAAACACAGCCATACAAACAACTGCTTCACGGTTGAAACACGAATGAGAGAGACCCATGCGTTGCCATTCCTGAGGACTCAGGTGTTATTCCTCTGTACAACCTTATTGGCTTACTATAGTGTGTTATGAGGCGTTTATGAAAAAATATTTTTATAAACACATTTCTTTTTTGTTATTAGGGCTTATAATGAGTACATAATTTGTATGAATAAGACTGTGTATATCGTCTTTATGCTGTTTATTTATACAATGTAAGTAACTGAACATATCAGCTGTTGTAAATGTTACGTCTCGTTACAAATTGATGATTTCTTTTTTACCATTGCATTTGTTATTTGGATATGTTTTCTTTTATATATTTATTTTATTGCCTAATAAATAAATATAATACCAATATCGCATTTTTTCAGTAGTTAGTGATGAATGATGTATAAATAGATAAAATCTTAAACATTTTCATATGCCGTATATAATGTGGAATACATTATATTAAACAGATAGAAAAAAACTTTCCTTTAATGGACTGTAATTTCCGTTTGTAATTTAAAATTTTTTTCTCCTATAACGTAGTTAATCAATAAATCGGTTTATCTATAATTATTTGTCCAGTCAGTTACTATAAGGCTAGTTATTTCCATACATTTTTGTATTGATTTTAATCTGAATATATTTTCCGCTAGTAACTGTACAAAATTGTAATTGAATATATAGTATTACTAAAATTACATCGCTACAAGAAAAGACGTGCTCATAAAACCAAATTTATAAATACAACTATATAACTATATAATACAACACTAATATCTTGAGTCACCTAATTACATCACTTTATCACTGTAGCGAGTCCACTAACAACCAAAATCCAACTAGGGATCCTATTGATGGCTCTGTTACACCCATCCTCGTTGCATTCACAAGCCAGCGAGTAATGCATACTATTGAACTTGGATTGTACGCATTGTAATGGTTCAGAATACACGTACGCACACTCACGGACTATTACTGTGTCTTGTGTAGACGTAAAAAATTGTAATTGACTTAGCAGTCGGCATACAGGTGTTCCAATGCTACTATTGTGACACTCTCTCAAATAACGATTGTCCAAATTATATGTGAAACAACCGCGGTTGTGAATTGTCGAGCACTGGTAACATTTTATACTGTCCACTTGTCTAAATACCATTAGGAGAATTGTTAACGTGGTCAGATCGATTAAGAAACATTTCATTTTATTATGATTTCGTTTTATTGGCATTGACCGGCATGACGTTTGGCTTCGAATTTCAAAAGCATTCTTTTAATGGCTAGGACCTATTTTGTATATATTTCTATTAGAGACAGCCTATAGTATTCTTAATCTACGTTTATAGATATACCTATTTATAAATACGACGTGTTTAAGCATATAATGCGAGGTAAATTTTAAGTAAATATTTTAAAACTATTTACAACCAAGTTTTAAAGAATATAAAGTCTATTTTACTTATAATACTGCCTTAAAAAAGATGCTAATAATTTTGATTGTATTATATATAAATAAGAAGTATTTATTTATATTTAGAGTTCGGAAATATTAGACACATAATTCTTTAATATCCTGAATTTAATTCGTGTTCGGTTTACAGTTTTAGAAATTCAAAATTATTCCATATCATTCCGTGACCTGGACATATTGATTGGCCGCGAACAACTATACCTTATGTGCTTTCCCATGCCAAGGACTGTGTGAATGTCAAAATTCAATATGATCGGTTGTGCAATTAGGGCCCGAGGGCTGATAAACAACTCACTATTACAAAATCTTCTAATATTTCTCTTGACCTTGATACAGATAACCTCAACAGGCATTTCAACTCTACTGTTTTTGATAACTACATCAAGAGAACCGCATTATATCATTTTCCTACCATATCAAACCCTAACTGTTATTATATCATTTATTTTTTGTTTAGGTTACTAATTGTGATGTTGAAAAGAGCCTTCTATCGATTACTTCTGACGCTATGGATACTTGGATAGATTCTTGATATTATTCTCCTATCTATCGCTATCTTTAATAATTCACTATCCTCTAGTGTCTATACATTCTGTTTGGAAAGGTGTCCACATTATTCCGACTATCATTCGATCTTCTTTTCTTTTCATTTCAAAAGCGCTAAACCGACACGTCTATAAACATCTCTCTATTTTTCTGATTTGAATAATAAAAAAGTAACAAATAAGTATATTCTTTTATAAATAGAGTATTTTCTCATATGAGGGAACTCGATGAACACGTTAGAAAATATGCTGGAGATTTTGAGCGTGTTCTAGTAAGTATGATCTCGTTAACTCAACAATCGAATGAATTATAAAATATGGTTGGAGAGATGGAAAATGAGCACTGATTTACTATTTGAATATTAATTCTGAAATTATATTAGAAAAATTCGAATTCAAACTTCACTAATTCCCTATTACTTTCCGTACTTGGTTAAATATACTAGTACCTGCTATCTTGATCTCTCCGAAGAGCAACTAACAAACTTGATTGACTTCTAAAGATAATTATATATATATATATATATATATATATATATATATATTATCTTTTCGATCAAGCTTGAAGAGTTAAATGAATTTAAATGAAATTAGATACACAGATAGGGGACTTTTATTTTTATAGTGTCACTTTGTTAGTGTTAGAAATGTACTAATTTCAGAGTATTTCTTATTTATAAGTCTGGATATGCGATGTAATCATCAATTATTGATTGATTTAGGTAATTAATTTATATTGTGAGTTTGCTTTCCTGTTATTACTGTACTAATAACTTTAAGATTGATTATTTTATTTTAAAATATACCAATATAAATTGTATTCCTTGTTAGGCAACATCACCAGTGGCACCACCAAATTCTGGCGGGAAATCACAGACGAAGAGTGAAAAACGAAGCGGTAATACTTTGTATCAAGAATTATCGTTCAATGAATGTGATACTACCTTAACCGAAGCCGAAGACAGCGCTGATATAACAGGTAAAATTTTGAATATTGCTCATTTATTTAATATATAAAGTATGCAAAGCTCAGACTTGTTTAGTATGTCGTGTACTTAGATTATTAGTGTACTTCAAAAAACATGTTTCATATTGCTTTAAAAAATAGTAAAATTTTGAAGTGAAGGTTTAAAATCGGTATTTGTGGATCCATGTAGACTATATACGGACGGATAATGACGCTAAAAGTAACGGCCATTTTAAATACTTTTTACTTAAAAATGGTGACCATTTTTATTAATTCTGATACCAGATCCATATTTGAAATGTATACGGATTCTCAGATATCGATTTTGGAAGCAGTCGGTCAAATAACAAAGTCTGCATAATACTTATTCAATAGTATCTCTATGTACATCTTTATATAAATATTATATTATGTAAAAAAATAGTACAAGATACAAATAATATTTAAAAATAATTTAATTCTTATTGAAAAAAATCCATCTCATTTTGGGAATTTTTATTCATTTGTGGGGAATTTTTTCGCATACTTGCAATACTAAAAATAACGACAGTTCTTTAAAAAAAAATATAATTACATTTCTGTATAAAATTAGTTAAAATATTAGTCCTATTTTTTGTCTCATAATTTTTGCTCCTTTTTATTCTGCAAAAACCCATTTTAATTAAATAAAGACACGCCAAGATATATTGAAGTGTAAGTATATAGATCACTAACAAAAAAAAGAGTCGGTAAATTTGACAATTAGTAACTTTAGTGAAAACTTAATAATAAACCCCTACGCCTTTATAGCATTAAATTTTCAACCTATCGGTTTTTTCTGCGCTTTGTCTGCTGATTAGTGCTTTATTTACATATAATTAATTTTAAGTAGCTTCCTAATAATCTGTTATACTACGTTTCACGACGAACTTGATTGAAAGTTAAAATTCAACTCAATAACTTTGATGTAAAGGTTCACTTTTAGAAGTCAGCTGTCTTTTTAGCTTTACTTAGGAAACTTCTTCGTAAACGCATTATCGTCTGAAACTGATGTATTGTATATATTTCACAGGTAGCTGGGTACACCCTGGCGAATATGCGTCGTCAGGTAATATATATCGCTATTATAACACATCTATATTGATTACGAGTAGGTAAAACGAGTAGGTACTATTTGATAACGGGCTAAAGAGCATTGTTTTGATGCACAGTTACTGCGCTTAGAAATTAGAATGTACATATTTTTAAATTTCGAATGTAACATTTTATTGTTTTTTTTTATACACCAAACTAGATAATCTAAAATTCACAAAAATATTTATATTATTTGCAATGTCGATATTACATACTGGCCATTTTTCGCGGCGTTGCCTGCTTCTAACTATGTAGTTTCCGTATATCATTCCCATTACACTCTCTTCAACTATTTATAAATCCGGTTTTATATTCTATTATATACTTAAATGATAATTACGTACCTAATCAATACATACAATAAAGCCAATTCAGCTGATTAGTTATTTTATACCATTATATATATGATTCTTAAGATTGATATAACTTTTTTATTTATGAATCGATTGAAATAAGACAAATTCTAAATGTTAAGTGGAGCAATCCGCAACGTATTAGTGGAAACCGCATCCAAATTGGTTAAGCCGTTCCTGAGATAAACATGCACAAATGTACAGACAAACGGACAAGAATTCTAAAATTCATTGTATTGGATTCTATTGTGTTCATAAAGCCCTCTATAATAGTTTTTTTTTATATAATTTTCATGTACAGACCGCGACCAGTTACGATTTTATTGTATGTATTGATGGTGTATTGATTAACTTTACGCTTAAATATTAATATTTTTATGTACACTTTTAATTCACATTATATTCGCCTAACGAAATGTTGTAAATATTTCTGCTTCTACTAACAAATTGTAAAATAATGTAAAAATTGTAAAATATTGTAAATAAATACAGTATATTCATTGAGATCGTTCACTGCTTTTAAATTTATTATTATTATTATTTAATTTATCAATTACACAGTGATTATTGTCATTTATGAAATTGGAATTGTGGAAAAAAGTTTGTTAATCACTGTTTACAGATTTTATTAGATTATCCCTTCAGCTACACGAAACGCTCTGCTAGTTTATACAGGGTGTGTAATAATAAAATCGAACAACTTTGCCCAAGGAATGTTGGTCGAAATTATTAAGAGAATTAACTTACATGTTAACCTAAGATAATGACCTATTTATATACTAAATTATATAGAATTCTATTCGAATGTTTAAGCGTGATTGATTAACAAACATTCGAAATTTCACATTTATAAACAGTGGGAACCCATATTCCTTGTGGTATGTTTGTCGGTTTTGTGTATAGAAATTATTCCTATGCACCATATATAAATAGCTTACTCTCAAAATAATTTAGAAATGGAGCACGTGATCGATCTATTTGTACTTGTTGACTTGTATGCTGATCCTTAACTTTCTTGTACTAATTTTGTGTCAATTCTCTTTCCATGCGTTCTAACAAAATGTTGCATCAACGTAATGCAGTTAACGATAACTACTTCGGTGAGTACCTCATTACTTATCATAATCTTTATCATTATTTAAAAATAAGTAACTTTTTTAAACAGTTAAAATTTCTGTACACTAAACTGTAAATTGGTCTCATTTTATGTAACATAATAAACAATAATAATTTATGACCTTTAATCCCATTTTCTCATACTTTTTTGTTTTGTAATATGACCAAATAAAACATTAGTTGATGTGTTTGTCGTTCAGTGTAGTCTTTATAATATTCACAAATATAAATCTATACATGTATACATACATATCCATTGTAACGCTAAATGCCCCATTTATAAATGTATATTTTTGAAAATGCTAAACTTTTGCATTTTACAATAAAATGCCAAAAATTAATAACGATTTTCATGCAATAAAAGTTGCTGTTACAATTATGCAATTACAGAATAAACGTTTCATATCTCTGTTTGTAATTATGATAACAATGTAACTAATTTACTACTTGAGTGTGAAAACTTTCGGGTAATCTTGTTTTGGGCTTTGAAATCATTAGATTAACTACTTCAGTGTTGTTCTGTCAGTAAATAACGGGTTTGGATATTAATATTACAATTAATCACTTTTTTTTTTATATACAACTTAGAATGGCAAACAAGCTGACGGCCCACCTGATGGAAAGTGGTAACCGTCGCCTATAGACATGAGCAGTACCATGGACTTAACAGAGCATACTGTTTCGCCCATGATACCCCCCATGCGTTGCTATTCCTGAGGACTCGGGTGTTATTCCTCTGTACCTAGTAAATTCACGCCATATCCACGCCCTTTAAACCGAAATACAGCCATGCAAACACAACTGCTTTACGGTTGAAATACGAATAGGACAGAGGTACTCAAGCAATCGACTTTTGTACAAAGTCTCCCTCTGGTAAATCACATCCTTTTACATATTATATTTATAGAAATATTTCTAATGATCATCTTTTTCAACAGGAATGGGCAAAGAAGTGGAAAATTTAATCTTAGAAAACAACGAACTTCTCGCTACAAAGTAAGTGAACTTCAATATCCATTGATTTATCCTATTATCCTAAATGCTGAAAGTAAATATACGTAAATGCTCCAATACTTAACAATTCTTAACATCATTCGTTATATTAGTTTTTATATTGATTTTGCTAGTAGTTGCCACGCTTGGCAGGCGAATTGGCAACTACAGTTGGCTTTGGAGATGTTTTAAGAGGATCGCTGCTATCCATCTCTCGCCTTCCCTTAATCGCCTCTTACACCGATTGGAATGGATAGGGGGGAAATATTCTATTCCGGGACCACATGGCCTGCATTACACTATGACTATATAGTATAAAACAAAGTCGCTGTCGCTGTCTGTCGGTCTCTATGTATACTTAAATCTTTAAAACTACACAACGAATTTTGAAGCGGTTTCTTTTTAATAGATAGAGTGATTCCAGAGGAAAGTTTATATGTATAATACATTCATAATATAGTAGAGAAATACTGATAATTTTAGAGGTGTCTAACGTAATGTGATGTGCACCCGTGTGAAGCCGGGGCGGGTTGCTAGTTAAATATAAATTAAGAATTTTATGTTTTATTTTATTATAACGTCATATGGTTCCTGTATAGAATGGGCCACTTCTTCCTTTACCGTGGGTGTCGTAAGAGACGACTAAGGGAATTTAATGGTCAAAGAATGGGCGGAAACGTCCCTCGTAAAATATCATCAAAGGTTAACTATGGTTGCTAACCCGTCTGCCAAGCGTGGCAACTGCTAGCAGAACTCTTCTTACGGGGAAGGCCTATGTTCAGTAGTGGAGAGTTAACAGCTGATATAATGTAAATAATATAGTATCATTGTTATGGAGCAATAAATCAAATAATGACGATTAGCTTAGTATATATTTTTGTGTCATATTTGGGCCATAAATATTATGTATAAAAAAGAATCTTGTATGTATATATACATAGAAATACATGATACGAGTACATATCATGCAAGATTATGTTATTTTAAAACGTGTAATTGCATATTAAATTCTTCTGTTATAAAAAAAAAAATATAAGTAATTGTAATTGCCTCATCTTAGTAACACAAGGTCGTCCTAGCCTATACGTCAGAGCCAATTATAAATCATTAATCAAAGATGTATCCTAGTGTACATCATATATAGACATAATATTTTTTGCTGAATAAATTATTATATATATAATAATGCAAATATATTAGCCATAATCGTAAAAAAACACAAATTGATTTATTTAATACGATACATGGTGCAGTCATTAATACAATTTCCAACTAATTCTATAAATGTAAAAGTTTGTAGAGTTGTTTTCGATATTAGTTACCCAATCACACTTATATGTAGGAACCGTTTTGAATGAAATATGGTATACGGGTACTCTATATCTATCTATATCTTAATATATAGGATACATGATTTTATAGGAGACACCGAAAACATGTTAATTTGAAATTTATTCCAAATACATTGCAATCAAAAAGTAAAGTAGTCGGTTTTAAAATAAATTGTCAATACATTGAAATAATAAATATTTGTCTATCTATATCTTAATATATAGGATACATAATTTTATAGGAGACACCGAAAACATGTTAATTTGAAATTTATTCCAAATACATTGCAATCAAAAAGTAAAGTAGTCGGTTTTAAAATAAATTGTCAATACATTGAAATAATAAATATTTGTCTATCTATATCTTAATATATAGGATACATAATTTTATAGGAGACACCGAAAACATGTTAATTTGAAATTTATTCCAAATACATTGCAATCAAAAAGTAAAGTAGTCGGTTTTAAAATAAATTGTCAATACATTGAAATAATAAATATTTGTCTATCTATATCTTAATATATAGGATACATAATTTTATAGGAGACACCGAAAACATGTTAATTTGAAATTTATTCCAAATACATTGCAATCAAAAAGTAAAGTAGTCGGTTTTAAAATAAATTGTCAATATATTGAAATAATAAATATTTGTCTATGTAACATACAAAAGGATATATGTAAGTTAAAAAAAAATTACAACTATTTTGTAAATGTGAGTTAGATTAAAAGGTATTGATGGTTATTGGTGATACAGCTAGTACGTTGTATTAAAGAAATATTTTGTCATCAGGAACGCATTGAACGTAGTCAAGGACGATCTGATAGTACAAGTGGACCAGCTAACCGGGGAACAGGAAATTCTCAGGGAAGAAGTTGCCAACCTCAGCGCTGCCAGGGAACAGCTGAGGGAGCGAGTCACTCAGCTCGAGGAAGAACTGAGGCATCTAAAGGTATGATCAATAACAGCACCTTTATTTAAAGATTGCATTTGTGTTAGACAATTTTTGATATCATTCAAGGTTGTAGCTGAAACTTGAGTCAACCATTATTTTTCTTTCAAATATTCGTTTTTTTGTGGCCATCTTACGTGATTAGGTCGCTAATTTTGAATTAATTTTAGTAATTATTATTTAACCGATGTGGTTTACTTCCGAGTTAGTCCTATATTACTTTATAATTTATTTTTTTGCGGAGGAAAAATAATTATCAAAAATTATTCATAATTAGTTAAAATATTGTGAAACGTAAGAGAGAAAGAGATTTTTTAGAATGAGGATCTATCAGCCCTATTGCTAACAAAAAAAAAAACTATCAGGGCAGTCGATGTCAATGAGGTTCCCTCTGGAAACAATCTTAGTTAATTCTTTATGAATTATTTCTACGACCCAACTGACCTGTTTCATCCTCATCATCTCTCACTGGCGTTCCGCTGGCGTATACCGATTGCGTAAGCAGGCTTATCATTCCATTATCACTTATTAAAAAGAAATTAAACTGTCGTTTTGTAAATGATTTACCTTTTGGTTAAGTAACTACTTAGAGACATTTACAGTTTGATGATTAATCACAGCTATTACAGTGAAACGTCCGTGGAACTCGTGTGTGCCCATTTCTGATTACTAAGACGTTAGGTCTCCTTGCGCGTTAATTTTACTGGCGTTTTATATATTCCAACCTTCAAATTCAAACACACTCTTTATATATGTATTGATTTTTTAAAGTTACGAATACTAATTGATTATTTCAATTGCATATTAATTCTGCTTCCGTTCATTTACTTTATATGCGTGTATATAACGCGATAAGTGAATGTAATTACTGAATGTTGAATTTTATTTTTAATCCATCGATTAAATGTGTGAATATTAATGACTCTATTTCAGAAGTAGCATATTTAATGAAATATACTACATCATCTAGATGTAGTATATTTCATTAACGTAGCGTACCGTTAGCGATAGCGTTAGTTATAAAGATAAAACATACACCAGTTTCAAGTTAGAGTTTTGTTAAGTTACACCTTCACGAACATAACTGTGAAACCACATCTATATTTTGTGCAATAGTTTGTACATGATACAAGAACAACATACAGACTAACAGACATTTTTAAAATTTAATATTTTGCCTTCTATTCTTCTTATTACTAATATAATTAAATAGTAACTAGGCGATATTTGTTTTAGAAAATTCTGACTGATATGTATATGTATTATTATTTTAAGTTTTTTTTTCTGTAAAGTAGTTTGCGATTTAGCTAAGTCATCAATTGGAATCAAAATAACTTATTTTGTGACAATTAAAGTCGGTTTTTTTTATGGAATTCACTCTTATTGCAATGTCCCCTTTTCCTTTTTCCCCATGAATCCTTCGTTCCTTTTCTGTCAACTTTCTTTACTGACTCCATAGTCTCTCTTCTTTTCCCTCAATCTCTTTCTCCTTACTGTAGGTGGCAGACACCACCAACAAATGCTTTCTTTTGTATGGTTGACAACAGACAGGCGGGCGGTCGTAAAACTAAGAGCTAAAGCTTTGTTTTATGTCGATCCCAAAATTTTTGAATTTGAGTTAAGAATAGGAAGATGATGATTAGTAACGTTATCATTATTTAAAGGAAACCGTGAACAACAACACGACTAGCTGTGATAATGAGGACGAAGCAGACGTGCCAATGGCCCAACGCAGGCGGTTCACCCGAGTCGAGATGGCGCGTGTTCTTATGGAGAGGAATCAGTACAAGGTGCTCGTCTTATTCAAAATATTAATATTTCTCTATCTTTCAGCCTTAACTTGGTTAAATGATATCTCTACAGTAAAGCCCACCCTTACTAAGAAAACCTAATATAATAATCTTCGCTGTATACGTTTTATAAGTTCAATAAAGAACTAATTTATTGGCTTTGTTATACAAATAGACTGACGGCCTTCTAATAGAAGTGGTAACAGTATGTTTTCGTATTTCATCTATATTGTTAATATCGAGGCTTGATATTAAACCTCTTGTATCAGTGATTATACTAGACTTTCTATCTTTCATATGGAAATATAATACTACATGTCTATTCTATCAAAAGAGATTAATTAGACCATCGTGATTATTAATATAAAATAAAAAACAAATTCAAGGGATGAGTAGCAGCGTCCCTCTTAAAACATCACCAAAGCCGAACTGTGGTTGCTAAACCACCTTTCAAGCGTGAGGATTACTGACATATCCCCTTAGATTGTAAACTGTTAAAAAACTGCTCCGTTCCTTATAATAGTCTATGGGGGAGGTCTATGTTCAACAGTGGACAAAAATAAAGGTTAATATGATGAATATACTAAAAAATTGTTACAATAAGCAGGTTCAAACACCTATTTAACAATATTTATGTTTATTTGAATTGTATTTGGCAATAGTGCTTTTTATAAAGAACTACAAATGGCAAATAGGCCGGTGACCCACCTGAATTAAAGTAGTCACAGTAACAGTACAACGGATATCGCAGAACATTGATAATAAGTTACTAGACGGAATTCCACCTAATTCAATGAATTATTCAATCATTTTTAAGGACGAAGATGTTCCACCTCTCTCACAGAAGTGTTGCAGCTATATCTTATATGTCAAACCCAAACACAGATATGCAAAACTTTTTTTAGTGGTATGAGTATTAAACAATATAAATTACTATTTTTACATACAATTTTCTTATGTCGTTTACAGGAGCGGTTTATGGAGCTACAAGACGCTGTTCGCTGGACAGAGATGGTTCGAGCGAGTCGCGTCGACTCTTCCATGGACAAAAAGAATAAACAGAGCATATGGAAGTTTTTTAGCAACCTTTTTAGGTAATTATCAATATATTGAATTGACCATCACTTACACAGTATGCTGTGCAATGATGATGGGGTCCTTTACTCGATAAGTGCCTTGGTTGGAGTCCTAGTGTTCTCTATTGCATCAAAGATATTGGGTAATCTATAACAATGATAAGTACTAAATAGCCAGATGCGATTTTACTACTGAATATGTGTTGTGTTAATAAACACTTATATTTATTTGGTCTGTAAAAAATAACGCTTTGCGAATAATCTATGCTACTTTTTGCTGCTTTTTATTGTTATATTTACAGTGCATTGCGATTGGGTTTTTTATTTTTAAGTTTACGATTTTCTTTGATTTTTCATTTTTATATATATAACAAATCTGGGTTCACATAGCAGTATTATCTTTGTCATGATACAACAATGTATTATCAAGGTACTAAGATTACTTAGTAATAGAATGCAACAGCAACAAATTAATACAGATTGATACTGAGTAAAAAAATCTGAATTGCATCAAGAATCGAACTTGGGAAACGACGTCATGTTATCACTATTATTGGTTAAATGTTTATGCTAATTGTTACATTATTGCTTTGCATTTGTGCAGGTGAAACACCCTGGTGCACGAATATTGAATGCACTATGTATAATGGTAAATAAGTTTAACATGTGGCATAGCGAAGTATGTTTGTGTAATTATTTTATACACAATTCTTATGTACAATGTAGCTAATACGATATAGCAAATTATTGCTAATACTTTTTATACTTTTACTGTACTTTAAGCGAAATTGTAATGTAATTAATAATATTTTAATATCTGCTGTGATATTGTAATATATTTATAGTATAAGTATAGTCATCATATCATAATTATATCAGCCTTAAACTGCCCACTGTTGAACATGAGCCTTCCCCTTTGAGGTCTTGTCAGTAGTTTGGCAGGCGGATGTGCAACCGCAGTTAGACTTTGGAGATATAAACTTGTATAGTTAAAAACGTAGATATCATTATGCAGCTATAGAGATACGAATGCCAATCATTGAATTAGCCGTTTTTCTGCAAAATTTGCAGGGATTCACGTCATATTAAAATCAGTCTAATGTAATAAACGAATGACATGAATAGCAACACAAGAGGGTTACCATGGCTATAGGCGACTGCGACTGTTACCACTTTCCCATCAGGTGGGCCATCAGAATGTTTGTCATTATAAAAACGTAATGGCATAAATATAGTAGTAATGCAGAATAGTAGTAATATAGACAGCAGTAGAGAGTCGTGAAATATAGTTTTTGATGTAGTGTGTTGAAGAATTGACCTAAAAGCAGGCTCAGGATCGTATTTTGTGGCCAAATTTGGATATGGTGACTTTGGACGAGACCTATACATTCAGCAAGGAATGATGGCCATGTAATGATAAATATGTGTGATGTATGATAAGTTGAAATGACGATGATTACGTTTCGTTAACACCTACCATGCGATGTCTGTAACAAGAGGCATAACAACTTGATTTTCAAGTTATGGCAATACAAGAGATGCTGTAATGACAACCATAAACGAAAATAAAATATCGACTTCAATCGTAGCTAAACCAGTTTGATTTTGATTTAAAACCTAAACTACTGAACTGATTTTGACGAAATTTTTATAAAATTTCAATCTCAAACAATTTTTCAAATCGGTTAACAAATGACAGATGTCAGGTTAAAAACATAAAAAAGGATAAAATTGACAATTTGCTCTTATTTTTGAAGCCGGTTTATAAAATTGTCTCATATAATATTAACATGTTAATACTGCATGGCTAGTAATTTTGCAAAAATATTTTTTTCACTTTCAAATGCGAAAAATTTGATTCTGACAGTTGTGCGCAATTTAATGTATTTTTATATGTCGTGGGCAAAGTAATAATTTTATTTACTCAGTCCTCATTACACGCCTTTTCTCTTGAGACGAGAATATAAGCCTACCTATACCATACTGGCCTTGTAGCGTGGTAGAGTCGAGGAATATTTCTGCTGTAATAGTGTACTGTACGGCCGAAGTCAGTTGTAAAAACCTTAAACGGACTAAAAATGATTTCCAAATCAATTTACAATTAATGGCGTTATTAATATGGTTGAAAATTAAATGGACGACTTTGTACAAAAGTTGTCCACATGAGGTACCTTTGGCCCACTTGTGTTTGTCCTGTGAAGCAACTCCTTGCATAGTTTGGTTTGAAAGGTGGGATATGACAGTGAAATTACAATATATAATGTGATGGCCATGACTTTCTAGGTGAACTGTCAAATTGATTCCCGTTTCAAGTTGCATAAACAATATATATTTGAAAATGCAGAGGCCGAATTTTTTTAATATATTTGCTATATTATACTATTCTTTCCATATTTCTATTATAGTGCTGCTGGACAATTGGCTGCTTTGCAATCGAATTTGAATTTTATATTGTTGTTATTTCTTAAAATACCAAGGATATAACTTTTATGTGAAATTATAATAATAATAATAAATAACAATTCTACTTTTGTCTATGCTATTAGCTAAATATCTTTTATATAGATAAGTAATCAACATTTTGATAAGAAATATACAGCATTATGTTATATTTTCTTTACTCTTATGAATGAATGTTACTAGACATGCTAAAGAAAACCACTGCCCCAACTCCCCTCTATTATGGGGCTACGTTCAGCAGTGGATAGTGAACGGCTGATATGTTGATGATGAAATAATATTTTACGCTTGCGTTGGTTTGTTCATCTATTTTTTTATAAAAGTTTTCTGTATTATTGATTTTAAACCCAAACTACTGAACTGAAATTCTCTATGAAATTGTAATCTGAAAGAATGTTGCAAATCGATTAACAAATGACGGAGTTCTTAGGTAATAAACATAAAAAAAAAATTCCTTTTTGTTGAAAAGTTCACGGTAGTGAACACTTTGGTTCAAAAAAGAATTATCAAAATCTATTTATAATTTGTATAGATATCGTGTAATGGATGGGCGACGACCTCAAATTAATTTCAGGGAGTCAGTGGATGCAGGTGGCTCGGGACCATTCTTTATGGTAGTCTATGAACGAAGCCTATGTTTAGCAGTGGACAGATAACGGCTGCTATGATGATGGTCATGTAATATTTATATAATATAAAAGCCCAACACTTATAATAAAAAAAATATATATAGTAATAATACAAAATAAGAATTTTATTTAGAAGTAGTATTGTTTGTTAGATGATATGTGATTCCAGATAAGATGCAAGGGCCGAATTGTTGTTAGTCAAAAATTTGCACACAATGAATAGACAAGCGGTAAGCGAATTTCTGGAAGCGAAGTTTTCGCTAGTGCATCTATAAGATAGAACGAGAAAGTAGCGTCTTTTTATTACGCAGCTGAGCCTTCGCGGTACTAAAAATATTTAGTGATAGCACTGTGGTTATTGATTTTATTATAGGTCGTATTGCTAAATTGTGCTTATCCATTGGACGGCGTTATAGTCCATTTCTTTTCTTGTTCCTAGTTATCAACTAATTTATGAAAGAAATATTTTACTGTTATTTTTTTTGCAAGGGCGATTATTTTTATTACTCATAATTATTGTAATAAAAATATACGATATCATATGTAAGGTAAAAAAAAAGTATAGAAATGTCCATGTTTTGGGCGTTTACAAATTGCACCCGTGCGATGTTAGAGCAAATCGTTAGTAAGCCGTAAATCATCTTAAAATTACGTCTTTTTAGTACAAGCGAGAGGCCGCAACGACCGTTATCGACTCCACATCTACGCGCTGTTGCGGCTCCCCAGCCCGCAATGAGGCACTCTCGCACGTCTGCTGACTTCCTTGAGACTCAACTTACAGATCACCATCACAGGCGGCACGAGCGTAGCGAACAATTTCGTCAGGTATATAGTAACTGTATTTAATAGATTATAGATGGCGCTACTGATGTTTTCTTGAATGTAGCGAATTTTTTGCAAGCAGTCGTATTTAGTATTTAATAGTGGGGTATTTAAAATTAGTATAATTAAAGGCAGCTTTCGATTGCCATCGTGTACCTTAAACATTTTATTGTACAATGTTTCTTTATCGAATTAAATAAATAAAATTAGTGGTGCCATCTACTGCTCATTAATAACCCTTTACACTAACATAGTCTGTAAAAAAAATTAAATGTCAACCATTATCATTCCACTACTTTATACAGTTGGGATGTTATAATGATGATTTAATTTTCGAACCTGTAATCCAGGAGCCTACCGTGAAATGTTTTCCGAAATTTCAAGACTGAACGAAACACAAATTTGATGTTAAAATTACCTAATACATGTTTAAAAATGTTAAAATATCAATTTTGCACTTTTATGGTAGAGTTTATGACAAACGAAATATTAAGCTCCATTTACTAGGCCAATTACGGTATGAAAGAAAACACGAAATTTAATCCGAAAATTTAGAATTTCATTTCAATGTAAGCCCCCAGCTTTGTAACTGAAACTCTATACACGAAAATGTCTGTATTAATTCGTTTCCAACACGAATAGTTAGCAACTGAGTTAAATCATCTGGCTGTGGTTTCATATTTAATTTTTTTTTACAATGTAATAGCTTTCCTTTGTAATTATAAACAGAAATAGATATAATAGATATCATAAAATGAAAGAGCATTATTGTCTACAGAATATATAAATACCCATTTATATATTGTACTGTAATATATCAATATAGATTTATATATTCTGTAGTGTGTGTAATATTAAAATAATTTATACTTTCATGTGTTCTCTAACTATATGCGTCTTGAAATGCAATCACGTACATTGTTTTCTTAATAAAGAATTGTTAATGAAAATTTTGGAATATACCGTTAAATACTTTCTCTTAAAATACGATGACACTTTGTTGTGTATTTAATGAAATTCTATTACAATTTTTGTATATAATAATTTAGAAAATATATTTTTTGCTTTCCATAAATTGGCTCTACATAAAACAATGTGTCATTGTTCGATAATATCAACAGAGAGGAGTATATATTGTATGTGTCAGTATGCATGTTGTAATATATTTATTGTCATAATTATGTTTATATAGTGCACAAGTGTAAGTTGACAGTGATTTTGAATATTTTATATTAATTATAACATTATAAATATATTATTATTATGAATTATTATTATATTATTTATATTGCAGCCCGGGTCAGTCTGCACTTGTGATACTTTAGAAACGTTATTAATCTACTTAGATTATATTGATAGAGTGTCCCCACATAAATGCATTGCCGAAAAATAGATAATTATTTTTTATTCATATATGGGTTACTATAATGATAAACAGAATGGCAAACAAGCTGACGACCCCCCTGATGTACTGCAACTGGCTTTGCTCGAGACACTTCACTTTGTAGTGTACATTTATCATCATACATAGTGTATAAACAACATTCTCTATTTACAGTCTGTCAAGTAAGAGCGTAGTCGGGATAACTCATTTTTAAGTAAACGTATCGAATTCTTTTGTTTTTCTGCTTGATGTATTGTTGAGTACGTTTCAGTTTATGTCGATCATTTATCACAGAAACACGTTACTCGCAATGAGCATTGCGTATGCTTCGCGTTACGAGGCTGTGATCCTTTGTACCCTCCCTAAAGGTCCGAAAATGTCGCAAGCAGCCGCTGCCAAGTATATGCGGAAGTCATAAGCATTTATGCAGGAATGAGTACAGCGGTATAATGAGACAAAAACTGTCGATGACTTGCCAGAACGTGGCTCGACAAGTGACTCCTAATGTAGATAAAATCGTAGTAAACTTATATTTGCGCAATCCTAATCTAACATTGTGACAAGGACAGATAAAATTGCGCCTAAAGCGGTATGATTTATCCTACGAAACTATACGTAAGCATCTCCGTGACCACGCCATCAAATGACACGCTACAATAAAGAAGTACTTACTAGGTAGTAAGTGAAACTTACAAAGCTTCTCAGAACAGATTCTTGGGCCATTGAAGTTGTTTACCTACAATCTAAATGCTTTAAAAATTATTAAAATTAACACATAATACATTAACAAAAATGAGGAGTGGATCTTACAAGACAACGACACCAAACACCGTAGTAAATTGTGCGCTGAGTGGAAGGAGCGATCAGGCATTGTCACATTGAATTGGAATCGCCCGACGCTAACCCAATGGAAATAGTTTGGGCGTACGTCAAACGGAGGTATCGTGGAAGGAGAGTATACACTTTAAAGCACTCGAGAGATCTGTCTTATTTAGAGGTCTTCACCACATGAATATGCCATAAACTTGGTCCAAAGTATGTCTAGATGCCCAGCAGTTATCGACGCTAATGATGACTGAAAATGTTACTAATATTATTGCTTGGATCAAGAATCTTAGATCAAGTCTTTACTTTATATCATTTTTATTAAATAAACTTTTTTTACAAATTAAGCCAATTATATTTTTGTTTGACAGACTGTAATATAATTCAATTTAGTTAATTATAAAAAGAATCTAATATAGTTAATTTGTTATTTTCTATTTAATATCACAGAATAAAACCATATGAACTAAGATACAATGGATATAATGCGATAGGTTTACCATACGAATTTAGTATTAATTTATTATTACGCACTCCATGTTTTACACGCATTTGGTCACTAGCAAAATGAGTTATGCAATGTAATCTAACAATAATTTGTCGTATACGTATTTTATGACAAACTGCAACTCGTCATTATCGCAGTTTGTCATTGTATATGACTCGTCACGACAAACGTCATTGCAGATATTTTTGTTAATTAAGGTGATCTTTTTTAATAGGAAAACATTTCTGTTAATATATAAATAATAGATATAGTCCGTCGGTATAAGCTCTCTTAAGAGCATTTCTACTAAAGCATAGTGCATAAAGTATTTGAAGACTCTTAAATTAAATAAGATTTATGTGCAATTTAATGCCGACATATAAAAATATACATAACAATGTTTTATAATTAATTATTAGTTTACTAGTACAAATCGTTACAAACAAAATAAAGATATTTGTCGGAAATAAATTATTGTTATAGTGCTATGAGTAACATTTTAGTACACTACCAGTTTTAGCACTTTTGAAATAACGAAAATTGTTCCATTATTTTTTGAAATTTTACAGTTAATTCCTACGTTGCTACGCTTCGGCAAGCTTTAGTATTAACACTCTAATATAATATAATTATTTCAAAAATAGTAATGTCACTGTGTCTTTCAATACCTTGCTTACAAACACCATCAACACGTCAAAATATCAAAAAATACACCTAAGGCTTAGACAAAGCTAAATAACGTTACTTAAGCTTCTGCACAGTTTATTAATAGGCCGTCCTTGCAAAAACTGACGAGTGACCTTTTCTCATTTGAGTAATGTAACGTATGAATATTCGGCAGTACATAGATAACTACATTTAAAAAAAATGATGTATGGTATATTGAGTAAGAAAAAAAAGGTATTCCTATATTTACTTGTGGATCTCAAAGAACAGAGATTCATAATATTTCGTGATTTATACACACAACGAGCCTTAAATCTCTAATATTATATTTAAGTTAGATAATTATCTAACATAGTAGGTGTATATCTATACAAAAAAAGTGAAAACACTAAAAATAGTCATTATAATATTACTCCTATTTTTTTTTTTGCGCTGCACTCCTCGCTCTGTATTTAGACATATTTTATTACTATTATACAGGTATTCAATTAAGGATTTTGAAACTGATTTTGAAACGTTAGCTTGGTTGTGATTATTCTGTTACTTTTTGTGGTTTATTTTATTATAATTTAACTTGATACAACCCTTCTAGAACACAAGCCTTTTAAAATATTTTTTTCGTTTAAAGAGATATAATTGACTTTGAGAAGCAATGGTAAAAAAAAAATAGACTCGTGATTTATTTGCATGACGGTCTTTTAATAAAAAAAAAAACAAAAACAAAAACGTGACCACAGCTTGTAATGATTACAGTACTTGGTGAAACTGACGGTGTCGATGGTGAAGGTGACCCTGACGACGATGATTGTTTCACGTTTATTCCTATTTATATGTACGTTACATATGAAACTAAGTTATTTTATAGCTACAAAGTGGTAACAGCACTAACTTGATTATTAATAAAATTTTCATGGTAAGAAGCGTCTCTACTGTAGAGTTATTACGTACTTAATCGGAGAAGTAGAAAAAGAATGAGCATATGAAGTGCAATAAAAGTGTATTGGTTTTTACCGATATCTAAATATCTATGTCTTCAATATATAGTTTCCATTATTGGATTTATAAATGTCGAATACAGTTATGTATCATACTAGAGTTACATTTCTATTATAATAGAGATTTTTGTCAGTGACTAAAACATAATATTCTAGAGAAATGAGATGGGATGCACTTAAATTTATAGCTTTCTCGACTATGAAATTGTGTGATTCCTTTGTTTCAAACGAAAACGGTATAGAGTATAAAATGCTATGTAAAATATAATTTTTATTTCTTTTTATTCATCCCATCTCTTTTTTTATATTTAAAACATATTTATTATAGCTAATATAACCTCATAAATGTATGTTATAAATCATAGTAATTATATACTGGTTATTAATAGTGATAAGAAACGTACATATTTAAAAAATAATATTTTTACGTACATAATCATTAACTTCCTGTTTCCTGCTTCTAAATTTAAATTTTCGAATATTTTTTTTGCATGCAATAGCCTAAATATGTCTTTTCCTTTGGTTGTTAATTTTATTTAAATGTATTTTTCGCTTGTTTATTAACATCTTATCCTAAGGGCCAGTATCTAATGAAGAGGAGATAAGCGAGACCAGAGAAATCCATTGTAATCTTTTTTAAATGCCAATTAATGAATATTTAATTTGTAACGGATCTATCATTCTATAGTAATATTACAAACAGAAGAGATTTAATTGTTCCTTTATAAGGGATAAGCTACAAAACTACCTAACCGAATTTTAATTATTCTTTTACCTATAAAAGCGATAAATCATATAATGTTTTAAAATCCTATTTATCCGTACGAAGCTTGATCGAATCGCTAATTATACATATAAATATTATTATTTATACAGACCGTTACAAATAACTGTAGAAATTTTATTTGTTGAGGTTGATAAAAAATATTTCATTGTGTAAATTAATCACTAATATTTTTAGAATAAAAATGTAAAATAAATTTATTATTCTCCATTTACTCATAATGTACATAACGTACTTTTAAGACTTGCAAAAAAAGAAGGTCCCAAATTCGTTCAACTTTTTTATGCTAAAAAATTTATTACTACTACTATTACTGATTCCAATATCAGGGTGATAGTACGAACTAACTGTTATACACCTATAGGTATGCATTACACCATACAAACTACAGAATATACTATACCATAACAGTCCTTTTGTTTTACCAGTTTCGAGGATTATATATGCTTTTGTCTGACTAGCCTATGCATGGGGTTTAATCTATTTACAAGTCAAATATTATTAAAGATAATTGCATGTAAATATATGTTCTCCTTGTTAAGAGAGAACCGTATTCAGCAATGTGTCAGTAATGGATTCTTAAAAAAGAAGATAAAGTTAAAGGTATATTAAAATAAAATAATTTATTTACGTAGGACACCTTAAATATGTGCGTCAAAAATGATTTAAACAGCAGTAGAAGTAAAAAGGAGTCTAAATCTCTGATCACCTCTTCTTTGGATTAACTGGCCTATATAATTACATATAGAATTTGATTGGCCATTATTCCTTTTCCTCTCTTTGTTTTCAGTTGAAACAGTGACGGGGTTCTTAAGAAAGAATTTATATGAATATAAGCAAGTGATAAAGTCTAATGACGTTGTTAAGTGATCAATGTGTTTGTCGTAGGAGTACTCACACAAGTAGTGTTTTAATGTGTTCAGTGTTTTATTTATATCGGTTTTGGTTTATTTTTATACCTCTTTGTTTTTATATTTTATATATTTTGTTTGTAATCTTGTTAATATTATAGTGCCTAATATAGTATTTAATAGTAAAATATGTGATATAAATACTCCCAATGGTAATGGAATAATGTGTTACCAATACTCTTCATCCACAAAATATAAAAGAGGATTAGGATACAGCAGTTAGATATATGGAGTGGATACCACTATTATATTTGTTTATGCTTTATTCCTTAATATAACCAGGGGCAATATTTGGTTATTGTTAAATTATAAAATGACATTATATTTAAAATATAATACAGCAATTGAATAATTTATTACAAGCAAGCATATGTCAATTAAAGAAGTACAAAATAAATTAATATATAGTATTTATGGATCCATATTTCATATACTGGGAAATATTGTATAAATATTTTTAATTTTGATTTAGGTATTCAATATATTCTGAATCTTGATGATTTGTTTTTTTTTTCATATTATTTTTAATGTTATAATTTATTTTCTTCTATCAGTTTCAATGTTGCGTTAGAGTAAAATTATTATATTTATAATGTTACCTTCAATTTCCTTGGCCCACGCTAATGACATTTAGTGTATTAGATGTATAAAATATGCCCTGATAATTATTAAAAAAAATGTGATAATTATCTACTACTTTTTTGTAGTTGATTGGTTTTACAATTTAATTTATTAAAAAGCTGTACTTAGGTGATAACTTATTCGAAACCAAAGTTAAAGTACATCATTTAGCTCTTACTTGCAGCTATGTATAAATATTATGTTATTGGAGTGAATGCAATTTTAGTTGCAATAAAATAAATTTTATTCACTCTAACAATGATATGTTAAGCAATTATTTATTAAACTAAATGTTATTTTATCAATTAATACATACTAATGGGACCGGAATTAAATAAAATAATGCTAATCAAATAACCAGTGATATGTTATCCTTCTTTAACCAAACCAGAAGGCTTATTCGATAAATTCATAATAATTAAGTTATTAATTATCAAGTCATTGCAATTCGGGTACAGTTTTAAACGAGAAACTAATCATTTCGAAAGTTCCACATAAGTTTAGTGCTAAAAATATTACATCTATTTAAAATTTTAGTTATGTATATTTTTTTATTAAAAATACAAAAAAACAATTGTTATAGATAAAGTGCGCTATTAGATAGAAAATTTATTTATGTTTGACTTTATATACAAATGTAAATTTCACAGTTATAAGATAGAAGAAAAAGAGAGAGAGAGGGAGGAAGAGAAACATACGTACTCTACTATTATTACTGAAGTGGTAACCGTCCAGTAATATTTTTATTAATCTATTACTGAGACTTTCAAAGGCAAAAATGTGTTTGAAGTCGTTGTAAGATATCATCTGAAATCGATTTTAGTAATACATTTGTGTACATATTCTATAATTAAGGTAATTTAAATAAATAATCGTTAATATAATATAGGAATTCCTTATTTTTGTAATTTAATATGTATTTAGATAGATTCATACTCCCAGCACTCAGTAAAATTTTTGAAAAAATAATCCTTATGCAACTTGTCAGTTATTTCAATTTAAATAATTTAATCCACAATAGTCAATTCGGTTTTTCCAAAGGTCGTTCAACTACAGACGCAGGTGCAGAGTTGCTTAGACACGTATTTGCTGCATGGGAAACTAAAATGGATGTGATAGGTGTTTTTTGTGACCTTTCTAAGGCTTTTGATTGCGTTGATCATAATACATTGCTAAAAAAACTTGCTTTTTATGGCGTCAAAGACAATGCTTTAAATTTAATAAAATCTTATCTATCTGATAGAATACAGAAAGTGAAGATTAGCAACGCTACGTCTGACGGGTCACTTGTGCAAATGGGTGTACCTCAAGGATCTATTCTCGGTCCATTTTTATTCCTAGTTTACATTAATGATCTCCCATATGCCATGCAGGATAGATGCGGCATAGTATTGTTTGCAGACGATACTTCATTGATTTTTAAAGTTAATAGAATGACTAATAATTATGACGATGTAAATAGTGCTTTGCGGCGTCTCCTGCACTGGTTTACAACTAACAATCTTATGTTAAACGCTAAAAAAACAAAATGTGTTAATTTCTCTCTATCTAAAAGTTTTAATACTAATTGCAATATTAAATTAAATGACGAATCTCTCGAATTTATAGAATCTACTGTCTTTCTAGGAATCACACTAGATAATAAAACACAATGGGGTGCACAAATTCAAAGCCTTGCAGCGAAACTAAGTTCAGCAGCTTTTGCCGTGCGTAAAGTTAGACAGTACACTGATACTGATACTGCTAGATTAGTCTATTTTAGTTATTTTCATAGTTTACTCTCTTATGGAATATTACTATGGGGAAAAGCGGCAGATATTAAGAATATATTCATATTACAAAAACGTGCCGTTCGAGCGATCTACTGTATGAAGAGTCGTGAGTCATTAAGAGAGAAATTCAAAGAGTCAAATATTCTCACCGTTGCTTCTCAATTTATATATTCAAATATTCTATATGTTCATAAAAATCTTGACTTATTTCCAAAAAACAGCAATATTCATAATATTAATACTAGATTTAAAGACAAACTTGCTGTCCCCAAGTATCGTTTAGAAAAAGTTAATAGGTCTTTTATGGGAATAGGTATAAAAATTTACAATAAGATACCAAAGGATATGTTGGAATTACCCTTAAATAAATTCAAAACATCTGTTAAATCATATTTACTGAGCAAAGCCTATTACTCACTAAACGATTACTTGAATGACGAGTGTGCATGGCAATAGTTGTTCATGCACTGAATTTTCATTTAATGTTAGACATAGACACCTATATAAATATACATTGTAAATAAACTGGCTTTAAAAAAAAAAGTAATTCAATTGAGTTTCTTGCCAGTTCTTCTCAATTGGATCTATATACCGAACTGGACGGTAGGGTAAATATAAAATTATAATGTAAAAATTTGACGTTCATAAGCGGCTAAAATGTCCTACATGAATAAATGATTTTTGAATTTTGAATTTTGAATTTTGATTAATATGCCAGTTACACAGAGAAAACTTTTAGCATAACTTTATTACAGATGGTATTTTCCGTTGATCAATTCAGTTACCTATAAATAAACGTCAAATAAATCTAATCTATTTCTAAATACAGCTTTATTGTATTTATAATTCGGTAATTATTATAAATATTTTAAATAGCTATGGTGTTCATATCTTAATTAGGTATGGAGTTGTAATTATTTAAACCCTAAGAATGTAATGGTTTCTATTAAAACGTATTTAACATAAATTGATATATAGAGATTTAAGAAATCTCAAAGTTATGTATAGCTTAATTATTATTATAAATCAGTTAAATGAATATTAGACTAAATGATGGTCGGCGTAGGTTCGGGCGCACGTACGGAAGGAAGACGGGCGCACGCAGGCCTACGGATGGAGTCTGCCCGGAAAAAGTGGACAGGGGCAAAAGGGACCCAGTCCGTGTACTTCCCTATCCTCCGGTGGCGTGCCCGTCCCCGTCCCAGTGTTCTGCAGGTGAGTTAATATATCACACTATCTACACTTTATCACTATATATTAAACCAGAGCAGAGTAGAAACTGTTTTGTAAATTTAAAATAGTGTCTCAAAAAGTTGTATATATATATAAACATATTGATATTAAGACTGAAATTTCCTGAAAATAAAATTAAAAAAACAACAAATAATTTTGAGTATCTCATCTATTTTTCAACTTATGTTTCATTAACGAAAATGTACCTACTCAATTAAAAAGTTTACGTTCTCAATATATGTATTTTAGATTTCATCCTAAATAATGAGAATAGAGTAGAAATATTTTTTATCCCTGTCATGTTTATTTAATTCATTTACTTAATTTTTAAGTATTATTGAACCGTCATTTTTGATGTCTTTACCGCTCAAGTCTTAAAATATCTACTGGTAATTTCAGCTGAGAAGGGTCTCGGCTATTTTTATCCAAACAAAAATAGAGTTTTTTGTGTTGATTATTTTGTTTAATGACAAATTACTAAATAGCACATAATCATGAAAATCAATTAGCTAAATGGTCCCTGGCGGCACCCCTCGTTCATGAGTATAACCAATGAACCAGTTATTATTGTATTTCACCTTATTATGTGCTTATTTTAAGGAGCTCAATAATCCGATTCTTTACGTTGTAATTTTTTTAGACGTCTGACATCTGGGATAGGATATGATTTGTTTTGCATAACCCGCCGAGTTTAATCGGTATTTCACCCTAAGAGTATAATATTAACGGACCAGTACATTTTAATTTTTTCGTGTATAATAGAAATTTAGGCTCCCCGACCAAATCACAGTATTAAATCAATGGACACTTTTATAGTTTAACACGTGACTGCATAATTTTATAGTCACAATTCAATAAGAAAGTGAAGTAATCCGGTTTTAATGTTCCATAGACGATGGCGAATGCCTTGTTCTTGATTTTGAAAAATTAAAAGCGTATAGAAAGAAGCAACTATGTTAGAGATTTAATTTCTCTATTTGTTTAAAGCATAATAGAATTGTATCGTGCTACAGTAAATTATAAAGTAACCATAGATACTGTTCATATCAGACATCATTTCCCATAGTTTGCCAGACTTGTTTTCTTTGCCAGTGCTCCAAAATTGTAATTGATGAAAATAAAACTTATCTGTAGACCTATAGCGGAATCGGAGCCACGAATGACTTTATTGTGTGCCGCCGCTGTAAATCTCAACGGGGGCCGGACCCCAGATGGCGGCTGTATGATCGGCGGAAGTGTGTTCTATGCTAAAGAAGATAAGAACGAGAGCGCCATGTGTTTGGGTGGGTAAATCTTTTTTTTCTATGTATTCAGATGGCAAACAAACTTACGGTCCACCTGATGGAAAGTGGCAAGCGTCGTTATCACGTTGTCTTCATGAGATTTTGTTTTCAATTTCTGGGAAAATATTCAAGGATGTTTATACACGACAGTGATAAACATGGATAGCGCCATGTACATTATGGAAAGTATATGGTGCCCATGGTACTCTTCATGCATTACTTCTTCTGAGAACTAAGGCATCATGTCTTTGTACCTATTAATTTCACTGTCATAAATCCACACTTCAAACTCGAAACGGCTATATAAGCACTGTTCTTTTCTTACTGAAATGCGAGTGGAACAGTACAGTACAAATAACTTTTCTAGAGTCTGTTAAAATTAATTTTATTGAATTAAAATTTAAAATCGACAGAAATAAAATTTTCGGGTAAAAAACTGGAAAGGAATTGTTTTCTTTGTTGTCTTAAAAATCTTTAAAAGCTTATTAACTATACTAACTGTATCCCAATGCTTTGCCCGGGTGAATCAGTACATAAGGTATCCTATGTACTAAGTTATGTTATCTGTGTACCAAATATCATTCAAATTAGTATAGTAATTCGTTTAGTAGTTTTTGCATAAAAGAATAACAAATCCATCCATACATCCTTATAAACTTTTGCATTTGTAATATTAAAAAGAAATTAAGAAAAAAAAAATAACGAACAGTTGTGTAGTCTTACCTAATATGATTTATATTTGACAGCATATGAAATGAGCAAAGCGCAATCCGTACACTCGCCAGAAGTGGAAGAGATAAACCAGCAGCTGCAGTCGACGCAAAACGTCGGAGCGATTGAGAAGAATCTATCTTCTATTGTATGGATTTGCTCGAGTACGCAGACAAAAGGCGTTGTTATGGTTTGTATATTTACTCATATGTATTTTATTTACTCGTATGAATGAGAACAATAAGTAAATCATTTTTAAATTAATTTAATAGTTTTTTATAACCCAATGGCGCTTATTTTTGTAGCAGCCACTTTTAAGTATATGCCGCAAGAAACATTGGCGTATTTTTAGATGTTCCAATTCAAATAATCTATTCAAATATACTTGTTCACAAGCACTATTAATATTTTTTTTTTTTTAAATCTACTGAAGGGTTAAGAAAGTTGTTATCTGTTGAGAAAAGCTCGCAAGAAATATTTACTCTTTTAAATCTCTGTTGACATATATATAAATTTATTTTAACGTATAACAAAAAAAAAAATGTACAGATCGTCGACGCCAATAATCCAGCAGAGGTGCTAGAGTCGTTTCCAGTAAGCGACAAGCACATACTATGCGTCGCTTCGGTTCCTGGCGCAGTAGCTGACGATTATCGCGAGTATGAAGACAGAATGAGCGCCGAGAAAGAAATCAAGAGGCATTCAGGGGTAAATATATACACTAAAATTATTTATACATACATACACATCCCTAGCGCCTGTCTCCTATTGAGGTAGGCAGGGACAATGAAATATGGTCATGATCCTCTTAGGCATTATCCATCCACTGCGGAATACAGGCTTCCCCTATAGACTGCCATGAAGAACGGTCCTGACCCACCTGTATTTATATATAATTTAAAAAACGACAACAACAGCAAGGTTATTTGAATAGTTTTATATGATAATGCTGTAATCAAGAGGACCTGTGTAACAATTTTTTTATGCTGTAATGTTGTATATGTAAAATAGTATTATTTATTTTACTGAGATAGGCAAAAATGTACCCATGTACAGCTTTGTTTTCAATATGTTACAACGATATTATTAATTGCAGCAATCGCTGTTTTGCGTCGGCAAGAGCGATTCGGTCGACAGCCAGACTAATGGGTTGGCGGGTATGGCGAACAGTACAGACGAGAACGGTGACAAGGATGTTATTGTTGGCGCCACTAAATTGGTAAGTTGGTATTTTTGATCAAAATATATGTCGAAAAAATGTTACGTGTTTCTATGAATTCTATTTGTACAATTAAATGGTTATTTTTTTATTTTATTTTTCGTTTGCAGAACAAGAGCGAATCGCTATGACCAATCAAAATAATTTTGTACTTTAGTAATTTTATTACATTTTTATTATTGTTTATTTACAATGATCGAACGATTGAGAAGTGTTTCAAATAATGGAACAAGCACCTAACATAAGTGAATAATACGTAGTGGGGACTATTTTAAAGGCGATAATATTAATGTAGACGAATAAATTCCTTTTTTAAAGAAACAAAACTTTCTTATAAATTCTGAATACACCTCATATGTATTAACTTAACACAGGTAAAGGCGACAATACTGACGCCGCCAGCGACGCCCGTCAAAGAGCCTGCGTCATCGGCGGCACGCGAGATACCCAAAGAATCGGCAGTCAGAGATGTAGAAGAAGCCTCCGATTCAGTCGCAGCTAACAGCCCGCCTCTCAGTTCCACACCTATCAACGGTAAATTAATAATTTGTACTATAATAATTGCCATTTACAAAAACTTTAAGAAAGTAAAGTTATTTTAGGACCTTAATTTTCCTTTATAATTAAATGGTAGTGAATAGGCGTTTTTCTCGGTAATACTACTACTCTTGTAGATAGAAATGTCTGTTTTATTTCTTAAGATATACTTAAATCAATAGCGTCTAGAGAGAGTGTCTTAGAGTATTTATCTAGAAACGCTTTATATAAAGTGGCCTCCCTTTTTTAAAAGTGGCGTTATTTTCAGTATAAAGTTGTATTTATCTTGCGTTTAGTGATTTACTACATACACAAATTGTTACCTTATTTACGTTAAATATTAATATTATACTTTTAGATTAACGCATATTACATAAACACATCCCATATTTTGACACTACGCTCATGATATACGCGTATTATGAATTAGGGTTACGAAAATAAATAAATATATATATTTTACATTGTAACACTTATTACGCAGAACACTTGGGATCCCCTGAGCCCGGTGTGGACGCGTTCGCTCAAGAGGAATCAAACCATGAGAGTTTTGCGGACGTGTCTCAAGAACGTAAAATGTCCACCATAATGGCGACGATGTGGCTGGGCACCAGGAGTGGCAATCTATATGTACACTCCGCTGTTGGAAACTACAGCAAGTGTCTAGCAAGGTATGTTGCTTCACTCTCTTTATTATAATTTTTGTACAACATAAAATATGAAATGGCAAACAAGGTGATGGCTCGCCTTATGGGAAGTGGTCACCATTTGTATATGGGAATTTCTGCTGTATTTCATGTTGCAAATCGTGAATATATTCTATGAGATACATTACGTTGTTAATATCTATAGCTGATTGTTACCACTTTCCAGCAGGTGCGTTATCAGTTCACTTGCTATTCCAAGTTCGATAAAAACAATATGAGTGTATTATACATGACTATTACATCATATTAATATCACGAAAGTACTTTCTCAGAAAATATATCGATAAATTTAATAAATAATAATCTCATATATTTTTCCTATTATGTCAGTTATAGTAAAATTGTACAAAATCATATTGTGTCACAGTAAACTCCCATTGGTTTTTGTAATTAAATATAATAATTTACTTGATGTATTTATACAAAAAGCTTTTGATTAAATGTACCATGAGCACCTAGTTCAACATATAGACTACTTTTCATTGTAGTAAAATATCTTATAGCACAAACCACACCGTGGACACTAGTATAGTCTTGTTTCAATAAAACCAGAGGGAGACTTTGTACAATAGTCAATTGCTTGGGTACCTCTGTCCCATTTGTGTTTCTCCCGTGAAGCAGTTGTGTTTGCATGGCTGTGTTTCAGTTTGAAGGGTGGGATATGGCGTGAATTTACAGGGTACAGAGGAATAACACCTGAGTCCTCAGGAATGGCAACACATGGGGGGTATCATGGGCGAAACAGTATACTCTGTTAGATCCATGGTACTGCTCATGTCTATAGGCGACGGTTACCACTTTCCATCAGGTGGGCCGTCAGCTTGTTTGCCATTCTAAGTCGTATAAAAAAAACATAATGGAAATGTTTTTGATAATTTTAAAAACGGAAATAAATGTAGTAACAAATTATTCAATCAGTTTAAAAAAAAATTTACTGCATCTAGATTTCAATAAATGATCTAATGGTTGGGCCAATTAATAGTTTATTTATATTGTCATTGAGTTCTGTTGAAACAGACTGTAAATAATATTAATTATTTCCTAATTTTACACACAGAGTGAAGTTAAACGACGCAATACTGGCCATCGTGGCGTGCTCGTCACGATGTATCGTAGCGCTCGCGGACGGCACTGTGTCTATATTCTCCCGATTGGCTGAAGGACAATGGGACTTCTCACAATACTGGCAGCTTACGCTTGGCGATCCAAAATGCTCAGGTTATTTTATATGACTTTAAAACATGTTTATATAACTTTATACAACTTTATATACTTTTTATAACTTGTATATTTTTAAGGGATTTCCAAAGGAAGCTGATTGTCAATTGTTTTTTTTTTATTAATCGGGCTACATGTTCACCTCAATTGCCTGGACTACGATAACCATATTATATGTTTGGCATAATATATTTTGTATATTTATCAGATTTATACCTGTGACCTGTACGTTTTGGGATTATACTCATAAACATACATTTTATTATGCAGTAAGGTGTCTAAGTGCTGTGGGTTGTACTGTGTGGTGCGGTTACCGGAACAAGGTGCATGTGATTGATCCGCGCTCTAGGGCGCTGCTGTACTCGTTGGAGGCTCACCCACGCCAAGAGAGTCAGGTCCGGCAGATGGCGTGCGATGGCGATGGTGTTTGGGTGAGTTACTATATTGCTGGTGGCTTCTGATATCTTTGATGAGAATATGACATTTTGTAATCTATACATGAACCTCTTTTTTTTTTAACATTAATTCGAAGAGAATTTAGAACATGTATTTGTAAGGAAACCTACTTAAACTTGTTCTATCACTTTTAGATTAATAATTTAGCGCAAAATCAAAACATTTCGATAGCTAAAATACATTTATTAAAATGTTTAATGATTTTATGAATAAAGGAGTAAAACTGTAAAGGTTGTCACTTTAGTTAGCTTATCTTTTGGCGTATGTCGGTTACTTTGATTCTTCTGAGGATATCGTCTTTTCTTGGATTCTATCACACAAAAAACTCTGAATATGACCCTATCCATAGCTCGCTGGATAACTTGAAACTTTTGCATATGAACAACCGTATTTCCTACACGGTCCTTCAAAATAAATATATATAATATGATTGTATTTCTTAGTTTAATAATTGTAATTTTTATTAACTGAAATCATATCGTACAGGTGTCAATAAAAATGGACTCCACACTGCGTTTGTATCACGCACACACGTACCAACACCTCAAGGACGTAGACATAGAGCCGTACGTAAGCAAGATGCTAGGTACCGGGAAATTGGGCTTCTCGCTGGTGAGAATCACAGCGCTGCTAATCAGTTCCGGCAGACTGTGGATCGGGACCAGCAATGGAGTAGTCATATCGGTACCGCTGTCAGAAGGCTCCAGCCGGGACTCCGTGGGTGGGTCGTTACCGCCTGCAACGAGAAATAATGTGCCAGGTCAGTATAATTAAAAAAAAAAAAGTTTTTTTTTTTTTTTTTTAATAAAATACAACTTGTGTTACTCGCTGATTAGTAGCTTCCTATAGTTTCAAGAATTTTTATAATTGATCAAGTAGTTTTTGAGTTTATCCAATGTTAAATAAATTTCTCTACAAATTATTAGTATAGATATGATAGAGATGTAAAATAAATTCCCTTGCAAACTAAAAACTTGTTTACTATTTATAAGGTGAAAAATGAAGGCTTGTTTCAGTAGAATCTAATTAAAATGTAAACAAATAAATAATTGATCCGACCATCAGACAGTCTGTTGATGTCCAATAGATGAATAAAAAAATCGATTAATTGATTAATTAGTAATTTTGCTAATATTTTCGTGATAATTTGAATAAGGAACAGGCTGAAACATCAATATTTATAATCAAGTCATATAATTCTGTTCATATTCAAGAAGTTAAAATAATGAGTGAACATTTTTTAAAACTAATCAATCTATGAACGCCTCTCTAAATACATAATGACTAAGTGTTTCGTATCTACACTTATCATTTAATTAAGTACACTTAACTGTTTTCAACACTGTTTGTTGTCACTCTACAATAGTACCTCACTCAAATCATTGGTGGAGAGAGGGATTGGGAGTTGTGGGAACTAACAACTCTATTGCTATCAATATAAATCTAGATCTAACGTTCGCCCTTGGAAACTATCGTGTTTGGGGGGAAAAGGATTGTTAGCAATGGAGTTTGACAGTCCCATTGCTAGCAATATACCTTATTAGGTCGATCTCCACGTGGTTCCCCCTGGAAACCATCGTGAACAATTCTTCTTGAATTCGTCACGGTAGGCTAACTGACCTGCTTCATTCTCACCTATCATCCTTCACTGGTGCCCCGCCGGTGTATACCGATATCATCCATTTAAAAAAAAACCATCGTGTTTAGTTCCTGGTGAATTAAATACGATGGTCATGATGTAAGTAATGAGGTGATTCGTCATGATAAACCAACTGACTTGACATTATTCTCACCTATCTATTCAGCAGGCTTCCCATTTTATTTTTGTCAAATAACAACTACAAGTCGAGATTTGAAGTTTGTATACTTATTTTGTCACCAACATTGCTTTCAGGCCACGCGGCACTAGTCCAACCACGACCTTCAAGCCCGACCTCCGCTGCCATACCTTGGTGCTCAATGGCCCACGCCCAGCTCAGTTTCCATGGCCATCGGGATGCTGTCACTTTCTTCGTGGCGGTGCCAGGAACCGGCGGTTCTCCCGCCCGCACCCCTGACTCCACACGAAGACACACCCCCACCCCCCCTCCGATGCTCGTCATATCCGGCGGGGAGGGCTATATTGATTTTAGAATAGGTAAGTGGGCATGAACAAATTGTAACACTCGGTTACATTATGTCGATATTTTGAATAGATGTGAATTAACTTCTTAATATATGATCAATTTGTTTTTATCGTTGGGGTAAATTCTGAAAAGCTATAAAACTGTCTTTTTTTTTTACTGTTAATTAAATTATTATCTTATACATAATCATTATGGGCTACATGTACAGTTCATGATAACTGTATAGTACCAGAATGAAAATATTAGATGTATGCTAAATATACAGAGTTATTAAATAGGCATAAACAAACTCACTATCCTAACTAAATTTAGTTTTGACTCAAATCTATAATATACGAATTTTTTTCATGTTCATCCTTAGAACAATGATTTTGATGTAATGATCTGATTACAATTATAATTTTAGAGAAAGGTTTAGTAAAAGGCATTATGGATTTTCTACATTATGTAATATAGATTTTTCAATGTTTATATTTCAAAATTTCGACCTAATGTAACTTAGATTTTAGAGTGTATTATTGAATAATATTTCTATACAAAACATTTTCCTACACCACGATGTTTTAGAATCCATTCCATTACCAACCACTGTTAAAATTTCATTGTTATCAACTAACTAATATTTTAACGACTATTTTATCATACTTTTTGACTAAAATCAATCTTTGTTTATTCATATTTATGTTCATTGGCATTTTAATATAGTTTGTTTTATAATGTTGATTATTTTATTCTGTCGATTTTGTATTTTATCGAATATATGTATTAAGAGATGTAGAATTTTGAGATTTTTTTGTGTCAATTTTCAATTGTCAATCATTTATTCATAGCAAAAACAAGAACAATATTAGTAATATTTTTCTTTGCGTAGTAGTTAAATAAATTACAAAACTTATACACTTTGTTCTCTATAAAAAATATATCAAAATAGAATAAAATGTATTAATCATATCAAATTCGAAGTAATAATTAAAATTGTTAAAGATATCACGAAATAAAAAATAATAAGAGCGTTTTGGAATTAATCAATAAATGCCAATGACCATAGACCGCCATTTTCATTGACATAAGAATTAATTTTTACTAATAATTAAATCAAAATAATTGATTCTCCACCGTCGTGGTGTTATCCTCTCGCTGTTTAATGAATTCATTATCCTACCTCATTCTAATCGGGTGTTACTGTCACTAATCTCCAACATCTAATAATATTGTAAAATTAAATAAAAACAAATATTCAAATATATATAATCTGTTTTGTATACTTGGCACATTTATAAACAATTTTCGCTTGTCTTTTTATCGCATTAAAAAAAACTTAGTTACAAAATTATATTTTCTTTTTTATATATTTAATTTTATACTTTTGAATTTTTATTTGTTTATTTTATGCACCATTTCGATAAAAAGATATGAGATTTGTTTTATTACTTTTTCAATAATTTGTAAAAATATAGTTCCCAATAATACCCGGTTGGAAGTATCCTACCAGCCAGCAAACCTTAGATCCTAAAGAGTTACTTCAAAACAAGCAATATGCACTTTGGCATAGTTTATATAAGGTCTATATTGCCGCAAACTGAATGAGAGGCTTACGCTTAGTAACAATGGATTAGTTAAGCCTATCCCATACGTGGAATACTTGAGTTTAATATTTTCACAATAAAGTTTATATCTTAAGAGTGTTTACACGAAAAAAAAACAAATATTTTTTATTAGTATAAAACATACTTATGTTTTTGAGATCGGGTTGGTAGGTATACTATTTTTTTTATAGATAAAAATAGAAATTCAAATTAGTGAATTACACAGGTTAAAAATGAGATTAACAGCATTATTCAAATGAAACAGTATATCCACGAAAATAAGGTGAAGTTTACATAATAGCTGTATTTTCTCCTTCATCAAGTCCGTATGTAGCTTGAGCTGATGGTTAGTTACTGAAATGATAATGAGCATTTAAACGATTATTATCGTTAATTGAAAACGAATGTGCAGTAGTTTTAAAAATACAGTGTATATACTATAAATTTTTAATAATGTAAAAGATTATGTAGGTAAACATTATGTATATTCAATTTTGGATATTTTAAATACTGTACTTCAGGTGTTAAAAATAATTATAGTTATGTATCTTTCTTGTAAAAGAAATATTGATATATATATGATATATAAATACATTTTTATCATTATTTTACCAATTTCTGTGCAAAATATCGCTCAAGTATTCATGTGTAGCGGCCTTTATGTAGTGTTTTGATGCTTACGCTTATCATATTTCATTATGCTTAGACATAAAGTAATAATATGTATTCTTGTTTTTAGGATATGGTAAAATATATGAGAAACCACTATAGCTATGTGCCTATTGTTTGATTTGAATGTAGGTGTTGTTTTTCTTTTAAAATGCGCGACTATGAAATACCGTCGTGACATGGATTACAAAGACGCCACATGTAGGCATTGCATGTAATCATATAGTAAAATAATAAAAATATAATTAAGTCGATTACTCCCTTACTTATAAAGGCTAATATTTATTCGGTTGCCAACGGATTTAACATTAAATGTTATATTAATCATTTAAGTTGCATAATATTATTAAGTAAGGGAGTCAATGATTAACCTTCTAAATGAACAAATACTAAACTCATTTTGTGCCGTAAATTTAATTTAATAAAGCGCATTTTATTTGGAAAATAACTTGTAATAGGCCGAGTTGTAATTCCCCCTATTTTTTTTTTATTTTTGCCATTAGAAGAGCATGCTGATGACGTGCGAGACACAGCCTCCCACCTGATTGTATGGCAGACTAGTAAAGAAGTAAACGTACCTGATATAATATAAGAGATAATATTAAAATATACATTAAATGAGTGGGTACGTTATTTTATTGATCATTGCAAAGGAGCATGTAATTTAAATGCTTGACTTTCCATAACATCACTAATTTAATCATTAACAAGTACTAACTTTGTGTACGTTACACTAAAACATTTTACTTTGACCAGAAATATGTGATATTGTTACTATTTATTAGTTATGCATGTATGTGCTTTGATAGTTTTTTTCTTTACATTTATTTCACAAAATATGAAGAAACAATAGAGAATTACTAAATAATAGTAATCTGTATTCAGCAAGCAGTCAGCTATATTGGTTTTTAATAAGTGAACTATATGCAACACAATATATGAAATATAATAACAGTGTTGTGCTTTTTTATAATCTTTTTATTGATCTCTATTAATTTAGTTTTAATTAACTCTCTTATTTTAGGGCGATGCTTGTCTATAAAAAGCATTTTCTATTAATATTTTACTGTTGTTTTAGAATACAAACCCATATTTCAATAAAAAATTTTTTTAAATACATATGTTCAATTAAAAATAAAAATATTCGAACCAAACTGTATATAAAAATCACTATTTCTGGTCAAACTATAGCATTGCCCATGGGAGATATTTTGGTACTGGCAAGACTTCAATTGTTCATCCATTGGCTTACTTTAGTTCATTATCGGCTCGTACTAATTTGAATCTAATGTAACAGAAGGTAAGGTTTAGTTCTTCTATGATTGTACAGTTCTGTACAGTGTATGTGTAATGCTAACGTGTATATTGCTAATCCTGTATTTTGTTATTACCTTTTGACCACGGTTTTTATTGATATAATGTTACAAGTGTCAATTTGAAAGAACAAGAAGAAGAACAATACTGTCTCGTTCTATCTCATTTGCGCGGTAACTATGACGTATCCATCGATAAATTTAATACTACTTGTTTAGAATGGGAGGTCTCTCATGCTGTAATGGATAGTGTCATGGTCAGATGGTACTTACCTTGTAAATATTTTACTAAGTCGTATATAAATTATTGTAAAGTGTATATTGATTAAAGTAACTTTTTATTTTGTAATAGGAATTTTTATATTTTATTGCGAAGCTATTATCACAGTATTTAAATTGTAGATAAATTTAAAGATAACATTAGTTATTTCTGTTGTAATAATTAACTACTAAACACAATTTAAGTTATAATATAGTAAGTTAATATTCTTTTTTTTTTATTTTAAAATGTATGGTGTATCTAAATTTTGTGTTTTGTGTTCATATTGGTTTAAATGATAAATTTATTGATTACTTTTATAAATTATTTTGGTAAATATAATAATAAGATTAATTAATTTGGGTAAATATACCAAAATGCCTAATTGCATACTAATTTTACTCAATCTTTTATATAACATATAAGAAAAGACGCAATATAAATAATATGCCTTTGGATATACTGATTAATTTTGTCACAATTGTAATAGCTTTTTTTTTACGAAACGGAATCCTTATCTTGTAATGGACCTTTTAACAAGTCATATTAATGTAGTGTTACTTTCCAACAGCCGACTCGGAGATGGAAGACAGTGTGATAGTCGCCGAAGATGGCTCGTCGAGCGGTCACAGTTCACTCGCTGAGCGGGCGTCCAAGAGTCACCTGATAGTATGGCAAGTCGCCACCGCCTAACGTAAGGCCAGCCGAGCACGCTTCAACTCCGAGACAGACTTCGTTTACGTGTGTACGTCGACTAAACCAGCGGTACCGATTGACGCATAACTTGTTCGCTGTTTATGAATAGGACGCCTCGTTTGGGAATGTATTTTTTTTTTTTCAATGTATATTAAAAATAAAAAATAAGAACACAAAGGTACCAGTGCCCATACAGTTTGCTCATTTTTATTAATCTGGAAAGATCTTATTTTTTATTTATTTCTTAACTATTTTAAATAAATATAATTACTGATTTTTGACAAATTTATTACTTATACATGTAATTTATTCATACATATTTCACTATTCTATTGGTTTTAAATAATAGAATAAAATTAAATATGTAATCGTTATAAAAATACATTCCCAAATTGTATGGAGCTCACGGATTTTTAGGGAGAGTCAGTGTTTTCAACTTTAATTAGAGCTTGGTTGCATTCGGCAATTTATATTAGGAATTGATTTTAATTAAGAGTTGGCATTTCAAAATCCATTTGTTACCTATTCACATCACTCCTACGTCGTTCAGCGCGCGTGCACGAGTCATAATTAGTACGAGTGGTATAGTAGTATATGACAGAACACTATAATAAGTAAATACTACATTTATATGTGCAAATTTCGACTCGTGCGCACGTCGATCGACCGGCATCTCTACATAACTAGTGTGTGTTGATCATAGTCACGTTTCACGTCACGTTTCCGAACATTCCTTGGAATAGAGGCAGTGCACGGCACGTCATGGACTTTGTTGAAAACTATATTATACATATTCATATTAATCGTGTGCTTATTTGGCTGGATTACATTTACTTGGCGCTTCGGTTTGTAAAACTATCTCGCTCATTTCGTCTATATTCAGTTGGCCGGCCGGCGCGCGAGCATGTTTTATTTATTTCCGTTCATCCGAGCCGGTGTATGTTATATCTCATATAGGCGTAATGTACAACTTATAACCACCAAATTCATTTTAGTAGTGTTAGTTGTTAGTATAGAACAAAATTTTTATATAATAAATTATATTATAAATAGATATGTATTGTATGAAATTTCTCATGTGACAGAGATGTGACCGTCTCTGTCGAGTGTTTCGGCTGTGGTTGTCATCTGCATCACAATGTAATTATAATATTATTTCTCTTTACCTAAAGGCGTGTAATAGTGGATGTTTTTTATAATTTACCAACACGGCACGATATTATACCATTTTACTCTAACGATGTTATAAGGGAGCAAAATGTAAGCAATTGTGGAGACGTTTTTAAATTTCCACAAACATCATGAGCAAACACGGAATTTTCGAAGTGTCTCCTACGCGTATAGCCTACATTTTCTTTTTTATTATACAGTAACAGCATAATTATACGATATCCCGCAGTGCTATGGTAAATTATAAAAGCAGGCGATTAGTGTAATGTAACAAGGTAGCAGTCGGATAACGTCTATGTCGCCATTGCGTTTTACAAATATAAGATTGAAGTTGGAACGCGACCGGAATCGCATCTGTATATTGTTTATTTAGATTGTATTTAAGGTTCTTTTAATCTCTTATCAAATGACTAATGGTGCAAATATATTTTAAGTTTGAATTATTGACATATTATTTAGTTGTTTTATACACTATTTGCGCACTGTTCCAAATATGAAATTCCTTTGGGTACTCTACTGTGACTAAGTTAAATAATGAATCTATCAGAATTTCGTATTTGGAATAGAGTGTACATTCGGTACGCTTGAGGATAGCAATCCCATATAAGAGAGCATTCCTATAAAAATGGCAACATTGCGATCAGTACAGTTTTAGTTTCATATGTTTAATAATTTACTGTTTTGTGATATTAAAATTTTGTTTATGTAGAAATTATGTTCGAGTGTAGTCTATAAATCTGTTTCCGTCATTTATCGACAGTTTTTGTTGGCATAATGTCACTAAAGGAAACATAATTATTTCTAGTATTTAGTTTTCTTTGGTGTATATACTTTCTTTATATATTTTTGACGCGTATAAAAGGTAAGTTTTAATAAAATAATGATAATGAAAAACCTGAAACTGATCTGAGATCGCGAGATTGCGATTTTAATTAGAGAATGCTACAACAGTGTCGTCCTTATAAAGTAGGCTCACGTTGTAAGGATGCTGATATAATCTACATGCAGCACGCATTGCACTGAATTTAATGAATATAATGAAATATGAATGCTATTTCACATTATAATGAAATCTGACTTAATGTGGTATTAACCCTGATTACAATAAGGGTTCAATTTGAAATGTAAATTTTTATCATTTGATTTCATATTTGGAATAGAATGTAGAAATGAAATAATCAATATTGTTAATAATTTTAAAAATTTATCGTAATAATAATGATTTGGAAATATATAATGACAATGAAAATATTGAATGCAAAACTAATTATTGTATTTATCCTCAAGCGTATATTTACCGAATTTTTATCATGTTAATAAAGGCGATGGTGAAGTCTGCTAAACAATTTTTTTTTATTATGAAATATACAGATTGGTTGTTCCGTATATTTACAGCCACCATTTTATTTGTACATTTAGTGATAACCGTTTAAATATTTTAATTCTTCTTAAACCAGCATATTTTGCATTTCAATGTGGTAATAATATTTCTAGATATCTTACATTTTTAAAGTGTCTTATAATAACAAAAAAATATTTCATAATATGCAAAATTGTTTACAGACCGTTCTTTGTATGGATATAGTTACGATGGATTAGTTAAATACTTGCAGAAGACGATGGTTGTAGATTATCAATATGTGCGAAACGATAATTGACGCAATTGTATTTAAACTCCAAGATTTGTACCTACATAGCTGAGTAGACAAATTAATACGGTGTTTAATAAACTACTTATGATCCATCAACTCGTAGACATGACGGGGCAAAAATTAATCTTTTTCCATCTCGAACACACCGTATGCAAAGAATGTCATGGCGGTTTGCTTAGCCGTTAAAACGCCAATATGTTATGAGCGTACGTTCACATTTAGTATATTTCTCTGATTGCAATTTTGAACATCATGGATACTCAGATATGTTTTTTTTTTATTTTACCACTATTAACACTTTTTAAGTATGTATCTGCATCCTCTTGAACGAATGGTACGAACTCACTGTGATGTCATATATCTAACCATAATGTACGAATAGTTTAAAGTTAGTTATTACAGTTTACAACCATGGCCTTCTGTAAATCCTAGTCAAAACATAACGACGTAGTGATGTATCGTTAGAATTATATTGTTTTGCTAATTTAGGCTAAGTTTTAGTATGATTGATAACTAAATGAACACAGACATATTATGTGGGCATTATTGGTATTAGTCATTATTGAAGAAATATATGTGACTGTATAACAGTATATTTAAGAGGCACTCGTTTAGGCGACTTTGAGGACCACCGATCATAAAAAGTACTTTTTTTTATTTTAATTATGTTTCTTTAGTCGTGTTTACAGTAAAATGTAATAAAAGTTCTCAAATTTTTTTCCTAAAAAAATCTTTTAGTCTATACAATAAAAATTTAAGAAATAAATTACTGAATTAAATATGTGTTAATTTAAATAAAATTACCTATTACGTCAGATATGTCGTCGTATCTTAGATGTAGTATAAAACTATAACTTGTTACCATTCAATTAATTAATCGATTTTTTTTATTGATACTGCTTTAGATTAGACGGGTTATTGACGTTCAAAGAATCAAATTTGAATATCATTCTCCTACTAAAGTCGCCTAAATAGAAATGCTTTTAAGAACTCCATTTGAGCGTTATCTATAATATTCGATAATACCTTTATTGTCAATTGAATTTTGTTTGCCTTTTTGTTTTGTTTTGTAGTAAATTAATAATATAAATTGTTCTCCTTTCTAATAATGCCACATAGAATATTTTAAATAATATATATCTAAAAATATTTTTCAAATACTAATTGATTCCATTCAATATGTAGATGACGCACAAATGGGATTTTTAATACTGGTATATTATTACGTGATTGGTACTCAATGTTAAAATAATTCGTTGCTTTCGTAAAATAATTGCAAATTCACGAATATTCCTGTAGTACCAGGCACAGGTGAATCATATTAAAAAAAAAAATTATATCATATAAAACATAATATTCTTATTGTATTTATTTGTACTTATTATTATATATGTAGATCACTATATGATTTTATGAATCGATACATTGCTTATTAAATGAGATTATTAAAGACTTTTCTCTCAGTCGACTTATTATATTTAATTTAAACAAATTGATAAACGATTAATATTAATGAAATTCGGTGTAATTGATTTGTAGTGTATATTGTTTATAGTTATTTTTATTGAATTGAAATCGATCATTAAATTATTTTAAAGTTTATTTTATGTAGATAATCAGTCATTACGAATGGGCATGTATTAGTGAATAAAGATTTTTTCTTGTTTGTAATATGCAATTAAATAAAAAGAAATGCTGAATATATTTAAAGCCTTTAATTATTTATTTATTCCTCTTAAAATTTACATATGTAAAATATTTATTAAGAAAATATTAAAATAAACATCCGAAATTAAGTGGCTTTCTTGTTACCGCTAGAAACGTTTAGTTTTTGTTAATTATTTTATTATTAAAGATAATTGGAGGAAAAATTCTAAATTTGGTGTGTGGTTTTATTTATTTTTTATGAATATAGTAATAATTTATTATAATTCTTGTCTTTATCCCCTTGTGTTAAATTTTGTAAAAAACACATTATCATCATCATTTCAGCCATTATCCGTCCACTGCTGGACATAAGCCTTTCCCATAGACTGACAAAGAACGGTCCTAAGCTACTTGAATCCAATGACTTCCAAAAAACACATACTAGCAAGAAATATTAGTATTATGGGAGTTAATATTTACTTGACAATTTAGAAATTTTATCCCAAATTATCTTTAATTATAAATTATTAACAAAAACTACAAATTTCGATTCCAGTTTTATAAAATAGCTGATGAAAGCTTTTTCTAACTTTCTCCTTTTCTGAGGAATACTTTTTATATCAATATAGTAATAATTTATCTCAATTTTTTTTTTGCATTTATCTTATTTAAACTAATATTATAAAAAGGGAAGATTTGATTATTTGATTGAGCGGTATCCATGGAGGTGCTGTTCATTTTTTTCTATACAACTTAGAATAGCAAACAAGCTGACGGCCCACCTGATGGAAAGTAGTAACCGTCGCCTATAAACATGAGCAATACCATGGACATAACAGAGTATACTGTTTCGCCCATGATACCCCCCATGCGTTGCCATTCCTGAGGACTCTGGTGTTATTCCTCCGTACCCAGTAAATTCACTGCCATATGCCACCCTTCAAATCGAATTACAGCCATGCAAACAACTGCTTTACGGTTGAAATACGAATGGGACAGAGGTGCCCAAGCAATCGACTTTTGTATAAAGTCTCTCTCTGGTAAGTGTTCATGTCATGATGACGATAGCCACTTTCCAGTAGATGGGCTATGGGCTTCTAGGTTTCATAAATATATATATATATATATTTTTTTTTTTTTTTGATAGATGAAAATGGTATGGTAACATGGTAACCCCGCCTGCACTAACGGGATACGCTGGCGGAGCACCAGTGAAGGGTAATCGATGAAAATGAAAACAGGCCAGTTAACCCATCAGGAATTAACTATGATAGTTTCCAGGGGGAACCACGTGGAGGTTGACCTGACAGGGCATATTGCTAGCAATGGGGCTGTCAAACTCCATTACTAACAATCCCTCTTCCCTCTCTTTATATATATTTGTCCGACAGCACATCTGCTTCTGGTGTTGCAGATGCTCATTGGCGGCGGTAGTCACTATCAGGTGGAATGCATGCTCGTTTGCCCTTCTGTGTTATAAAAAAGAAACCTGGATTTTTATTACATGATAAGATTACAATCGAAAGTTAACCCCCGTGTTTTTAGGTACCATATTAATTTTTCACAATGAAAGTTTAAGAAAAGACAACAATACAAGAGTAAAACAATTTTGTAGATTATAAAAATAAGGAATGGTGAATAAGTCTAGAATCTAATTGGGCTAGTGACTTTATTGATATTAAAATTGATTGTAGGTATCTAATTATTATTATGAGGCTAAGAAAATCTTGATAGAAGTAGTGACGTGGGATAAGGGACTATTAGTACTGCGAATTGCCAGTTCTGTTGCTAGTAGTAATAAACTCTGTCAGGTCGACTTCCATGTGGTAGCGGGGACTACATGGAAGTCGACCTGACAGACATCAAAGACAGCAAAGCATCGTACTGAATTCCAGGTGTATTAATCGCGATAGACTAACTGACCTGGCTTTCAATTCTCACCTACAATCCCTTATTGTCTTGTCAGCGTATATCTTTAGCGCAGGCAGGGTTACCATTATTATTTATCAAAAAAAAATAGTGACGTGCTTAAAATTGTCAAAGAAAAAGGCGGGAAATTTTAAGTTAGGCAACTCTCCGTTTCAGTGAAAAAGCAATGAAATACGTTAAATAATATAATACAGTTTATTTTTATGAGTAATGAAAACAAAACGCAACATTTTGATGCAACTTAATACTAATAACATCTAGCCAAACTTATCAAACTTAATGGCACAAATTAAAAAGACTATATTTTCACTTAATTTTATACTTAATTCAGTTTTTTTTTAAACAAACTAAAATAATTTGTGCATTATATTAACATATTCTAATAGTTACATGAAGCGGAAAAAATGTGATAAAATTTCAACCAAGTGTACAATTTTAGGGTTTGTTACAGTGTATTCATATTGGTCCAACATGCTACCAATGTACAAATTTCATTAGGTAAATTAAACAATAAAATGTGTTTAATTAATCAAATCTTTCAAGTTTATTAAATTTATTTATGTAGTTATTATGGCCGCTTATAATATCTTACGTATAGTTAGTATATTACTTGTATGTGTATTACTATTGTACTCTCATATATCTATTTATGTACAGTCATATGTAATAATTCAATCTCTAATAAAAAAAAAATGTTTTTTTTTTTTGTTTTCTAAACTATTCATTTTACAGTCTATCGATGAGATTCGCCTGTATGTTTATTTGTTTTCCAAACGTCATAATGCGTGTATTGAATAGTAGTATATCTGAGACATGTATAGTTTTTGAAAGCACTTATACTAAATTATAAATGATGACGACAAAGTAAAATTAATAAGTAGGTAAATACACGTGATTATAATAATTGTTAATAGGTATATTATTTATTTGACATTAGTACAACTTTCTTAAATCTATTTAAACGACGGTAACCATATCTGAATTCTGTCCTCGAGACAAGTGACAAACAATTCTATCAACAGATTTTTTCGATTATTACATGAAAAACAATAAGATATCGGATGTTGCCATTTCATTCTATCATATGAACGATAACGATTCTGTCGATAGATTCGTTTGCCAATTGTCTAACGGGGCTGTGTAGATAAAAAAAGTTTATAAACAATAATATATTATAAGCGACCTTTAATTACCTTGTATAATAAAACCTGCAATTAACATTGCAATAAAATTAATCTTAATAAGAATTTTTTTCCTCATTACTAAAAATATTGGTATACATTACATATAAAACATGTAATTAACGGAAGTTTTGACCAAGCTATATAGAGTGAAGTTGCAACCATTAGCATCCGTTTGAATCTACTACCTTAAATTGTTTCCAAAGATTTTTTTTTTCCAAAGATACGTGTCTGGTTGTTAAATAAATATGGAAAAGGTAAAATAATATGTAATTTTTTTTTTAAAACCTGCTCAAATCCACAGGTAGGACGCTCCTTTACAAGGATATTAGTGATTGCAATTCACCCTGAATTGAATTCCTCTTCTGTAACGTCGTATGAACTGAGTGACAACCTGACACATACGATGATGTTCTACATTATCTAGGCAACACCTACATTATAAAGTAACGCAGTGGACCCTAGGTACTTATTTTAGATTACAGCAAAATCGTGAACGTAAAAACAATAAGTTATTAAAACTCAGAATATAAATTTATGGAGCCGCTGTTACATTTGATTACGTTTTATTATTAATCTTAAAAAAACCAATTGTTTGCATGCAAATTTTAATTGTTTAATTTGAAGTAAGAATGTTTATTGCAGTGCCTTAGTTCTGGAAGTTCATGGTAAGCAATTATAACATAATGTTATTTCGAAATATCATCAAATGCAACAGTAGAATAATATTTTTTCATTTATGCTTATTTAATATATTATATTACGCTATATTACTATAATTATAATTTTATTTCATGCATTGTTATTTACTAATCTGTAGGTACTTTTGGTATATAAGTAATTGCTTATTAGGAAGGAATAAGTGAATAAAAAATTGACATTCTACTTTAAAAAGAGTATTTGTTATATTTTTAAATCACGTTAGCAACGAAAGTCGATTAAATCATTTATTTTGTGTTTAATATATTGATTATTTTAATGTGTTAGCTACATTCACTGCTGACTGTACCACAGAATGCTATCATCTATGAATTAAATGAAACTGCCATTCATATGTGATATCATATAAAAAATGGACAAAATAAGGCATTTATACTCAACAAAAATGTAGTTAAACACATTTGTCAATATATTTCTGAGAATAAAATTTTTATCGACTTTAGTTGCTGTCCGTACCAGAATTAACCTGTAATATGTAACTATTAAGTACCTGATGAAGCAATAAATTTGCTCCATTATGTACGAAGGAATATTTCTTGCCATCTAATAATGTACCTAAAAAAGTATTATAAAGGAACACGTTATACTGTATCATATTGTAAAGATTATACGTAGCTAGCTGATGGTTTAAGGCGTAGGTATTATTTTTTTAATAAAATTAGATGTTCAATATCTCGATCACTAATTATAAGATTCAGAACAACAAGCTAATATGGGTGCTCTTTTGGGTATCGCTTTCCTTTTTTGTGTTACTATCGAAATGTTTGTCCTAGACACATCCTGGTTGAATTTGGGATATTAATTAATAATGTAATTCAATTAATAGATTCAATAATCCATTTTGAAATATATAAATATCTAGGGATGGAAATTGATACTGAAGTAATCTTAGGGTAATGATTGTAACAAACATTATATAGTAATATTTGTACGCTCAATAATAGCAAAATATAGTGTTCTATAGAAAATACAATATCTGATTTCGACTATGTTTGTACAAATAAATTATTGATCGATTTATTGATTGAAAATAATATTCTGACCAAAATACAAGGTGTGTTAACAAGTCTTACGTAATAGTATATTATTAAAAACTAAATTTTATTTAATCAATATATTTGTGCCTACCTCCAGTTGCACTGGCCCGTAACAGCCCATAACGCAGCCATAAGAGCGTTCCGGTGCCTCCAGAGTGGACAATCTGGTGATTACTTTTAGGATCCTTTTGGTTTACCGCGAATCCTACGCGGCAAGTATGCAGTACTTTCCACATTATAGCATGAAATCTATCAATATGTACATATGCAAACATCTCTAAAGCACTTCGGAGTAACGGTAGTCCTATCAACACCCTTATTCGCTTGAATGCATGATGTGTCTATAAATCTAGTTATTAGTGATCGATGGTAACGATTGTTTATGATTTTTTGACTTGGTTAATGATTTGGTTTGCCTTTGAAAAGAAAATGATGAGCAAATTACAGGGACAGAGGTTCAAATTAAAACCCAATAAGAGTCGAATTATTATTTTTTTTAAATTTAATGTTTTTAAGCAAATCCTATTTACTGCAAAATTTGTTCCTTAAGGTATATAGAGAGGGAATTCAGGGTTAGAAAGTCGAATGTACTTATTGTAAGTACATTATGAAAGCCCTAGGGTGCATTATTGGTCTCAATAGATTTTTAACTACGTAGTAGTACAAAATGACATTCATTCCCAATATTATTGGTCATGTTAATCGGAATCATTGGAACTTAATACCTCAAGAGAAAATCATTGTCCATAATATTTGTGTTAATTTCAGGATACCAAAAATTTTACCCAAATATTGAGGACTTAGGTTTTATATATGATTTTAGCATATTTATACACAGTATTACATTTTGACATAATTACACACTGTAAATAAATGCAGACTGCATTGCAGCGCAGCTAATTACTGAAAAGTATCTAAATATTACGAAAAATTCTGTTCGAAAATATAACTATTCAAATTATTATAATATACAAGTGTAATACATAATCATTGGCAATTTACTACTTGTTAGTTTTATAACAACAACAAAAATACAGTTGATGACCTATTGCCCTTATCATCGGAGAGTCAAAATGTAATTCATGTATATACACGCCAAATTACCCCATTTTGTCAAAGTGAGTATGAAACTACAGTGTTCCGTACATTAGTTTCAATTTATAATGATTCCATTTTACAGTAAATGTTTAAACAATCCCATTACTCACTTATACAAATCATCATAAGGCAAACTTAGTACATTATATCCTCTTCAATCTTGCCTGTGCCTAATCTATATTATCTCTCTAAATATTTCCTACTCACTCTCACATTCTACGCGATGCATCACATATGTAATAATCACCTCTCTTTCTACTACTAGTGGTATAAATATGTTTTTTTTTAAGTCGACTTCTATCTGACTATTTCCTCTACTGTCTATGCTATAAACTAGAACCTCGGTCGCAATCTATACGTCGAGTTATATAAGTATAGTAAACCGCTAATGGCCACTTCGTTTATTATAAAATTAATATAACTCGCCAAATAAATAATAACGTATAAATATAATGACGAAGTGGTAAATAAATTAAGTTTTTAAATTACTAATTACACTTAAATTTAATATCAAACTATATATAGATATATATATTAAGTAACAAAACAAGAGTTTTCTGCGACACATAAGTTACTCCTAATACATCATCTAAAACTAAATTTCACTCCGGAACTCGGCTTGCCGCAGAAATCTCTCGTGTACAAATATTCGTTGTGTAAGCAAATAAACTTTTAAAATTAAAACAATTCGTTGTTACATTAATTATTGCTACCGTTCTCCAATTCACTTTACAAACTTTTATTAAAACTCGATGTTTTCAAGGTTACAAATATACTTAGGACAAGTAGGGTAAATTTAATGTATTGCCGTTCCTTTATATTTAATTAAACAGTAAAATGACTTTACTTGTAATGTTTTCAAAATCCCTAAACTTGTCAAAAATTATAAGTGTATTGGAATACATTATATTGGTACATTTATAATTTATTGGGAATTTAAGGCCGTGTTTTTAATTTACTGTTACTAAAAATGTTTCTTTGTTTTATTAATTGAAAATTTTAATCTACCTTTTGAACGTTAATTCAATTCATTGTTTTTATAAAAACTGGTTTTATAATAATATCGTTTTTGATGTATGTAGCATGTATCTGCTTACCTATTTTGTTTTCCAATCGAGCCTAGGTGAGTAGGTAGGTACATAATGTAGGTATTATGCAAAATACCATTCAGTGTCACTTATTTATTTTTTTATGTTTTGTAATTTTATTAGAATTAATTTTATGTATTCGCCATCAATTTATTTTTAAATGAATTTTTAATATCGCAATGGATAGATCGATAATTTCAACGCGTATGTTTTAAAATCACAATTTATCAATAATATTATTTATTATAATTTAATGAATTTAATGTTTATAAGAAGTTGGGAAAGGCGAAATTTTTATTTAAGTTTTACGATTTTCACATAATAAGTAGGTTTAGTTTAAATATATCTAATACCAACCAATAAAGTTATACAACGAAAAGAGTTTAAAATATCACTTTGTTGCAGTCTACTTATAAATAGCCGAATAGTTACGTTAATGCATCAAATTCACAACTAAATCTAATAATATTGCTTTTAATATTGCTTTTCTTATGTCATAAAAGTCTAATGCTATATTGCAATAATTACCTAATTATTATTAATAAGTTAATCTAGCTTTTATTGCTTAAGTATTGCTATTTTGGACATTGTTAATTTTATCACTGCTTTTGCGTCCTTATAATATAGACATTATTATAGTAGTAACGTGACTCTCGTATGCACCTACTGTGTATGCACCCAGTGATTTAGGTGACGCAATTAGATTTTACAAAACTGTAAATTCTGGATCTTAGGTACATTAATACAGACCTACAAATTGTTAATAGGTAGGCAATGTTTTAACATATACATCTCTAGATCACAGGATCTCCGTTGCATTATTAGTAATATTAACATTATTGACCGAAGTGAGATGTAGATTATTATTTCCTATGAATGTATTTATGTTTGTACAAATGTACATGTTTATTTATTTGAATATCGAAAATCTATGGTTATAAAATTACTGTATCTGATTTGTCTGCGCAGTTTTCGTTTAGGTACCTAAAAGTATGGGTTGGAAGCTTTCTCATTTAAAATAGTGATTTCAAAAAAAATTTTAATTAAATATCTAAGTATTTATATGGCACAAATACGGACTACGACCTATGTAAATCACATATAAATAAAATACATACAGTATCAGGTATAGTTTCTGTTAGTGTGTTATTTTTGTCCTTATACTGTCCTATTCTGAACTCTAATTTAAAGCTGAAAGAATACGGTTATTATTTTCTTTTACTTCTTTCGAGTAAATACCAAGTAAACTTTTCAAAACCAGAAGTTAACAACTTCTACGGCACAGCAGGTTACTTCGTTAAGGTCCTTCTTGATACAAAGGACAGAACAGGAAATGGGACATAGTTTCGGACGGTGCTCTATAAATTACAAGTTTAACTAGCCCCTGAATAATCATTCTTAAAAGTCTTTCAGTTTCGTAACTATAATATGTTAGCGAAATAATTAGTGTTTCTTCAAACGGAGTAAACCCAGACATAAATAAAGATAGATGACGCATGTACTTCAGATTTTATGGAAAATAAAAGATAGTAGCCGCATTCGAAAATATCGTGATATCTCTAAAATAGAGAAAAATATAATCATGACTGTAAAACTGATGGTATATCTAAAACCCGACGTGCTTATATTTTGCTGACCAGTTTTGAATTCAATGTGACAGAATACAAGTCACTTGGAATGAATTCTTAAAGTACAGCTAACTCGGATTAAATTATAAATTATACAGAGTTTTGTCAACATTTTCACTTGACAACTCCGAATCGATATTTATCTGTAATTTGTATTTGGCATCTATTATTGCGACATCTATTTTAATCTATATTTGTGGTTTCTTTGATATCCCTTAGGTTCTCTTTGCCGATTTAACTGTGGTTCGAACTACTTATCGCTTTCTTTCAATTCTCTTAAATCTGTCCACTTTAGTATACCTAATAGCATGCACATACCCAATTTTAGTACTTGAATTTATTGTGATTAAATATTTAAGAGTTTCATCAAATAATTTCATCAAAAATTACTTATTTCTAATATTTCAATCAATTTTATTTCGTAACTACTCGTTGAAAACATGTTTTTTTTTTTCGATTTAATATGAAACTAGCTGTAAATATGTCATAGTCATATGGTCGTAGACCGTTTTGCTTGAATTAACATGGTGCGAATTATAACAGGTCGAATAACAGTAGTTATGTGTTACTATAATGTATGAAGTCTAGTTGATTTTTTTTAACATTTTATCTACATAACTGTTCATCGCTATAATTATAAATATGTAATTATAAAGTTACACTACACCTACAAAAATTGTAAAGAAGGGAAATTTGGTACACAGGGACGTATTTACAATTAAATGTATAGATTTTTGTATATAAGTTGGTTTCGTTAGCTATTCATTACTTAATTATCTGTATACCCACTACAATAACGTTAGTATAAATATTTGAATAAAATATCTCGTTTTAGATTTTTATTTCATTTTAAGCTATTCATTTTGCATTTTCTACATAAGACAAACGATGGGACAGCTAGATAAGACGATAGATGTAAACAATTATTATTATTTCGAAGGAGTTATGCGAAGGAGTACAATAGATAAACTAGATTCTACATAGCAAGATTAGTTATGAAAGTTAAATGTAAACAAAAATAATTGAAAAAACCAAATGTTTCTCTATATTTAGGGGATATAAATAGAGAAAAAGAGGCCTTCATTGCATTGGGAATGCTTTAATATTTGTTATGTTTAGATGATTAGTCCCATTCGTGTTGAAAACATCATATCCGATGGCTCCCGATAATTCAGAATGTGTGCATAAAATACATTTCGAAAAACAACTTTTGTTTCAATATAGATACATACATATTAATATTCGATGTGGATTTCGTTCATCAAAATTTCAATATAGTACTCCAAAGCACCAAAAATATCTAAAAATCTACAAAAATTCTTTATAAATAAATAATTATGCACTACATAAATTCTACCCTCTTATTGCTTATCATTACAATATATTGCTTATTACGCGCAACCTTTGTCTGGTAAAGCCTATTTCATTAAATAAATATAGGTAAGTGAAAGGACCTATTTAGTATATAGATAGGTATAGTTAAAATGTGGCACTACATCTACATAATAGGAATATTTTGATTAGGGAATATATTCACTAATGTCAAGAAAAGTGCCTCTTTAGGCCTTTTTGCCAGTTACAATGGTTATCAATAGGATTACAATATAAAGACCAATTAATGCATTTGCCAGATTTTGTTGCAGTAATTGATCAAATTGATACTTTAATGGTATTAACATACCTATCAATTTTAGACTACTTTTACAAAGTGCCAGACTTTGTAACAAAATACCAGCAAAATTACTAGATTGGTTCAACACAACACAATAAATATATTATCAACAGTTTAGAAATTATAAGGACGCCATTATTCAAAACGTTTTTAAAAAAATATTACTTCAAAAAATTTTATGTATTTACTATCCAAAACATTGACACTGTGATTTCTCTTACAGTATGAGAGAATATAATAAATAACAGGAACTTTGTCTTTTTAAAAGATTCAAGTTAATTGACAGGGTTCAAATTAAATCCACCAAAGACGAATTGACTTATGAGGCACTAGCTAATAATAGACTATGTGTAGCATTGGCTTAGCAGAAACGAATTCTGTACTTGTGTATAATCAGAACTTTCGCCCGTTTTGCTTACTAGTTGTTTATGAGCAGTTCGGCCTGCGAAGCCTATATGCTACTAGAAGGACGCTATAAGTACTACGGAACTACGGGGGTAAGTCAGCTGTGTCTAATAGACAGCGGTGCGCGACTTTGTACCTACATTATTATTGCTTTTCGAATACCCATTTCTCACCGAGCACCTCGTGCTCGCCTCGTAACCTATTGTTAATGCTATCTTATCCTAAATTATTTTATTGCCAGTTACGTTTGACTTGTCACTAGTAACACGCTCAACTAAAGGCATGCTCGCTGTGTGGTATGTTTGCGGCTGTGCCCCTGTCGTTCGCCGCAGTACGCTCTCGCCGCCGCGCCCCCTACTTTTTACATATCGGCATATACCTATCTATTATTTATAATTAGTGTTTAACAGTTGGATCTATATAATATTATTGATTGTAGAAATTAAATTTTCATTCTGTAATTACGATTAACAGCAGTCCAAAATGTCAAACATCTGAATCCGTTCCTAGCCTCCGAATTTAGGTGTTGTATTTTTTATCAACTTCGTCGTGTCAACGAGATTATGCCTTGGATGAAAGAGTACACCGGCATGTTACATTGATCCCATCTATTAAGCTATCAGTCATATAGTTTTATAGTTATTTGAGTTATCTGGTAGTCTTTTAAGCGATCCGCAGCTCTCTTCATATGTTCGACAATACGATTTAGAAGGCAATTAAAGGTTCGCGTTAGGTTAGAGATATGCATAAATGGGTAACTACTACTTTCGCACTAAAGTTTTTAAGGCGAGGGTTATTACATTTAATATATAATTAAAGGTACCTATATATTTAATTGGTACCAACAGTGCTACTTACATGTCTCTATTGTAATTTTTTTAGAATTATCTTTATTTACTTCGGTAAGGCGACGGCGGCGAAGCGGTTGTGGCGCGCGGTCGCCGCTCTCTGTAGAGGTGAGTGATATAGCTTATATCCACATATACCATATCATAGGACCAGCATGACATGTATCAGTGAAATAATTCAAGCAACATTAAATTTACAATTTACTTTTTAAAAAATATCATAATATTTTATCCTGATTCCTTGCATTTAATGACGCTTGCGACGTAAGCTAATTTTGGCATTGCGCTCCGTTACAATGTAACTATACGTCACTGATATTTTTCAGCGTTACTTTACTACTATAAGCAAGTATATCACTTGTATAGAACTGAATGCTCGTATCACCCATCGCTACCGCTAAGGCACTGTCGCGAGGCGGCGCGCTAGTACTGCGTGGCGCGGAAAAAGCGCGGGCGCGGCGCGGCGGCGGCGGCGTGTGCGCGGAGCTTCGGACGGAAATTTTTGGCAAGTTCCTCACCGAGACGGAGGAGGCAGGCGGCCGCGCTCGGGCGCCCCGCCCGGGCGCTCCGCTCTCTCCGCCGACGAGCTCGGCGCTCGGCTCTCGCATCTCGACGCTAAACTTACACTGTAATACTCTCTAACCTACATTGCGGTTGTAAAATCTCCTACAAAAGATATTAGTTTCATTCATATTTCATTACTTCTATGTATATAAGGGTATATTTTATCGACGAGTATGTACATAATTGAAAGTTAACGTTAACGGGACGTCTGTCGCTACGGCCTATTGCCGCGGCAGCCGCGACTCTACGGGGTCATACGTGATTCGTTGTTTGCGAAACGTTGCTCGATTAAGGCGCAGCGCGTCCGGTGAACGCCTCACAAGCCTCGCCGGATGCGCTCACTCCTGTTTCTTTTTTGTATATTTATTATATATTACGCTAACAAGCTAAATTCATATTAATACTTTACGTTTAAGTGTAAACCATTCGGCCTCATTTACGGTCCCTAGTTGCGTCGGCTCGGGTTTTGAATTGGCGCTCGACAGCGGAGCCGGCTAGCCGGACGCGGATGCGGGTGCCTCGGGCTGCGGCGAGTCCTCGTCGCGCACGCAAGCCGATTCTTGATGCTTATTAAGGTAGCTCTTCAAGGCAAACGTCTTATGACATCTGGAGCACTCGAAATTCTTATCAGCAGAATGAGTTTGCATATGAGCGCGTAAGTTGGATCGGTCAGCAAACGCTTTCCCACAATGGGCGCACCCATAGGGCTTCTCGCCTGTATGGGAGCGTAAGTGACCTTGCAGCAGCCATGGTCGCGAGAATAACTTACCGCATACGCCACACACGTGCGAAAGCTGATGTGTTAGCACATGCATCGCGAGTGCCGGCATGGACACGTATGCTTTACCGCACTCTCCGCATCGTTTCGCCGCTCCCGAGTCGAGGCTGCGGTGCGTCTGCTTGTGTCGTGACAGATTCGACGAAGTAGCGTACCGTTTGCCGCACTCGCTGCACGTGTACTTAGACTTAGTTTCCGGTTGCTCGGTGGTCTCTATCGGCGCGCTGGCATAATTGCGTCGTTTAGATCTACCGTCACTGACGAAAAAAGCATCATAGGTGTAGGCGACGGTTTCTCGCGGTCGTTCTGCTGATTGCTCTTGAACGGGAGGATCCGGGGGCGGCGGTGGAGGTGGCGGTGGTTCAGGTGGAGCGGGCACCGTCCGCGGAGGGGTGGATAAGTATACCGCATGATGGCTCAGGTCGAGAATAGCGTGGGCTGCGTTAAGGTCTTCTTCGGCTCGTTGGAGATAGGCGGCGCGGTCTACGAGGCAGTACGGGCGATAGATGTCCTTCTTTTTCGGCGGCAAAGAGAGAAGAGCACCGGTGCTGGTATAGCACATGGAGATGGACTTGCCGCTCGCCGGTGGCGGGGGAGGGGAGACAGGCGAAGACTGGAGCTGCACTTGGAGGAAGGGCGATTCGGTCGAGTCAGAGGCGGAGAGTTGCAGAAGAGCGTAGGAGAGAGGCTGAGGCGCCGGCTGAGAGGCGGGGCCGGGGCCGGCGGGGGCCGGGCTCACCTCGCTCGGCAGCTGGGCGGTGAATTGCGTGGAAGGCTGCTCCTCGGTGTAACCTGTGTGCAAACAAATTTCTCCGTTTAAATATGTTAATTATGGGTACACTGTATTGTCACTTATTAAAAATTTGTGGAAGATTATTATATTACACTTGTTTTGGTAATATAATAGTCATATAGCGTATTATATCTTTCATCATTAAGTTTTAGTTTTTCATAAAAATTATAAAATCATAAAATAATTGCTTCAAATTTTTATCTTTAAAGTACTTATAATGACTAGAAAGTTTCGATTACAGAAAGATAAATTATTATTCATTTTTCAATTAAATTATAATTTAATTTTTTTTAGAATATTATTTATTATACACATTTCATACCTTAATCGTAATTTGTAAAGCATTTATTTCCAAAATTTTGAACTTATCGACAAATAGGTAAACAGAGAAAACGAAATTATGTCTATATGTGAGTAAGAAACTCAAAAATATATACAAGTCATTATTAAATATTTCGTTTACAATATAGGTTACTTAGAATATCACCATAAGCAAATTAATAGCATACCGACACGACAACTCATTGTGTTCATAGCTGCCGCTAAATCAGTTAATAGCCTTGTAAGTGGTATTCGAGAGCGATGCTAATCTGAATTCGCCTTACGGCCAAGGTTTAATATAATCCGATACACTTCAATTTTGTTGTTTGCCGCTCGCTTAACCCTAGTAAGTAGTAAACTGATTTTTAATTTAGGCATTTATTTTGATTTGCTATTTTGAGTATTACAATTATTACAGATAAATAACACTGGAACGTTAGGAGGAAAGGAATTGTTAATAACAGTCTCCATTACTAGTCCCATTGCTAGCAATATTAAGACCTTGTCAGGTCGACCTCAATGTAGTTCCCCCTGACAATCATTGTACTGAATTCCAGGTGTATTCATCACGATAGGCTAACTGATCTGCCTTTTCATCGTTACCTATCATCCCTCACTGGTGCCCTGCCAGCCACCATTGTCATCCTTTAAAAAAATACAGGGACGTTTAACCAAAATTATGCACAATATGTAATCGGCTAGTGATGTTTGTATTTAAATTCACTAAAATGATCTTATAAAATTTACATAAATAAAAATTTTCAAATGTGTTGCTAAGCGAAAAACTAGAGAACGGTTTTATCAATTTTACTAAATTTTTTTCACAAATATTTTTTGAAGTCCAGGAAAGCCACATTTTTCTTTTTCCCATAAAATTGTTACTAGTTCAAAGCCCAGTAGCTGTTGCCAGAACGATATCTGTCGGATCAACTAATATATCATAAACATGTAGTCGTATTATTATTATATATAGAAATTTTATATTTATCGACTTAATTTACGAAAACAAGCCCTATACAGAATATAAATGTCCATTTAACAGTTCTGATCTACTGAACGATGCAGTCATAAAACTAAAGGGAGATCAGTAGACGTGATACGGGCCGTTGCGTCTGTGATAAATGATTTTACATTGAAAAAAAAAAAACAAAAGAATAATGACGCGTGCGGTGCGCACGCAAATCTGACATCAATAGCGGGGTGAAAGCGGCGGGGTTGAATACGGGCGAGACGTATGACAGGGGCTCCAAGCCTGCAAGAGTTATTCCAGGGCCGTTAATAACTTGCAGAAGCAACCTGTGGCACCAACCTGTGGAATATTGCGTCCTGACACTAATTACGACCGGTGGACTGGCTATGCGACTCATGTGCATCTAATGCGTTTATGCAAGGGTCATGATCTGTCCATTTTCAAAAACAATTAAACAATTTTACCTTAAATATAAAATTAAGATCCTGTTCAAGAAAAAAATATTTTTATTTATTGTGGCATAACCAGTTATTCTGATTTAAAAACTTAATCATTGAACCGATTTTGATAGTTTCTATGGGACCAATATATGTATAAATTTATCCTTTTAGATAAAAAAGAATTTTTCAAGTCGGTTTAGAACTGACGGAATTATGAGGTGACAAATATAAAAAAAAAATTCAACCAAATGGAGAACCTCCTTTTTTGAAGTCACTTGAAAATGGTAACTTTCAATGATCCTAGCAACAATTTACATTTAAAGTTTAGATACTTCAGACATTGTCCGGGGGTGAAGTAGGATTATTAGGAGCGTACTAAATTCGATTGAAGTGAGAGTAAAGTATCGCAACAATGTACATTTTTCGTGGCTACAGAGAGAGGCCACAGTCAAAAACGGGACGCTGGATAGGCTCGAGCCGACCCTGTCTGTTATATATATATATATATATATATATATATATATATATATATATATATATATATATATATATATATATATATATATACCATATAATAAAACCATTCAAATTTGAATTGAATCATATACCGAGGGTGGTATAATTAAAATAATCTTTAAATTAGGTATTTATTTATTTATTATACGTATAAAATTTTATAAGAAAATGTTCAGACATTATAACATAAACTGAACCTAAAATTTTTTTCTATACTGCTTTGCTTTGCTGATAAGTACTAAATGTTACACAATAATATTAATTAATGATATTTCTGAATAGTTATGATGAGCGTTCATCACGTAAAATTAATATTACCATCGTCACGTCAATATTTTTAAATAAATTACGGTTTTTTTTAAACAACTTAGAATGTCAAACAAGCTGACGTCCCACTTGATGGAAAGTGGTTACCGTCGCCTATAGACATGAGCAGTACCATGGACATAACAGCGTAGACACTCTGTATGAACTGGTTATGATTCAGTGAGTGTAAAGTTATAGAATTTTGTTATTATTAAAGATGGCACAAACACTGAGTGTTAAAATTTACGTACAGATTGTTTTAATAAGTTTTTTTTTTATGCAACTTAGAATAGCAAACATGTTGATGGTTCACCTGATGTAAAACGGTAATTGTGGCCTATAAACATGAGTAGTACCATGGACATAACAGAGTATACTGTTTCGCCTAAGTTTTCAAGTTAGATTAATTAGTCAAGTAAAATAAACACCTAATTATTATTATTATTGTGATATAGACTTAGCTTCTATCATTTATTAATAACTTGCCCGCATAACTAAGTTTATTTAAGAAGAGTTTATGATGATTTCTGAAAAATATTTTAGAGATATCTATATATATATATATTTTTGTAATACGAGTATTTACGTATGCTGTAATTATCTAAGATATTTTTTTTCACACATTTTGAAACCAACTCTTTTGTATTTTTTGCAATTTTCAGCATAAACAAAAAAGAATACGACGTAAAAATAAAAATCTGTATTTTTCCCCTTTGATACGATTCCTCGTTACAACTAGATGTACTACTGAAAGTTCGGGCCCCCATTTAGGATCCATATGCAATTTTTTATTTATTATAAAACAATTTATCAAGCCTCACATCCAATTCCAGTGACACATGTCACATTTTAATATCATTATTTTTAATATAAAGCGTTTATTCCTTGATTATATCTACTGATTTCAAAAAATTGTGACACGTAATAAGATTTTTTGGTATATATTTCATTCAAAATACATGTCATAAAATATGTAATGTGTATTATGATTTAAACGGTGGGTAATGGATACGGCGTGCATAAAGACGCGAACCCAAACATGTGTAGACTATACATACCTAAGTATATTGTTGGCATGAGCTCCTCCTATCCCTTATCTTGACAAATGTATGGCGGTAAGCGAATAGGTGATATAACGTTTCGCTAAACCGAGACCATTTATCATTCCCAGATTCCTCGTGGAATTTATAAATGAACTATCTTACGTGCATATTCCGTCTAAAAGCAACTCATTAATCTTCAACTGAATACATGTGGTCCATATTAAGAATGAAAAAGTGAATTATATCAGTGGTAATATTTCAATAATAATAAATTAATACGTAACTAGCAGATCATGGCATGTTATTGAAACTGTATATCGTATAAATTTGCTTTGAAATGAACACGTAGGTGAAAAAGACCGGTTCTCATTTCTATGTTTTTACGAAGGATAAGCTGTTTCGTTATAAATTGATTTATTTGCATATTACGCCCGCAATATTTTCCCACTTCTCTATATTTTTAGAAATAAATGAAGATTGATTGTTCTAACCATGTAAATGCTAACCAAATTACCTTTTTGATATTTATGATGACGTTAATGAAATATGTAGGTGTGTGTACTCGTATGTAGAACAATAGACGCTCCAGCTTTGGTTCTATTTTTGTTATAAAGTAATTTTAATTTGAATTAAATTACATCGGATAAAATCTCAGGATTAGATATAATTTGAATATCACGACTTGATTTTTTTTATGCAACTTAGAATGGCAAACAAGCTAACGGCCCACCTGATTGAAAGTGGTAACCGTCGCTTATAGACATGAGCAGTACCATAGACAAAACAAAGTATACTGTTACGCCCATGATACCCCCATGAGTTGCTATTCCCGAGGATTCAGGTGTTATTCCTCTGTACCCAGTAAATTCACTGCCGTATCCTACTTTTCAAACCGACACACAGCTTGGGGAAGGAATTGTTAGTAATACGGTATTGTTAGTAATAAAAACAAATATTTTCTAATATAGAAATCATATTGAAGTAAATATGACCCAAATAAGAGTCTGAAAACGATATAAATATAGATGTCAGTAGAAATATTAATTAAAAATCAGTAAGTGTATGAATGTAAAAAAAAATTAACGACAATATACCTCGAACTATTATTTTAAAACATTGGAATATGTTTACAACTGTTCAGGTTTATAAACACGGATAAACTTTGAATAAGTTATTAGTCGTTCAGCCAGTGTACGACAAGACGCCCTTGGGTGCATTACCCGCCAACAACGGCTGCAGTGAGGGTGAGACGCTTGCAGTGTAATTTGTGTCACTATGTACCATCGGACACGTGTACTGTTTATTGAGTAAACGAACTCGGTCCTTCATTGTTATTCACGTATTAATCGATAACTTTGAAACTGTGACGTAAAATGGAAAAATAAATATGTTGTATTAGTTAA